CTCACCTGACAGCGCTCTCCAACCTGAAGCTTTGGGAGCAACTTGGCCCCACCCTCCTGGCAGGCACACATTCTTGCTGCCACAATGGTCCCTAGAGGACAGGCCAGAACGTGAACATACCACAGGCTCAAGACAAACTCCCCACCCCAGGAACATCAGCCGGGAGCTCCTAGCGCAGGACGGCAGCAGTGTCAGGGCGGATGATCAGGCTGTCTGCATGTAAAGCCTCACTCCTCTGCCACATGCTGCTTCTCACTTCTTCTGGCTACAAGTTCAAGCACGAGGCCTGACAGAAGTGGTGAGGCGACCTAGTTACAGCCAGTGTGGGTGAGCTGCAGACTTTCCACATCAAGGAAGTTTGGTTTGATGAGATCCTTTAAACCAAGAAGGGATGCTGCATTTTGCCAAATGCTTTTTCACCCATAGGGTGATTTTCTTTTAATTTTTAGTAGTGTGAATGAGCGATCAATTCCCAATATGGAGCCATTTGGAGCTTCTGTCCTCAATTCCAGTTGGCTGTGTACCCATGGCCTCAGAGCCCCTTCACCATGGCTAATAGTTAGCGACTGGTTCGGACGCCCAGGACCCAGGCTGCAGTGCCTGAGCCAGTTCCCAGAACTCAGCAGCAATGGCACCAGTCCTCAGGCCCCTGTACCCATGTGGGAACCTGGACAGGGCTCCTGGCTCCTGGCTGCAGCATGCCCAGCCCTGCCAACTGGGTTTTAGAGTTGAAACCAGCAGAGAAGAGATTCTAACGTACAAAAATCACTTTCTCAATTTACATTCATGAGACGTAAGCAAGTGTTGACCAAGGAATAAGTAATGACCGTGCCGAGGCTTGGTTACTGAGACAATGCTGTTCCTTCCTGCAGCTGACCCTAAGAAGCTATGGGAATTGGTAATGTTTCATTAAGTTTTTCATGCAATTTCCAATGAAGTCATCAAGTAAGCCAGGAGTTTTGAGGGAAGAACACATTTATTTTAAAATTTCTTTTCATGGCCTTGAAAGATGGAGTGACACAGAGAGATGTTCCATCTGCTTCACTCCCAGGAGCCAGTCCTGTCAGGGTTACGTCTGGGTCTCACCCGTACTCCCTCACGCGGTCCTGTCTGGGTTGGCTGTTGTTTGGGTTCTGAGGGGCAGGAGGATGTTGCAAGCAACACTCAAGCCTCCTGTGCATGGGCCTCTGCTGAGGATGCTGTTTCCAAGATGACTTGGCATCTTGCACGCAACAGGCTTGATTCTACCGAGTTCTACTTAATGGGTTACGGAGAGAACCTAATGAATGACGAGGTCTCAGGCGTGGCCTTGGGCAATACTGTGGTTATTGAGGCTCATAGGGATGCAGACTCGGGCTGGGACGAAGTTACCGGAGCTGCCGGTTTCCAAAGTGACCCTATGAAGCCTCCATCTCCACCGGCCTTAAGCCCACGGCCTGCACACTTACTGCACTTTGTGCTGAATTGGCCACCAGGAGTCCTACAAGGCCATCTAGCAAACCTCGGCGTGTCCTAGTTCCCTTCTCCCTTTCCTCACAGTCAAACCCGAAGCCAGCGGGGGAATTCTGTTTCCGTAAGCCAGCAACTCCTGTGTGAGTGCAGCTCACTGCCCTCCGTCCCCTCTCCCGACAAGCTGACGTTTCTGTGTGCACGGAGAAGGCCTGCCCTTCCTCCATCACCCTCAGCCGCGCACCCACCCGCCTGGCTTTCCAGCTCCGGCCGTTCTAGCGCAGGGCGTGCTCCCGGTCCCGCTAGGTCCTCGGCCAAGGCCCCTCTCCGGGCACCGGCTGCAATCCCAGGGCGAAGCTTCCGTCCCAGGGGCCCTCGGCGAGGAAGTGCAATGGCCTGCACCCCGGAGGGCGCACACGCGTGCCCGCAGCCCCCACACCCAGCAGGACGGAGCGCCACGAGCGGCGGCCGCTCGCCGCCCGCCTCACTGCCCGCCGGCCGTGTCCGCGGAGGGCAGCACCGGGACCCGGTGGGCGGACGACACAGCCCTGAGGGGCGGCGGGGCGCCGGCCGGCGTAACTACCTGGGGGAACCGCCGCCGTCCGCGCTGCTCCGCCGCCGCTCCGCCCGCACACCGGTCACCACCACACCGGTCACAGCTACGGTCGCCGCGCGCCTGCGCGCCGGGCGGAAGATGGGCGCCGACGGCCCTGTGGCCGCGGCAGCCCAGGCGTGTCGCTCCGCGCTGCGTCACGGCGCCGGGCGGAAGACGGGCGCCGGCGGCCCTACGGCCCTGCCGTGACGCTCCGGGCTGCGTCACGGCGCCGGGCGGAAGATGGCGAGGCTGTCCGCCAGCGGTTGCTGAGCTGCGGCCGGACCCGGACCCAAGCGCGGCCGCCCGTCCGTCTGTCCGCCCGTCCGTCCTGCGGCGCGGGAGTGTCCGGCGCCATGTCGCTGCTGCAGTCCGCGCTGGACTTCCTGGCGGGCCCAGGCTCCCTGGGTGGCGCCGCTGGCCGCGACCAGAGCGACTTCGTAGGGCAGACGGTGGAGCTGGGCGAGCTGCGGCTGCGGGTGCGGCGAGTCCTGGCCGAGGGTGAGGCCCGGGAGGCCGCGGGGCGAGGGCTGGGCCAGGCCGGGCGGGCCGAGGCTCCACGCCCAGGACCAGGGTCAGCGCTGGACCGAGCAGGCCTGGCTGAGGGTCCTGGGCGTGGACCAAGGCGGCTGTGCCCGGGGTGTCAGCGCTGGGCCGGGGCGGGTCACCCGCTGTTAGGGTCCGGGAGGGCATCGTCTGCCCTCAGTCCCCTGGGGCACGGTGTGGGTGTGGACTGGCCAGCTAGGTATTTGGGGGTGGGTCCCGTGCAGGGGCAGAGAGGGGAGCAGGGCTGGTCTTCATGAGTGCCCGTGTGGGCACTGCTGGCAGGGGACAGACGCAGCAGCCCGGGCTAGCAGTGGACAGGGCTGTCGGCTTCCTGGCCTCCTGTGCCTGGGGTCCCCCTCCCACGGTGCCCAGGGTGTGCCGGTGCTGCTTGCTCTCCAGGCTATCTCCATATGGTGCCATATGTCACCTGCAGACAGGGTCTGCACTGCCCCTGGGTCAATACACACGTTTTGGGTGTTGTGGCAGGAAGCTGCAGGCATGGGAGGTGAGCTCCTGGATGAGATGGTTCTGCCCAGCAGTGTGGCCTGTAGTTCCTGGCTCGAGGGCTGAGGGCCAGCACTGGGACGCGCTCAGCCTGGGCAGCACTGGGAGGCGCTTCAGTGAAGGAAGTGTGTGGGACCCACCCAGCACCCAGGGCCACAGCCAGGAAGTGCAGGGAATGAGGAAGTGGGCAGGGGAAGGTAGAGGTGACCCAGCCCGGGAGCCACACAGACTGGGTTTATTTGAAAGTTGGGTTACAGATTGAGAAGAGTGAGAGAGATGTTCCAACTGCTGCTTCAGGCCCCAGATGCCTGACAGTCAGAGCCAGCCAGGGCTCCCCTATGTGCGGCAGGGACCTCAAGGCTTGGGCCCTCCTGGGGTGCACAGCAGCAGGGAAGTGGGAAGTGGTGGGAGGACGAGAGGTCAGGCCTGATCCGGGTCACGGTGAGGGCTGAGCCTGGACCAGGCTGGGGATGAGCTAGGACTGAGTCTGAAACACCTACATCCCAAAAGTGACACCCCAGCCCTGGTCCTAGCTCGGCCCTCACTGTGCGCCCCCTCCCCCTGGCTGTGGCCCCTGCTCCCCGGCTCATCCTACAGAGCCTGTGCCAAATTTCTGTCCCTGCTTTTGTGGATATTTTTTAAAAGATTCATTTAATTTTTATTGGTAAGTCAGACATACAGAGAAGAGAGAGATAGAGAGGAAGATGCTCCATCTGGTTGATTCACTCCCCAAGCGGCCACAACGGCCAGAGTTGTGCTGATCCGAAGCCAGGAGCCAGGAGCCTTTTTTGGGTCTCCTATGCCATGCAGGGTCCCAAAGCTTAGTGCTGTCCTCAACTTCCTTCCCAGGGAACTGGATGGGAAGTGGGACAGCCAGGACTAGAACCAGCTCCCATATGGGATCCCAGTGTGTGCAAGGCAAGGACTTTAGCTGCTAGGCTACCATGCTAGGCCTTGTTTTGTGTTTTAAAACAAAGCATTTACCCTAGTTCTGTTTGTGTGTTTAGTTTGCTTAGTATCTGCAACAGACGGGGCTGGTTTGAAGCCAGGAGCCTGGAGCTCTACCAGGTCTCCCCCGGATGGCAGGGCTGGGCTTTGCCTACTGCCTCCCGTGGCTGCAGGAGCAGGAAGCTGGAATTGGTGGTGCAACCTGACCAGACACTGGCAGCCTGTGGGGTTTTCCTGGCAGATGCCAGCTCCACATGGTCACCACGCCACCCGGCAGTTCTCTGGCTCCTGCACGATCTGGTGGGGTTTGTGAACAGCCCTCCCTCCCCTCCAGTCGGAGACACAGCGCGACCGGCACTTGTGGTCAGTGGTGACATTGGACACTGCTGGCAGCTTTGCAGGGCGCTCTGCCCCTCTGTGTGAGGTGCTGGCTGGCCCCTGTTCTGAGTGACGGCTCTGTTTCAGGAGGGTTTGCGTTTGTGTATGAAGCCCAGGACCTGGGAAGCGGTAGAGAGTACGCCCTGAAGGTAACGAGCAGACAGCCTTCTCAGGGGTGTGTGTTTGGAAGCCCAGCTTCTTTCTGGGGACAACTTGTGAGGGCTGTCTGCCCCCTGGGGTGGTGGGAGGAGCGAGGGTCACCTCACACTGGGGTCACGAACTGCTCGCCCTGTGTGCCAGAATGAGTGGGAGCATGAGGAGTCTCGTGCTTGGGTGGGCAGGGCATGGTGGAGGCTATACCGCCTGCTGTTAGCTCCAGAACGATCTTGGCCCGCTCATGCACCTTGTCTGTCCCGTTTGCCCTTGCGCATTTGGTGGAAGCCCCTGTCTGCACTCCGTGCTCAGGGGCCCTGTGGGGCGAGCTGGCAGCTGTAACCCACTGTGTCTCCCACACAGAGGCTACTGTCTGACGAGGAGGAGAAGAACAGAGCCATCATCCAAGAAGTCTGCTTCATGGTATCCTTTGCCCAGCCAGCCTCACTGTGACCACACCGGCCGTGCTGGTTGACTGTCTTTAGAGGAGCTTGTCCCATGCTCTGCTCCCAGGGAGTGGGCTGGAGTAGTGCTGTGAGTCAAGCGGTCTGCAGGCCCAGAGGCCAGCCTGCTCACTGCCAAGGATTGAGGCCACTGCCCCCTGCCGGCTCTCCTTGCATGGATGGCCACCCTGGGCCCCTTTGCCTTGTCCTGCACTGGCACCTGTGTGCTAGGCCTGGGCCTCCACCTTCCCTGTAGTTGGATCTGCTCTCTTGTCTCTCAGTTCTGTCCCCCTCTGAAGCCCCAGCTGCCTGAGCTGTGCTTGGGGTGGACGCAGCCATCTCTCAGCCTCCCCGGCAACCCCCTGCCAGGTGTGTGGCCAGCTTTGCCTGCTTCTGCGTCCCCCCACCGTCTGCACCCTCGCTGGCCAGCGCAGAGCTGCGCCGGGGTGGGCTCTGCATGCATGTTCTCCTTTAACGAGATCCTGCAGAAGAAGTTGTCCGGCCACCCCAACATTGTTCAGTTCTGTTCTGCAGCGTCGATTGGGAAGGAGGAATCAGACACTGGGCAGGCCGAGTTCCTGCTGCTCACTGAGCTCTGCAAAGGTGAGCCCCAAGCTTCTCAGGGAGGCCGTGGCCTCGGAGCTGCCCTGGCTCTGGGTGCTGGGTCCCAGGTGTGGTCAGTGGACATGCAGCCATGTGACGTGTGGGCAGGGCCTGACCTCACAAGACACCGGGCATGGGCAGGGGTCTTCCGGAGGATGTGGCATGGAGTGGGCATGTGGAGGGGTCCCTGGAGCTCAGATGCCTGCGTGACATGGACACAGATCTGACCCCAGCTCCCAGAACGTACTGTGCCCAGGGCACGCTGAGGCAGGGAGCACTGGGCCCAGTGGAAGCTGCTTCCCACTGGACTGGGTGGATGACAGGGGAAGGGCACAGCCTGCTGGGGGCAGGGGTGGGACAGGGAGTGTGAGGCCTGCACTGGTTCTGCAAGGGTGGGGTATATGGGTGGGAGTGGAAATGTGGCGACAGCTGCTGGTTTCAGCCTGCATGGAAGCCCCTGGGCCTTGCTCGTGTCCCTGTCAGCACAGGACCCTTCCCTACCATCTCCAGGCTGACTGCTGCCTCCCACCCCTGCTCCAGGCTCTGTCCGCCACAGCACACAGGGGTGTAGGCCCTGCGGGGTTCTGCAGTGTGTGGGGTGGGCAGGGCTGCCCAGGGACAGTGGCCGCATCATGCTCTGTTGCACGCAGGTGGGTGTGCTCTTGGTTTTCTTAGCCTTCTGTCTGACTCAGCTGGAGGTGGCCAGAGACACTGTGGTGACCCTGGCCTTTCTTCCTCGCCCCTGGCCTGCAGGGTCCTCCCTGCGCCACGTGCCCCTCAGTGCAATGAGAGCATCAGGCAGGCCTCAGCAGTGGCTCCAGTGCAGTGGCTCTGGCATGTCTCCATGCACTCCTGTCTGTTGTGTTTCTGGGCTGTGTCTCACTCAGGTCTGTCTCCTGGGGCCTTTATGTCATCTGTAGTGAGAGCAGTGGGGTGCAGATACTGAAGAAAAAGGGATTTCACTGCCCAGATGTCTCCATTCAGAGTGTACCCCAGCAGCTTGGACTCCATGTTTACCTCTGGCAACACACATGGGTGGCAGTGGGAGGTGGCCAAGTTGCTCCTTGATGCCTGGGTGGACGGGTCTGGGACAGGCTCCACTAGCAGCTCTGGATACCACCCAGGTCTTCTGTTCCTGGGCCATCTTGGCCATGAACAGGGAGCAGCCTAGGTCAGGTTTCACTTTAATGGGGGATACCTGGCACGTGGCGGTGTCACTGCCCCCAGCAAACTCTACAAGCAGCCAGAGTAGCCGGCTGTATCAGGCGTCCTTGTACCTATACGTTGTCTGGTCCTACTGGGAGCACAGAGGGTCCGAGGATGTCTTCCGGCTGTCCAACAGGTGGCCCTCAGCATCTGCCTGGTGGTGAGGGTGGCAGTGAGCAGGCAGTAGAGCCGCTCCTCCTCCTCCTGCAGCTCTGAGCAGTTTTCCTTGCAAGTTTCTGTTCAGTGTTTCCAGGTTGTGATGGTGGTGGGTGATGGCTGTCCTCACTGCCCCTATGGGCCACCACAAGTTATCCCAGGCTTGAGTGAGCCTGTAGGGCCTGTGACTGGCCATGCTTCCACGTGACACTCCCTCTGCGTGGGAGGGGTCTCACATCTAAGCTAGGGGCTGTGCACAGGCACCTGGCTGGGAAGCATGCAGGGGCAGGTGGCCCAAGGCCATGATGTCAATAAGCAGAAGAATGCGGAGGCCAGTGAGCAGCACGGGCACTGCCTGCTGGGAGGTCTTGGGGTGGCTCCTCCTGGCAGGCCGGTCCTGCCTGTCTGTCTGTCTCTCTCACTCACACACCCCTCGGGATTCCCCCTCACTGGGAATGGTACTCTCACCATACTTCGGCCCTGTCCACGTGGAGCTGAGGGTTGGGAGGCTGCAGATGCTGGGCAGATGGGAGCCACAACAGGTGGGACAGGCAGTGGCCCTTGGTAAGGGGTGAGCTGGAGGCTGCCTTTTTGGGGTGCTGAATGAAGGATTGAAGGTTTGGGGGGCAGAGGAAGAGGCTACATAGTGGGTGAGCTGCTAACTGCCCTAGTCCTGTGGGTTCTGAGGAGTGGGCTGCAGGAGCTGAGGTCGGGGACCTGACTGGGACCTGCATGGTTGTGCTACAGAAATACTTTAGAAGATGTGGGGTTACTAGAGAAGGCTGGGCCTGCATGGATGTAGTCACTGCTCTTACTGCCATGGGGACACTCAAGCCTTAATTGGCAGCCTGTCATCCTGTCAGCACACGCATGTGTCACAGGCAGTCTGTCCTGTCAGCATGTGTGTGTCACAGGTGGTGTGTCCTGTCAACATGTGTGCATGCCACAGGCATGCACTGTCAGCGCTTGTGTGTGTAACAAGTGGTATGTCCTGTCAGCACACGTATTTGTCACAGGCAGTGTGTTCTGTCAGCGTGTGTGTCATAGGCAGCCTGTCCTGTCAGCACATGTGTGTCTTGGGCATGCTATCATTTCTTGAGCAGCAGCCTTTGTCTGACTTGGGGAGGTATTGTCACTCAGGGCTCTGACTTGCTTACACTTACTGTGGGGACAGGCTGCTGCATGCCATCCCCTGCCCTGGGGGTGATGCTCATAGAACCTGGTGACCTGGGTGTGCTGACGGGGATCGCCCCAGCCCTGCCCTCGGGTTGGCCATCATCCTGGGGTCAGCCACGGGCCTTGAGGGAACAGTGCTGCGGCCCCACCAATGGGATCGTAACCTGCTTGTTCCTTCCAGGGCAGCTGGTGGAGTTTCTCAAGAAAACAGAATCGCGAGGTCCCGTGTCGTGTGACACAGTCCTGAAGATTTTCTACCAGACGTGCAGAGCTGTGCAGCACATGCACAAGCAGAAGCCACCAATCATCCACAGGGACCTCAAGGTACCAGCCCTTGTGGGTAGGCGGCCATCATCAGGACCGCGTGTTGCCTCTGAGGTGTGGTGGGGATGCCTCTGCTGCGCCTCGCGAGGCCTGGGTCCTCGGCGTGGTCAGGTGGCAGCGGCTGTGCCTGATGGCCCAGGCTCACCAGGGCTGTCTGGGTTTTCCCAGGTGGAAAACTTGCTGCTGAGCCATCAGGGAACCATTAAACTCTGTGACTTCGGCAGTGCCACGACTATCTCGCACTATCCCGACTACAGCTGGAGTGCCCAGAAGCGGGCACTGGTGGAGGAGGAGGTGAGCTGGCTCTGCAACCCTGCCCCGTGCCTGCTGTGGGCTCAGGTTGTAGGTACATGGTCCCTGGCAGGCGGCACCCTACATGGTGCAGCCCTGGCTACCACCCCTTTTCCAGTATCATTGTGAAGGGTCACCCTTTGTGGGGATCAGCACCTCTGCCTGAGATGGGGTGACACGGGGCCCCTTGAGGGAGGGGGTAGGCTGGTGGAACTGACCCTGGGCCTGCGCCAGAAGTGGGGCACACACTGCGAGGCCTGGAGCCCTGGCCGCACCAGGTGGTCTACCTGCAGCCTGTGGTCTGGCAGCCAAGCTCGGGAGCAGCAGTAAAAGGCCTTGCAGCGGGCAACTGAGGAAGTGTGTAGGGCACATGTCTGTCCTGCAGACCACAGCCCTGTGCTGAGACAGCACACAAATGCCAAGCTCTGTGTTCCTCCGCCCCGCCCCGTGCTGAGGATGCATGGCCTCCTGGGAGTGCACAGCCTCCGTACATGGGGCTGTGCCCTTTCTCCCGTGGCTGCCTGGTGCAGAGCACTCCGGCTTGACTTTGCACTTTGGCTCCACCCACTGCTATGTCCTGCTTCCTGCTTGCAGAACCCACAGTACCCACATCTCCCGCCCCCCATCCTAAGCTCTGCTGCCAGATTGGGGTACTCAAGGCCCTGGGCAGATGCCCACAGGTGCTCATGTCCATCCTCAGAGCAGAGCCACGGCCCCACCCTGTCCCCTCTCCCTCCCCTTCCCGTGTGTCCCTTGGGGCTCATTCTGCATCTACAGAGCTGCTTGTACACCCCTCCTGCTGCTGCCTTCTGAGAGAGTAAGGACTTACTTGTGGCTCCTTCCTATCCGTGGCCAGGTCCAGAAGCTGCTCACCAGCTCAGCAGACAAGAAGCTTTCCCTGTGATTTGTTTGAGAGGCAGGGAAAGCCTATGGACACGTGGCCCATATGAGGCTCATGCCCTGTACCCACAGCAACCAGGTGGGCCAGGCAGAGCCAGGAGCCCAGGGGCCAGGGATCCAGGCCTGGAGCCGGAGCTGGGACTTGGGACCAGTGCCTTGGCCCAGGGAGTGGGCATTCCAGTGGTAGTCTCCCCGGCTGTGTGCATGCCTGGCCCCTTTGAGTAAACCTACCATCCCCCCTACCCCAAGTGTGTAATGCATGGTCTCCCTTCAGCCCCTCGCCAGCAAAGCCCAGACTCCGTGCTGCACACCTTCTGTCGTCCATGTCTCCTTTGCTCCCATGTCTCCTGGGCCAGTCTGCCTGGAGTCATTAAGGCCATCTTCCTCTTTTAGTCTCTCGAGAAAAAAAAAAGGGTTTTTTTTGTTTGTTTTTTTTAAATTTACTTTAAAGGCAGAAGGACTTGGAGAGAGAAAAAAGAGAGAATCTTTTGTCCCCTGATTTACTCCCTGGTTAAGGCTGGACCAGGCTAATGCCAGGGGTCTGAGCCTACACAGAGTGTCCTGCATGGGACAAGGGCCCCAGTACCTGCATCATCCCCTAATGCCTTCCCAGGTTCTTGAGGAGCTGGGTCAGAAGTGCAGCTGCTGGGACTTGATTGACGCCCAGGTGGGATGTGGCCGTCACAGACCACAGCCCAGCCTGCATAGCACTGGCCCCAAGAGCTCTCCATCTGCTGGGTGACTCTCATGTGCCCGGAGTGCCCAGGCTCAGCCAGGCTGGATGCCCGTGGGCCATGGTCATAGGTTCATGAACAGGACTGAGCAGCTGGGCTGCCGACAGCCATGATATGGAAAGTGGGCCTTGGGCAGTGGCCAGGCCCATGTGGCACTGACCCTCTTGCCCTCTGTGACCAGTCTCTGGACCTCATGGCTCTGGACCAGAAGCCGTCCCCAGGAGCTGAACCCCTGGCCATTCTGGTCCCCAGGGTGACGGGGTGGACAGTCCCCTGTGCCTGTCCTGTGGGTCTGTGCACACACTACAACTTACAGGTGGGTAGGCGACTAGGTAGTCCCCTTGTTCCCCACTGGACTCGCCCAGAAGCTTTTGGCTTAGCATCTCCCACAGGCTGTAAGACAGTTTGATTAGGTGTGAGGGCCATGGCAGGGTTGGCAGCAGCTGGAGCGCTAGCCACAAGGGGCCCCTGACTGGCTGTGCTCTCTGCAGATCACGAGGAACACAACGCCCATGTATAGGACGCCAGAGATCGTGGACTTGTACTCCAACTTCCCCATCGGCGAGAAGCAGGACATCTGGGTGAGGGCCCCACTGCCCAGCTTCCCGCGCACCTAGCTGAGGCCACTCCTCTTTCTGCTGAGGCCCTGCCCTACCTCTCACTGCTCAGGGACCCTGACCTGCCTGTCACGGCTCAGGGACCCTGACCTACCTGTCACTATATTTGGGGCCCTGACCTGGTGCACTGGATTCTCCAGCCTGGTGGAGTGTTGGTCAGTGCCAGGGCCTCCTATGCATCCCCAGGGGGCAAGGACAGCATCAAGTGCCTATATCTAAGATGCCCTGCAGGGTCTCAGTAAGACCCACCATGTTCCCCACCCCCCAGACCAACTGTGGGCCTGCCCCATTCCTGCAGGGTCTTGGTTAGACCCACCTTGGGCCTGCACTAGGCACCATCACTGCCTCATGTGCTAAGCGGACCCTTGAGCTGTCTTTGACAGAATGCAGTTGCTTGACCCCAGGATTCTGAGAAGTGTGGACCCCCACCACATCTTGCCCCATGGTCTCCACTGCTCAGAGCAGAGGTCCCCCAAATCCTCTGCATCCTTGGGTAGTGAGGGCTGCAGTGTAGCTGGGGTCCACTGATTTGTGGGCACCCTCACTGCCCCACCCCCGCATGCTCTGGGCTGCGTCCTATATCTGACCTTGGCCCCCTCCCTGCACCCCCTCCCACAGGCCCTGGGCTGCGTCCTGTACTTGACCTTGGCCCCCTCCCTGCACCCCCTCCCACAGGCCCTGGGCTGCGTCCTGTACTTGCTGTGCTTCCGGCAGCATCCTTTTGAAGATGGGGCAAAGCTGCGGATTGTCAATGGAAAGTACTCGATCCCCACAGATGACACGCGGTACACGGTGTTCCACGGCCTCATCCGTGAGTGTCCACGGGGTCTGCCTGTGAGGATGCCCATCGGCCGCTGCTGCCGGTATCTGAGTACCGTGTCTGTGCTGTAGGCGCCATGCTGAGGGTCAACCCCGAGGAACGCCTGTCCATCGCTCAGGTGGTGCACCAGCTGCAGGAGATTGCAGCTGCCCGGAACGTGAACCCCAAGGCGCCTATCACAGAGGTGCGGTGGGCGGATGGGCTGCCTGGCCCTTGGCCTCCAGAAGTTTGTCCAGACCTGGCCCAGGGTTCCTGGAAGTGCTCCTGCAGGCTCTGAGAACGGTCCCCTGTGTGCCTCACACAACTGTGGCAATTGCAGGCCCCACATCCCACGCATCAAAGTGGCGTCGGATATGACTAGGTGGTCAGCGTGAGTGGATTGGGCACTAGCAGCCACTGTGGCGGTAGTGGTGGGCAGCAGAGGTCACCCTTCCCGGTGGCTATGGCCAGAGGCCCATGGAGGAAACCCAAACATGGAGCAATACCAGGTGCCAGACCTCTGCACTGGGGGCAGGCGTGGCGTTGTGGCTGACAATTGTGGTCTCTGATAGGAAGTGCCTGCAAGCAGCTCTGAGGCCATAGGCAGAGTGGGGTGAGGGGAGGGGTTCTGCCCTCGGGATCAGTTGCTGGGGGTCCTGGATGCCATGGGGCAGCAGTGAATGTAGTGTCTGCCTGTGGCCAGAGAGTGCTGTCCAGGCAAGTGGAGCCCGAGACAGCCCTGGGTGCAGAGGGGAGTCTGCAGTGGACTAGAGCCCCTCAGGGCCTCTTGCTGGCCTTTCCTGGCCACAGGTGGATAGGGGCGGGCCGGCGTGGCTTCTGACCTTGCAGAGGACTCCTTACAGCTCCTGGAGCAGAATGGGGGCTACGGGAACGTCGCACTCTCCCCTGTGAGCAGCAGCCATGGTGGAGGTGAGTGCAGGCTGCTGGCCAGAGTTGACCAGACCAGTTACAGGAAACCTGGCCTGGGTCTCTCTTGGGGCTGTCCCAGGGTATGGCCTAACCCTAACCTACACCTGGCGTTGGGCAGGTTCCCCTGATTAAGGTAGGGCACTGGGAGTGCCTGCTGGGTGTCCCCATGGGTGTGGGGGCCTTAGGGCAAGTTGTTGGGTTATTACTGTGGGCCCTGTGTCCCTAGGGAGGGTCCCAGCCCCCATGGTTGGGTGGCCTCACCGCATGGTCCCCACTGCTGCCTCCCTGTGTGTGGGGACTTCCTACATCTGCACCAGATCTACTACTGAGACCCTGCCCAGGCCTGTCACTGAAGGGCTCAATCCTGCCATCCTTCCACTGCCCCTAGCACTCCTGTCACACCAAGAAGGTGGTGGCCAGCCAGAATCTGCATGCCAGATTCTCTGTCAGGGCCATCCTGGGAATGATCAGACCCTGCTGACTGGAAGCTGTCCACACAGGCCTGGCCCTGGCCGAGTTGGACCAGCCCTATGGCGGGTTCCTGGACATCCTGCGAGGGGGGACCGAGCGGCTCTTCACCAACCTCAAGGATACCTCCTGCAAGGTCATCCAGTCTGTGGCCAAGTGAGTGTGGAGAGCTGTCCCCTGCTCTCTTGCAGCCGTGGACACCCCCAAGAGTGGGATCCCCAACAGTGGCCTGCATGGGTGTCCTTTCTCATTGCAGCTACGCCAAGGGCGACCTGGACATCTCTTACGTGACCTCCCGAGTAGCCGGTACATCCACCCCACTGACCCACCCTGGTTGAGGACAGCCTGGGCCTCCCTTGCAGCTCTGTTGTGGACCACTCAGACCGTCTGGGCATTTTCCCAGGCAGGTCAGCCAGCGTCCAGCACAGTGGACAGTGACTGGAGTCCTGGGTCCCCTGTGGGTGACAGAGCGCTCCCCAAAGGTCACCCCAAAATCCAAAATCCTGGCCAGTCTTCTGATGGCTGGCCATGTGTGTGTGTGTGTGTGTGTGCGTACACGCGCATGCTGATGGCTGACTGTGGGTGTTTTCTGACAGCTGACCTGTGTGTACTGGCTATTGCTGACCCCAAAGTTCCCTTGCCTGCAGCCCTGGCTGTGTCCATTAGAGGGTGGACCGTGGCCTGATGGCATGGTGTGGCTGAGTCGACATTGCCTGCTTTGTCTAGTGATGTCATTCCCAGCAGAAGGCGTGGAGTCAGCCTTAAAAAATAACATCGAGGACGTGCGGCTCTTCCTGGACTCGAAGCACGCAGGGCACTACACGGTTTACAACCTGTCGCCAAGGACGTATCGTGCCTCCAAGTTCCACAACCGGGTGAGTGGTTTGGGCCAGCTTCCAGCTCCGTGAATGCTGAGGCCCTGCTGGGCAGGTCCTGGGCTGGGCTCAGGGCTGTGGTGCTGGGTTGACCCCTGGCTGAGCAAGACACTCCATAGGTCTGTGAGTGTGGCTGGGCAGCCAGGCGGGCACCCCTCCTGCATAACCTCTACAGCATCTGCAGGGACATGCACAGCTGGCTCCGCCAGGACCCCAAGAATGTTTGCGTCGTGCACTGCATGGTGAGTGACAGGCGCACAGAGCAGTGGTGGTGATCAGGTGTTGTCAGGAGCCAGACCTCTGGGCAGACCCTGATGGAGGGAGCGGGCCACTCTGCCACCAGTGATTCCTGCCGCTGGGCCAGGGTTCAGGTGATACACCCTCCAATGAGGATGATGACAATAGAGCAATTTGTCCTGAGGACGCTGGAAGGCTGAAGCAGCATGGGGTAGGGCCCATCCAGTGGGAGGAGCAGGCGCAGGGCCCTTCTTCCTCTACCTTGCCCTGCAGCCTGACATGTGCTAGGGGGAACCCCCTCCCCAGCATGGTGGTGACATGGCTGGCAGGAACCCTGCAGGTGGCGTGGTGTTGCCGCATGGCACTGTGCACGCCCCAGGGGACGGCTGGTGTGTCTCTGCCGCAGGATGGGAGAGCCGCATCTGCCGTGGTTGTCTGTGCCTTCCTGTGCTTCTGCCGGCTCTTCAGCACCGCTGAGGCTGCTGTGTACATGTTTAGCATGAAGCGCTGCCCGCCAGGAATTTGGCCATCACATAAGAGGTATGATGTAAGCCTGGCAGTGCCTGTCAGATGCACCATGGATCCTGTGCTGACCATGCAGAGGCCTGGCTCCTGGCTATCAATAACAGACCTGGAGGATCCCCAGAGTGATAGTCACAGGGCTGTGGGTACCAGGGACAGAGGGAGCAGGCCTGGGGTGAGGCCATGTGTGCCCACAGTGACGTGGGTACAGGGACGGAGGGAGCAGGCCTGGGGTGAGGACACACGTGTGCCCGCAGTGACCTGGGTACAGGGATGGAGGGAGCAGGCCTGGGGTGAGGACACATGTGTGCCCGCAGTGACCTGGGTACAGGGACGGAGGGAGCAGGCCTGGGGTGAGGACACATGTGTGCCCGCAGTGACGTGGGTACAGGGAGGGAGCAGGCCTGGGGTGAGGCCATGTGTGCCCACAGTGACGTGGGTACAGGGACGGAGGGAGCAGGCCTGGAGTGAGGACACACGTGTGCCCACAGTGACCTGGGTACAGGGACGGAGCAGGCCTGGGGTGAGGACACATGTGTGCCCACAGTGACCTGGGTACAGGGAGGGAGCAGGCCTGGGGTGAGACTGACTGTGCCCACAGTGACCTGGGTACAGGGAGGGAGCAGGCCTGGGGTGAGACTGAGTGTTGCCCACAGATACATTGAGTACGTGTGCGACATGGTGGCCGAGGAGCCCATCACGCCCCACCGCAAGCCTGTCCTCCTGCGGGCTGTGACCATGACGCCCGTGCCACTGTTCAGCAAGCAGAGGAGCGGCTGCCGGCCCTTCTGCGAGGTGTATGTGGGGGACGAGCGTGTGGCCACCACCTCCCAGGAGTATGACAAGATGAAGTGAGTGTTTGAGCATGCCCACCTCAGGCGGGGGTGCAGGGTCTGGTTGGTCTGGGACAGGTGCAGGTCCAGGCCGCCCCTCATGGCTCCTTGCATGGACATCTTTTTCTTTCTTTCTTTTCTTTCTTTTTTTTTTTTTTTTTGTGAACTTATCTATGGAGATCTTTTTACTATTATTATTATTATTATTTTATGATACAGTTCCATAGGCTCCTGATATTTCCCTTATCCCAGCCCCAATTCCCCCCCACCCAACCTAGTTCCTCTATATCATTACTAAAGTATAGTTCTTCATACACAGTCATATGTCCATCATTGTGGGCATGGACAATAGCAGAGTCCAGAATCCTATTGTCAAGATACAGTGAACAGTTTCATTATAAGTCCATCTTTGTATGGAAGCAGAAATGCATACTACACTGCATCCTCACATCTGGTTGTTAATCTCCATTTCACAGCTACTGTACATCCCCTTAAATGAAAAGTCATAATACAAAATCAACAATAGAAAGAAAAATAAAAATTTACAATGCCATGAAGTTAAATGACATATTACTAGATATGACAGTCTCCATTACACAGCTACTATACATCCCCTTAAGTGAAGAGCCACAAAACAAAATCAACATCAGGAAGAAAAAAGGAATTAACAACACCATGATGTTAAATAACATGCTATTAAATGACTAACGTGTAGCTGAAGAAATGAAAATCAAGAACCTTGCAGAAAATGAGGCTACTGTATGATCTATGAGTCATTGAAAAATTTAATTAGAAGAAAGTGTTTTGAAGAGATGAAGTTAACAGAAAACATCAAAATCCATGCGATATAGTTTCCACTGATTTTTGTTGGTGAAATGTGTCTCTTCTAGACAACAAATAGATGGGTTTGTTTTTTAATCCAGTCTACTAATCTATGACGTTTGATTTAGCTTAAGCCATTTACATTCAGGGTTAATATGTGTGGGTGGTATTTTGGTCCTGTCATTTTAGGAATGGGTTGTTCATTGATTTAGTCTTCTGTTGCCATTTTACTGGGATTTTCTTCCCATTTGCCTTTGGTTTTGGTAGGTGCTATTCCTCTTCTCTGTCAAGAGAACATCTTGAAGTATCAATTGTAGGGCAGGTTTGGTAGAGGCAAATTCTTTTAACTTTTCTTTACTGTGGAAGAATTTTATTTCATTTTCAAAGACGAAAGAAAGCTTTGCTGGATATGTTATCCTAGGCCGATATTTTTTTTCTTTTAGAATCTGGAATATGTCACTCCATTCTCTTCTTGCCTATAGAATTTCCTGTGAGAGATCTCCTGTGAGTTTAATTGGCATTCCTTCATATGTCAATTGATTTTTTTCACGTGCACATTTAAGGATCTTTTCCTTATGTTCAATTGAAGAGAGCTTGATGATCATGTGTCTTGGTGAAGATCGCTTTTGATCAAGCCTGTTGGGAGTTCTGTGCCCCTCCTGGATCTTGTTTCCCAATTCTTTCTCCAAATTAGGGAAATTTTCCTTGATTATTTCATTAAATACATTTGCAAACTCAGCTTCTCTTTCTGCACCTTCCGGGACTCCCATAACTCTTCTATTTGGCCTCTTAATAGTGTCTTTCAATTCTTGAATACTTTTTTTGGCCTGATCCAGCTCTGCTTCCAGCTTTTTGTTTGCTTCCCCTGATGACAGGAATTCTGAGATTCTTTCTGCTTGCTTCATTCTATTTTGGAGACTCTCCACTGTACTTTAATTTGCTCTACTGTGTTCTTAATTTCTGATAGATCAGCCTTGATTTGCTTTATTGCTGCTATTGCTGTGTAAAATATTCCTTAAATTCTTTGAACTCTTGTATGTGCTTCTGATTGTTGATCAGAAGCTTTAAAATGAGTTTTCTGAATTCTGTGTCCCCCATTTTCTTGATGTCTTCCTCAGTTAACTCTGAGGTTGGCATAGGATTTTGCTCCTTTGCAGGGGAGTTTTCAGTAATATTAATTGTGCCTCTGTCTCTTCTTTTGCTCTTGGTTATTGTACTTCTGGTTATCAGAGTCTTCTCCTTGGGGCAGGTTTCTAAGCTGTGTCACCCACAGGTCTATAGTTTGATTTTACTTATTGCAGTTGGTACACAACTCTGCTTGCAGCCAATTGTGGCACTCTTTCCAGCGAGTTCCAGGTCTAGGTTCTTATGTTAGATTTCCACAGAGAACTCCGTAGCCCCAACTCTGCCTCACCAATCTCCACCTCCTGTGATACCATTTTGAGGCTGCACCTTTGTCTCTACAACCTTTCTCCCTCTTCTGGTTGGAGAAGGTCCCAGGATTAGGGAGACACCAGGTGTCCTATATAGCTAGGTTGTTGGTGGCGCTGATCTTGCCGGAACCTGTTGAATGTTAGGTCTGGGTGCCACACGGACCCATTTTGACTCTACAATGCCACAGTCGGTATTATTTTCCTGTGGGAGTAGTGTAATCCACGGAACTCAGTGAGTTCTCGCAAGTTCAGCACATGCGCAGTTCACTGTTGTCCCTGCAGTCCTAAACTTTTGCCACAGTGTACAAAATGGTGCCTGACGTACCACTACCAGAGTTCTTGATCTGCTGGCCGTCAGGTCTGAGGGCTACCCAGACCTGTCTTGGGTGGAACCTATAGGATGCCACGTTGCTGCAGTTCACTGAGTCAGAAATGAGTTCACTCCCAGCTCAGCATATGCTCAGTCGTTTCCCTTGCCTTTACCTCCTTACGCAAAATGGCACTCAGTTCGGCTCAAGGGGGCTGACTGGGCTGTGAAATCCACCCTGTTCTCGCACCGCCTGTCTGGGATCTGTTGCTCTATCTCTGCTCCTCATCAAATCAAACGGACCAGCAGGACAGACAGTTCTTTGTCTGGGTTCACCTCCTAAGCTCCCAGTGTAAGTCCCTTCCCACCTGGTTGCTGGTGGCGTTCAGATGGCTGTTAATTGAATGCCACTGGGGTATCAGTCACTGCAACACCACACCATTGTGTCCACTGCTTTCCTATGTCTGTCAGTATCCAGGTACCCCTCTGCTGTTGTTCTGTCCTCTCCTGTTTCCTGGAATGTGTCCTCTCTGCTTCATCCTGATTAAACGTTTCTCCGTCCGTTTAAACGTGTCCTTACCCTTATTCCACCATCTTGATTCTCCCATTGCAGGGATTTCAAAGTGGAGGATGGCAGGGCAGTCATTCCCCTGGGCGTGACTGTGCAGGGGGACGTGCTCGTGGTCATCTACCATGCCAGGTCCACGCTGGGTGGACGGCTGCAGGCCAAGGTGAGCACGAAGGAGCGAGTAGGTGATGTGCTGTCTCCTTGGCCCCCTCTATCCCCTGCCGTCCATGCTCCCTGCCCACCGTCTGTGGCTGCTGCCCCTCAGCCAGCATCCTCTCTCTGGGCAGATGGCGTCCATGAAGATGTTCCAGATCCAGTTCCACACTGGCTTTGTGCCTCGGAACGCAACCACTGTCAAGTTTGCGAAGTATGGGGTGGGCACTGGGCCTGCAGGGCAGGTTCAGAGCGTGGCCTCTCAGGGCCCTCGGTCCTGTGTGACTGCACACCTTCCTGCACCTGCACGTGGGGTGGGCACCATCTGTGTGCAGAGACGGGCAGGGGGGCCAGCTGCGCAGGCAGGGAGCTGGGTGGGCAGCAGCAGCTGGGTCGGCACCAACTGCTGTTCTCCTCGTACCCTGTGTCTTTCTCCCTCTGGGAAGGGGGCATCACAGTTCGCATGGGGACCCTACACCAGTGTGCTGACGTGCAGCTACACCGGAGCTGTGCCCAACCCCATGAGGTTGTGGAGGGGCAGCAGGCTGAATCCAGCAGATGAGGCAGAGGGCTAGTCTTGATGCCCATGTGGCTGCCGCCCGGCTCAGAACTGCCCTTCTGCCCACAGCCATTGTTCCCTCACTGCCTTCTGTGACTGACAGGCCGGGTGGGCCTAGCACTGAGGGCAGAGGGTCCCCTTGGAGCACCACCACCAGGCCACCCCGTGACTGCTGCCTCTGAACTACAGGTATGATCTGGATGCCTGCGACATCCAGGAGAAATACCCGGATTTATTCCAAGTGAGTCTAGACGTGGAGGTGGAACCTCGAGACCGGCCAAGCCAAGAGGCCCCGCCCTGGGAGAGCGCACGCGCCAAGGGCCTGACCCCTAAGGTCCTCTTCTCCAGCCGCGAGGAGCAGCAGGACACACTGTCCATGTTTGGTGAGTTCCCCAGCAAGCCCAAACCTGGATAGGGAGACCAGGCCAGCCCACACTGTCCTCCTGTTTGCACATCTCACAGGGACATGGGGCCTGGGACTGATGCCCCCTCCCCACAGGGAAGCCTGAGCTGCCTCGCCAGCCCGGCTCCACTGCCCGCTATGACGCTGAGGGGACATCGCCCGAGGCTGTGCCCACTGAGTCAGACTCCCCGCAGAGCGGCCCAGACGCTGACCACTTCCTGCACACGCTGGACTGGCAGGGTAGGTGTTGGGACCGAGTCCGCTCCACCTGGCCCTGCTCAGACGAGAGGCGCGTTCACAGCCTTGAAGACCTGTCTGGAAGGAGGGGAGAGTCCAGGTCTCTCCCCACACGCTGAGCCTGGCCGTCCTGACCTCCTACCCCAGACCCTGCCTGATCCTTCCCAGGGCCATCCCCCAACAGGGTGCTGGGGGGTTCTTGCTGTGTGGAGCCAGGGGCTGCAGGCTGGCAGTGCCAAGCCCCTGACATTCCTTCCCAGAGGACAAAGAGCTGGAGCCCGGCGTGGAGGAGGGTGCCTCACCGCCCGGCCCAGCCGTGGACGAGGACGACAGCGAGGCATCCACCGAGGTGGAGCCTGGGCCCCATGAGGACCAGGAGGAAGAGGAGGAACCCCGCCAGGTGGCAGGGCCGGAGTCACAGGATGCGGTTGACCTCCTGGGACTGCATGAGGAGGCAGGCCCGGAGCCAGCATCTCCCTCATCTCCTTCACAAGCCCGCGGGGTCCCCTCCAGCAACGCTGAGCTACTCAGCTCCCTCCTGGGTCCCCCTGAGGCTGCTGTGGAGCAGCCCCCAGACGACCTGCTGGGCGGGGAGGCCCCGCCCCTCAGCACTGGTAGGCACCGGGCCTGATGGGAATGCCTGCCAGCCCTGCCCCCAGAGCCCCCGACATCCCTTGTCCCATCTGGTACTCCCACCCTCCGCCTGTCTCCACAGCTGACCCCTTCGAGCCCCTGCTGCCACTGTCCCAGCCCCATGCCCAGCCTGACCTCTTCGGCGCCTTCCTCACGGCAGAGCCCAAGGCCGCAGCACCGCCCTTCCCCTCCACACACAGTGCCCCACCCCCAGCCTGCAGCCCCGACTTCCTGCACCTAGGTAAGTGATCCTTGGCCAGGCTGACAGGGCACACCTCCGCCTTGGGCAGCCCGTGCCTCTCTAGGGTCCCTCCATGTGCCCAGGCCCTCGGCTGATGGTGCCCTGCTGTAAGCAAGGGGCCAGTGGGAGCCCAGGGAGCTCAGCTTCTTAGTCAGTGGTGGGCACCGTGCCAACCATGCAGTCCTGCAGGGCACCACAACCTGTATGCTTGCAGTCCATGGGCACCACTGGGCAGCCACAGGTGCTGACCTTGCACATGCAGTCGACCACTTCCATGGCCTTGAGAGGAGAGGGGCAAGCTAAGCCGTGGTGAGGAGGTGAGATGCTGACTAAACACCTCCTTCTAGGGGACCTACCCACAGATCCCAGCAGGATGACCAGCTCCTCCAGCCACCCAGACCTGCTCGGGAGCTGGGACACCTGGACCGAGGCTGCTGTGCCTGGGCCAGCACCCACAGCAACCAAAGAAGGTAGGACCCTGAGCAGGGCCCAGGACCTGGGCAGGCACCCTTTCCAGTTTGTATGGCTCCCCAGGATGGCTGTACCTGGACCCCACCTCAAGCCCTGCCAGAGCACATACTGTCATGGGTTTCCTGCCCCCATCCCAGCTGTCAGGAGGCCCTGTAACCCAAGGGTGGCCTTTGAGGGCCATGGCCTAGGACCTTTCCTTGATTCCCTAGCATGCTCACCGGTGTGGGGCTGCTCTGCCGCGGTGAGGGCAGCCAGTGCTGTCTGGCGGGCAGAGATGGCCGAGGAGCCGGCTGGCCTGGTGGGCAGCTGGAGATGGCCACTGTGACATGAGGATTTCTCTTATTCTGTGAGGGTTCAGACACAGGAGCTGTTGGTGGATGACTTCTCTAGCATGTATTTGTTTATTGTTTGGAAGCTGGGATTATATTGAGATACAATCTTGTCTCTACGATTGACTTCCCAGATGTCCACAGTGGCAAGTGCTGGGCCATGACCAGGAGCTTCCTGTGAGTGCCCCATGTGGGTGCAAGAGCCCAGACACTTGGGCCGTCCTCTTTGGTTCCCCAGGCCATCAGCAGGGAGCTGGATGGGAAGTAGAGCAGCAGAACTAGAACGGGTGCCCACATGGAATGCTGGCACTTGCAATAAGATAGCCTTTTGAGCCACGGTGCCAGACCCTCATGTTTCAAGTGATGACTTTATGTAGTTTGTTGAACAACTGACTGTCAGACAGCTCTGTGACCAGGACACCAAGGGCTGTGTTGTGGCCACAGAGCAGCAGAGCTGTGTCTGACACTGAAGCCTGGCTGTGTGTGGAGCGAGGTATGCCTGCCCTTCATGATTCCTCTGCCTCTCTCTGCCTCTCTCTCCCTAGGAGGTCCGCTGGCCCCTCCTGGCCCCCAGCCTGCCCGCACCAAATCTCAGAGCCTCGACCCATTTGCTGACCTTGGTGAGCTCAGCTCCGGCCTCCAAGGTACCTGAAGCGCGCCACCGTGCCACCCAAGCAGGGACTGCCTCTCTGCCTGCCCTCAGGTGCCGTTAACTGAGGTGGCCAGATGTACCATGTCCCTAAGAGAGAGGGCACCTGGAACTTCGGCCCCAGCCACAGGGTCCTCCCCAGGGCCTGCCACTCCCCCTGGGCCAGTAGAGCTCAGGCTTTGTCCCTTAGCCCCTGTGGGCTTCTGGCCTGCAGGCTTGGGTGCCTCTGGGGACCCAGACACTGGTGTCAAGCTGGTGTGTGTGGAGGGCCGGCCACAGCATGGCCTCAGAGGCCCTCAGCTTCAGCCTCTGCATCCTCTGGGGGTGAGACCTGAGCCTGTGATGTCCATGCAGTCACCCTCACTAATGTCCACACTCGTGTCCATGCAGTCACCCCACGCCATAGTCTGCATTGATGTCCACGCTGTCACCCTCGCGGAGGTCCACACTCGTGTCCATGCAGTCGCCCTCAGTCATGTCCACACTCACGTCCACACTGTCACCCTCACTTGATGTCCTCACTCATCATGGTCCACTTTGATGTCCACACTACTCTGTCAGCATGCATGTCCATGCTGTCATCCACAGTGACTTGCACACTGCCCTCTGTGAGAAGGCCTGTGGCAGTGTAGAGTGCCCTATTTCTGGAACATTCCTGAGATGACATAGATCATGCCACACGTGACGTCTGCCTTGGGGTGGAGGTGGTCTCTGGCCATGATGGCCCTCCTGGCTGGTTCCTGCAAGTCTCACCACTGGACGGTGGCCTGGGAGCCCCTGCCCACATCTGTCAGGGCCCAGTCCTTGCTAGCAGCAGCCCGGGTGGGCACAGGTCGCCGGGGGCATACTCTGCCACCCTGCTTGCAGCCCACTTGGCACCAACGTGCCGTCTCCCACTGTCTCAGGTGCATCTGTTGGCTTCTCTGCTGGGGGCTTCCTGCCCAGAACTGGCCCCTCTTCCAAGGGGGCCTGGCAGACAGGTCAGCCACCAGTCCCGGGCCCATCCAGGCCCCCCCAGGGCAAGGCCCCCTCCAAGGCCAGCACTCAGCCACGGCCCCCCTACACTGGCAGCTTCAGCGTGATTGGGGGCCGCGAGGAGCGGGGCATTCGTGCCCCCAGCTTTGGTGAGTCCCACCCATGGGACCCAAACTTGGGGTTGGGGGGCAGAAGGGTGGGGCCTGCGTCTGGAAGGCGTCTCATTTGCAGCCCAGAAGCCTAGGGTGTCTGAGAGCGATTTTGAGGACTTGCTGTCCGGCCAGGGCTTTGCCTCCAAGGCTGACAGGAAGGGGCCACGGACCATGGCTGAGATGCGGAGGCAGGACCTGGCCCGGGCCTCAGACCCGCTGAAGCTCAAGGTGGGCACTGCCCCTGGGGTCCCCGTCCAGCCGCTGGGCTTGGGGTAGGGCACAGTCCTTGGGGCTCAGGGTGCCTCGGTGCTGCCCACAGGTCCTGGACTGGGTTGAGGGCAAGGAGCGGAATCTGAGGGCGCTGCTGTCCACGCTGCACACGGTGCTGTGGGACGGTGAGAGCCGCTGGACGCCCGTGAGCATGGCCGAGCTGGTGACGCCCGGCCAGGTGAAGAAGCAGTACAGGCGCGCCGTGCTGGTGGTGCACCCTGACAAGGTGTGGGCGCCACAGGCTCCCTGACTCGTGTCCTGTGCGTGTCTCCCCCTTGTGTCCCCTGTGTGTCCTGTGTATGTGTCCCATGTGTGCCCCATGTGTCCCTGCCAAGGAGTGGCTTCGAGTCCCATGCCCACCTGCACCTGCACCCATACCCACAGGCCGCCGGGCAGCCGTACGAGCCACTTGCCAGGATGATCTTCATGGAGCTCAACGATGCCTGGTCCGAGTTTGAGAGTCAGGGCTCCCGGCCGCTCTTCTGAGACCCTGGAGGTCGGAGTAGCTCTGGAATGAGGCTGGTAGCCCGGCGTGTGGCCACAAGGGATGCTCCCGGTGCCTGTCTGGCCTGGTCCTGTGCTCGTGGGAGTGCATGGGGAGCTCGCTGTGCCAGTTCTCCTTCCTGCCCGTGGAGTTGGGGCTGCCCACTGTCCCTGAATCATGTCCTGTACATAATTAAACTATTTTCTGACCATGTTGTCTGCAGCCACTTCCTGTCGCGCCGGGGCTGGGAGTAGGGGAGCATGGGGCTGGACCTCACCTCCCTCCCTAGGGCCCCTCCAGTGCTCTTACCCATGGGGCCAGAGCCATCTCGCAAGCCCTGCCAGTCATAGACTGACCGCGGCCTGGGGCAGGGCTGGGAGCAGGGCCCAGGTCCTGATCTCTGATCTTGGGGCACTTGCTCCAGGACAAGCAGAGACCCCTGGTCTCTCCTGTGGGCCACTCTGTCCATGGGGCTCGGGGTTACTTAGTGTCACTGCCCTGCCAGGCCCTTGTAGTGAGAGTACACACCCTGCTACACGTGTTACAGGCATCTTACATGTGTGGCACAGGCATCTATTATACATCTGTGACTGTTACACGTGGTGTGACAGACATCTTACACGTGTGTGGCACACAGACATCGTGCTCTGTCAGGAACCCAGTGTTTTTGCACAGAAGCTCTGCCTACACCGTGTCCTGGGGCTGACCTGGGGCGGGGAAAGGGCTGAGTCAGAAAGCGGATCTGGTGAGTACGAGGCAGGCCTGGGCCTTAGGAAGCCCACAGCCATGCCCCTGGTGACCAGGGTCCTTGGCTCTGCCCCAGCCTGACGTCAAAAGCCTTCCTGGGCCCGGTGCGGTGGCGCAAGTGGTTAAGGTCCTCGCCTTGCACGTCCGGGATCCCATATGGGCGCCAGTTCTAATCCCAGCAGCCCCGCTTCCCTTCCGGCTCCCTGCCTGTGGCCCGGGAAGGCAGTGGAGGACGGCCTAAGGCTTTGGGACCCTGCACCCGCGTGGGGGACCTAGAAGAGGCTCCTGGCTTCGGATCGGCATAGTATCGGCCGTTGTGCTCACTTGGGGAGTGAATCATCGGACAGAGGATCTTCCTCTCCGTCTCTCCTCTCTGTATATCCACCTTTCCAATAAAAAATAATAATAATAAAAATAAATCTTTAAAAAAAAAAAAAAAGCCTTCCTGACAACTGTGGCTTTAGAGGGCCCAGGCTGCGGCAAGCCCTGGGCAAGAGCAGGGACTGAGCCCCCAGCACCAGTGCCTTGACCTCACCTTGGACCCCACAGGAGCCCACAGCCCAGGCCCCGCTGAAACCCCAGCCAAGCAGGAGGGGCTCCTGCCGATGTTTCTTGCAATGTCTGCCTGGCACCCACAGTATCTCTGAGGGGTCCACGGGAGGAGCGGGCAGCAGTCCGTTAGCTGCAGTGGACATGGGAGATGCCAAAGCCCAGGCTTGGCACTGGGGTTGCCCGCCTACCATCGTCCACTCTTGATGGTGTTCCAGGGCCTGGCCCCACCCTGCCTTCCCTGGGGAGGCCCTGAGGTGGATGATGAGAGCAGCTGCAGGCTGTGTCCACAAGAGGGAGCCAGAGAAAGGGGTGCCCAAGACCCTTTCTTCACTCAACACTGGTAACTTGAAGATTCATTGAAAAGTGTTGGGCCCTATGCCATGGCTCAGTGGCTAAGTCCTTTCCTTGCTTACACAGGGATCCCGGATGGGTGCCAGTTTGTGTCCCGGCACTTCCCATCCAGCTCCCTGCCTGTGGCCTAGGAAAGCAGTGGAGGACGGTCCCAAGCCTTGGGACCCTGCACTGATTTCGGGGACCCAGAAGAAGCTCCTGGAATCAGCTCAGATCTGGCCATTTGCAGCCATTTGGGGAGTGAACCAGCAGATGGGAAGTCTTTCTGTTTCTCCTTTTCTCTGTAAATCTGCCTTTCAAAAAATATTTTAAAAAATACAAAATACTGTTTTGTCTGGGAATGGGAAGATCAATGGCCAAATCAAATACATACATATCCAAGAAAAGTCACTGTAAATCACCATAATAGAGAGAAACCACAGTAGATACAGACCAGGCATTCAACACCCCCAAAGACCAAGCAGGGACCACTGGGCGCCACACCAGCCCCATATGTGGAAGTGGGCAAGCTCTGGTCAGCTAGAGGGGGCGGCACAGGGAGGGGCCAGGGCACACACACAAGGCTTTGTGTGGTTGCTGCAGTCCCAGCCCAGCCCGCTGCCCGTGACAGCCTGAGGCCGGGCCTGCACCTATGCGGAGGCCTGGATGGAGCCCCCAGCATCTTGGCCTTCGGGCAGTGACTAGCAGGCAGAGGCTGTTTCTCTGTTGCTCCACATTTTAAATAGTAATCATCAGTATTTTTTTTTAAGAATTATTTATTTTTATTGCAAAATCAAATATACAGAGAGGAGGAGAGACAGGGAGGAAGATCCTCTGTCCGTTGATTCACTCCCCAAGGGACCACAACAGCTGGAGCTGAGGTGATCCAAAGCCAGGAACCTCTTCCAGGTCTCCCACATGGGTGCAGGGTCCCAAAGCCTTGGGGCATCCTTGACTGCTTTCCCAGGCCACAAGCAGGGAGCTGGATGGGAAGTGGGACTGCCGGGGACTAGAACCTGTGGCCCTGTGGGATCCTGGTGCGTGCAAAGCAAGAACTTTGGCTGCTAGGCTACTGCGCCGGGCCCACATCAATCTTTTTAAGAAGATTGAAACAGAGGACTGTTCACGAGAGCCATGGCTGTGGGCTACACAAGTTTCCTGTGTCCCCTTGCGGTCCCTGCTGGCCAAGGGAGGTGCTGGGGACAGCTCAGAGAGTCAGACCAGCCACGTGCCCGCGAGGATCTTACTCCATCCAGAACTGCTCCACAGTAAAGAAGCAATGGCCTCCTGGGGGCCCAGGCAGCAGGTGGAACAGGGGAGGCCTGGTTTGCTCAGGGCAAGCCAGGGGAGGAGTGGTGATGGCTGGGCCGAGACTCTGCAGGACCTGGACCTACCCAAAGCCCCGACCTCAGGGACCTGGAGTGAAGCGGGAGATGGCACCGCCTTCCCACGTGTCCGGGCCCTTCACGGCCGGCGCAGAACCCCTGAGGTTGGCACTGGAGCTCCTACGGAGTTCGGGGGTGGGGTCGGGAGACCCCTGTGCCCCCTGACCCCCGCCTGCTGGTGCTGGCCCCAACAACCCCAGGAGAGAGCTGCCCACCTGCTACGTCTGCTCCACCGCCCGTTCGGCCCCCGAGCCGCCCCCAGCCCTGCCACGGGCCCCGGGGCCCCTCCTTTCCCCTTAGCACCGCCGGGTGGGCGGCGGAGACGCGCTGGGTCCGGCCTGGAGTCCCGCGCACGCCCCGCACCGCGCGGCGCCGCCCTCCGTCACGCCCGACGCCGAGGGGCGGCCCGGTGACGCGCTCCCCGCCCGCGCCCGCCGTGCCCTTCAGCGCCGCAGTCGCTGCCGCCACATGGACCCGGCCGGTCCGACTGCGCCGCGCTGACGCCGGGAGGTGAGGGCGCCCGGCCCCGGCCCTGCTCCCCGCACCCGGCCCCGCACCCGGCCCGAGCTCAGCCCCGCTCCGCAAGCCCGCACCCGGCCTCTGCTCGGTGCCCCGCGCCCCGGCCCCGCGCTCCGGCCCCGCACCCGGCCCGAGCTCAGTCCCGCTCCGCAAGCCCGCACCCGGCCTCTGCTCGGTGCCCCGCGCCCCGGCCCCGCGCCCCGGCCCCGCACCCGGCCGGAGCTCAGTCCCGCTCCGCAAGCCCGCATCCGGCCTCTGCTCGGTGCCCCGCGCCCCGCCCAGGTCCGCGCTCCCGCCCGGCAGCCGCTGTCCCCGCCGCGGTGCTGAAGCGACCCACGCCTCCGTCCGTCCTGCCCCTTCACCACCGCGTGTCCTAGGTCCCCATCCCGTCCGCCCATTCCCTGTCCCCCTGTCCTCTGTGCGTCCTCTGCCTCCCCCGCCCTCTGTCCCCCACCCCCTGGCCCTCTGTCCTCTGTGCCTCCGTCCCCCTGTCCTCTGTCCCCTCACCCCCTGGCCCTCTGTTCTGGCCCCCTCCTCTGCCCCCTGTTCTCTGCCCCAGGTCCTCGGTCCCCCGTCCTCTCCCCCACGTCCTGTGACCCCTATTCTCTGTACCCCATCCTCTGGTCCCCTGTTCTCTGTTCCCGTACCCCTTTGGTCCCCTGTCCCTGTCCTCCCGCCGTCCTTTCCCGCATGCTCCTGCCCAGGGCACCTTGCCAGCCTGCACCGCCAAGGGGTGCGGCACCTGGCTGGCGGGTGGGCTGGGGTCTGTGTCCCTGCACTCGCCCTTCCTCCAGCTCAGGGAGAAGTTTGGGAGAGAACGGGTTTACGGTTCCCAGCCACTGGCGCTAGTCCTTCTGCAGCCCGGCCCCTTCCCCAGTCCCTGCAGCTTCTTGTCTGCTGCAGAGGGAGGGAGGGAGGGAGGAAGACAGGCAAAACCGGCCCAGGAGAGACCCCGGCTGCCAGCAACGCCTCCCTCTCGGGGCCGCCCAGTGGCCTTGATCCCCTAGGATGGGCCCAGGACCCTCTAGCCCCACTGTGAGGTGGAGCCGTGACCTTCAAACGCCCCAGGCTAACGCCAGACTCCGCCAAGCCCCTCCCTGCAGGCCCAGGGCTGGCCAGACTCCTGGGAGCTATGGCTGGGTATAGGCTTGGGGATCCCAGCCCAGGTTGGGGGCAGTGAGGGAGGCTGAATGGTGGTGGGGAGAAGACCCCCCAAGCCTCTGATTGCCTGGTCTCCCCCAGGAAGAGGACCTGGTTCTGAGCCCCCCCGGAGCTGCTGAAGACCCAGAGCCACCATGGAGTTTGTGATGAAGCAAGCCCTAGGAGGTAGGGGAAGGGCTGGGGCCAAGGTTGGAGGCCCAGGTGGCTCACTGTGCTGAGCCCCTCCTTTGTGGGGTGGCCACCCTTTGGCGGGGTCCCATCCCTCATGGGAGACCCAAGCCCACGTGGTGGATGCCACTGGCTGGCCCCTGTGGTCAGCTCAGGCCGGCAGGATGTTGGAGCTGTCTGGGTGGGGGTCCAGTGCAGGGTGCTGTGTTAGTGCTTGCTCTGTGGGAAAGGCCCCGCCTGGCCTGGCAGGCCCTCTCCCGGGGTCGGGGCAGTGACGTCACCAGGATGGCCAAGGTGCCAGTGCTGAGCTAGGGACTGGCCCAGCCCCGAGTCGGCGGTCAGGAAGCCAGAGTGCTTGGCTCAGCCATCTACGCCGGCGACATTAGCCAGGTCATTAGCACTCGGAGTCCCCCTTAGGTCCCCATTAGGCAGGGCAGCCAGGGGACTCCTGGGGGAGGCCTGTCTGTGCTGGCTGTCCAGCGTGATGGCTAGTGTGCCAGACCTCACCTTCGGGGTCTCAGGCGGTGGCCGAGGCAGATGCCCAGTGCAGATGTGGAGAAGGGCTCTAAGGGCCCACAGGGCATGCAGCAGGTGTGGGAGCCGGGCGGGCTGGGGCCTGAGAGAGAACCGGGGGTCTAGGGCGTGGAATCCTGAGGGGCGAGCAGGACCCGTGAGGGACAGCCAGGCAGGAGGGCGCAACCCGGACCTGGCCACTCCTGACCCTGTGACCTGTTCCCGTCCTGCTGTACCTCTCCACCCCTCAACCCTTGTCTGGCAAGCCTGGCCAGCAGTTTACTGCAGACCCTACACAGCTTGTGCTTGTCGGGGAGAAGATGGGAGAGCCAAAGGAAAGCTTTGGAGGTGGGGGCAGGGGGAAGGGAAGTGCAGGTAACCAAGAACTAGAGTGGCTTGAGTTAGGATGCCTGGGAGCCAACCCCATTCAGCCTAGTCGCCTCGCAGCCTCCACGTGGCTGCTGCAGCTCCAGCGTCATATCCACACTCAGGAAGGGGAGGGAGGAGCTAAGGGAGAGCCCCCTCATTGAGGAGGGGCGGGGTGCTCCTGGCTCACTCCCAGCGGGGAAGCCCTGCCCACCCCTGCTGGCCTGGACAGCACGTGAGGCATCCTTGGCTTCGTACACAGACGCTGTGTGCCTTGGAGAGGGGCCAGCTCACTCTGCAGTCTCTTACTCAGCTCTCCTGCCGGCAGCAAGGACCCTTCAGGAAAGCAGCAGCTGGGCGCTGGCCGGCGGGCACAGCGCACGAAGTGGAGGTTCCCGCCAAGCCAAGTGGCTCTCTGTCATCCTCTGCCGAGGCGGCCAAGCCGACTGAGGCTTCAGATGAGTGACAGCCTCAGAGCAGGCAAGGGTCTGGGCGATCCTGGGGCGGCCACCAGGGCCGGGTTTACAGCAGCCTGGCTGTGGGCACAGCTATCTGTGCAGGCCCCTCCACCCAGGAGCTGATTGGGAGGCAGCCCGACCCCTGCTCTGTCCTTGCAGACCTCCAGCAAACCGTCTGGTCACCTCCCAGTGCTGTTCCCACTGCCCCTGTCCTGGAGTAGGGTCCCTGATGGGGCTGCAGATCGTTGTAAGCCAGCACCTCTGGCATTTCCCATGGCCGCTCCCAGGACAGCTGCGGGCCCAGGGCCAGGGCAACTCTAGAGGACAAGGACACAGTGCCGGTGGCTGAGGGGGACACAGGGAGAGCCAGCGCCATCTGTCGCAGAGCTTGGCTCTGCTTGGGTTCCTAATTGAAGTTTTCATGGCGCCCATGTCTCCGTGTCCTGCCCAGGAAACCAAAGCAGACGCACTTACGTGGTGCCCAGGCCAACGCAGGATACGGGGTGCACGCGTGGAAGCAGAGGGGCCCAGGCATCCGGGGTCAAGCCCCACCCCTCCTGCTTTCTCTGTCAGCTGCGGTCAGCAGGCGGCTTTGACGCTTTCCAATCAACCTTATCGAGAGGAGACCGGCACAGCCAGCACAACTGATCTAGCTCCTCCTGGTAGGCTTTGGCCTCTAAAAAAGATTTGTTTGAAATGCAGAGCAACAGAGAGAAGACAGAGTGAGCTTTCATCTCCCAGTTTGCTCCCTAAGAGGCTGAGTCAGGATGAAGCCCGCAGCCTGGGGGCCCCCACCCGCCTCTCTCTCACCGGTTTAGGGCCCAAACACTGGGTGCTAGAATTGGAGCTCATCCAGACACTCAGGGATCCAGCACTGCCCTGCACAGCTACAGTTGGAAGCTCCTGCAAGGATTCGGAGCCTGTGTGCCCTTTAAAAGCCTTGCTGTCAGCGCTGGTGCCAGGCCTAGCATGTCACCAAGATTCCAGATGGGCGCTAGTTCGAGTCCTGGTGGCTCCATTTCCCATTCAACTCCCTGTCTGTGGCCTGAAGGCAGCTCCAAACTCCACCCTGGCAGTTATGGCCATTTGAGGAGTGACCCTGCAGATGGACAACCTCTGTCTCCCTCTCTGTGTAACTCGGACTTTCTTTTCTGTTTTTAAAGATTTATTGACTTATTTTTATTGGAAAGAAAGATTGGTTTACAGACAGAATAAGAAAGATATTCCTCTTGGTTCACTTCTCAAGTGACTGTGATGACTGGAGCTGAGCTGATTCGAAGCCAGGAGCTTCCTCGGGGTCTCTCACGGAGGTGCAGGGTCCCAAGGCTTTGGGCCGTCCTCCACTGCTTTCCTGGGCCACAGGCAGGGAGCTGGATGGGAAGTGGAGCATCTGGGACAGGAACTGGTTACCCATATGGGGTCCCAGCGCTTGTAAGGTGAGGATTTAGTCACTGAGCCATCATGTCAGGCCTTTAACTCAGACTTTCAACAAAGAAATGAACCTTTAAAAAACAAGACCTCATGCACTGCCTGTGGCCGGTGCTGCATGCAGTGTCTCTCCCTGTGTCCCAGGCCCCACTCGCTCCAACTTCCTGCTCCTCCTTGTGCTCAAGGTCCACACGCTAGGTGCCACAGCCTATGTTTGCCTAGCAGTTGCAACCTTTAATATTTGCATGCAGTGTTCTATTTGCAAACAGTTGTTCTTAACCTCATCATGACTGTCGGCCGTATACCAGTGTTGTGGTGGAGGGCTTGCTGGTTGCAAACTCGCTGCTCCTGAGATTCTAATTTTTGGAGGAGTCTTGGTGTTGTGGAGTCTGACGCCCCCTCTGAGCTGCCAACGTATCACGGGCGGGGCGGCAACAAGTGGCTTCCTGAGTTGGGACTCAAAATAGCCTGACAGGGTGGTGCGCATGCTCCTGCTAAGGTTCCTGGGAGGAGCAGGTGGTGGCTGGAGGATTGGGCCCTACCATCCAGGATGGAGACTGGGGTGCTTCAGGCTTTGGCCTGGCCAGCCCTGGGAAAGGCTGAGAAGGGCTCTCCATCCGTTGGCCAGTCAGGCTGTCTCTCAAGGAAGCAGAGCGCTGAGAAGCAGCTGAAGGGCACACGCCTGGATACTTGGGAAGTGGATGTAGGTGGTCCCAAGTGTGTCCTGTGGAGCAGATTCAGACTTACATTGAGCCTCTAGGGGCAGAGGACACCATGGCACGGAGCCGGGCCCCAGCCTTGGCTGCTGGCAGCGGGAAGTGACACGGAACGTGTCTATGGGCCTTGACCCCTGCACCTTCTGGCCCATCCCAACACTCAGTGTGCCTGTCCGGGTAAGGTCACACACAGGGTCGTTGGGTGTGAAATGCGGACCAAGGAGGTTCCCCTCAGAACTGGTGGATCCATGATTTTCTCCTTGGAATGAGATGTCCCTAGCCCCGTAGCGGAGTACTGAGAACTAAGCGTCGGCCCGCGCTTCCTCTACCCTGAGGTCCTGACTCATCCGGTCAGACCCCTCTGTGCATCCTGCGTCCATTACCTGCCCCGTATGTAGACTCGGCCCTGCCCCCTGCCCGTCTCCAACTCTGCCCCGCCCCCAACTCCCTCTTTGGCCTTCTGCTCCTCTCTGAGTCCCCTCTGTCTTGTGTAGATCGGATGCCCACTTTCCATGCACTGGGTCACTCCCCCAGATGGTCGCGATGGGCAGAAGTGGGCTCACCCCAGACCAGGAGCAGTTTCCTCTGGGTTGGGGCTACAGGAGCCCAAGTGCTTTTCCAGGCCATAAGCAAGGAGCTGAATCAGAAGGGACTGGAACGGGTGCCCACGGTGATGCTGCCGTCACAGGCGATGCCCCTGTTTCATGTGTTTTAGACCGTCGGCGTTCATCTCCCTGCCAGACTCTGGTGAGCTGTGTGCTGCTGAGGGGTGGTTTATTCACTGACACCTTCTCCTTGGCCTTCTTCCTGCTGCCCGTGGCACCTGGCACAGCTGCCCCCGCTGTTGAGTCGGCCGGGGGATCTAGCAGGCATCTTCAGACTTGGGAGAGCTCCTTCATGGCCAAGTGCCTGTCCCCCCACCAGGACTGACACCTTGTCAGAACTGGTCTCAGACCAGTCAGGACCTGAGGGTGAGAGACTCAGCTTGAACGTGAAGACTCAGTCGGTGACGGCGAGCCATGTGAACACACTGCACAAAGGGCCGCTTCAGGACATGGCAGGGAAGCCAGGGCCGTCCAGTTCAGCAGCTAGACTGCAACCGTCCAAGACTGGGTGAGCCAAGAAAGGGAGCCAAGGGAGGGGCTCTGGCCTCGCGGACAGGCGAGACAGCTGCCGGCCTCATACCTCCAGCTGACCCGTGTCACAAAGTGGGTGGATGGTGCTGGGAGCAGCCCCAGGAGCACAGGGCTTGAGGAGGACTCGTCGTGAACATGGGAGAAGCCAGTGAGGCCACAGAAGGAGGGAGAATGCCTGGTAAAGCAGAGTCCCAGCTGGGGTGAGGGCCGGTTCACAGAGCCTGAAGGACAGCTGGCCGGCGGTCAGTGTCTGCAGCACTGGCATAGCACATGGACATCATTTTGTGTCCTGGCTGCCCCAGCTCCCTGCCTGTGGCCTGGGAAAGCAGTGGAGGACGGCCCAAAGCCTTGGGACACTGCACCCATGTGGGAGCCCCGGAAGGAGCTCTTGGCTCCTGGTTTCAGATCAGCTCAGCACCGACTGTTGCCATCATTTGGAGAGTGAGCCAGCAGGTAGAAGAGCTCTCTGTCTCCCCTTCTCTGTCACTTTGACTCTGAAATAAGGAATGAAAGCTTTGAAAATAATGAACAAATCTATCAACAGCCTCACACCAGTGAATCTGACAATGAAGATGAAAGAAAGTTCTGAGAAAGACATGAAAAGATGAGGCAATGGCTCTGCGTGGAGAGAGGATTCCTGCTGTTCCTGTGACCTGCATGAAGCTGGATGGGGCACAGGGAGGGACCAGTGCCCAGGGCGCAAGTGGGCAGTGGGCAAGTGGGGCGGGAGGGGGGCAGGTCCAGCAGTACAACGCAACTTCCTCCTCAACCCATGATAACGGTGACACCATACACCACCCTCCCGGGGTGGGGGCTGGGGGAGGCAAGGTGGGGAGGAGGTCGGGACGGGTGGTCAAGGTCGTGGGGCCTCCAGGTGGGGGGCGTGGAGCTCTGAGTGTGGGAGCAGCACTCTCTTGGTGCAGCAGCCTCAGCCTGCAGGATGTGTCCGGCGCTGCAGGCTTTGGTGCCAGCTCTGGGAGGGCCTTGGAGCACCTGTCGGGGAAGCAGCAGAGGTGGCTCCCCTGATGGTATGGGGGAGGGCGGCCCTGGTCAGCCTGCCAGCAGAGGAGGGGGCGTGGCTTGGCTCCCGCCAGCTGTGGGACAGAGCCAGCAGGGTCCAGCCTGGCAAGCCCAGCCACCCAGTGGCCCTGGGGGTGCAGGTATCTGCCCCAGCAGCCCTCTGGCCACACCTTGCGGGGAGCCAGCCCTCCCGACTCAACCCCGCCCTGGCCCTGCTGTTCTCAGGGGCCACCAAGGACATGGGAAAGATGCTGGGAGGTGACGAGGAGAAGGACCCCGATGCTGCCAAGAAGGAGGAGGAGCGGCAGGAGGCCCTGCGGCAGGCAGAAGAGGAACGCAAGGCCAAGTACGCCAAGATGGAGGCCGAGCGCGAGGCCATGCGCCAGGGCATCCGAGACAAGGTGGGCACCCAGTCCAGGACGGGTAGGTCTGGGTCTGCGAGAGTTGTCTGGCTCCTCTAGGGTGGTCATGTGCAGGCCCCAGGCCTGTGCAGTTCCCAGGGGACAAGGGATGGCCTGGGTGGTGTCTGCTACCCTTGCCTAGGGATAGGGGAAGGAGAGGTGACCACCGCCCCAGTCTGGTCTCCCATGTCCAGTCAGAGGCAATGGCCAGGCTTCTGTCCAAGGCTCCACGATGCTGCTTTGGAGGGTAGAAAGGGCCGGGCAGTGGATGTGGACGGGCTGTGGGTGACTGTCTCCCAGGGCTGGACTCTGGAAGAGCCAGCCTCACATAGCCCACTGCTGCCATGCCACACCTGCCATGTAGCCCAGCCCTGTGACATGTCCTGCCGGTCAGTGTGGCTGGGGCAGGAAGAGTGCGGGTCTGCGCGGCCAGGGGGAGGCAGAGCAGTGATGGTGAGGACAGGGTGACCTCACTCGGCCACACTCCATGTGTGTGTCCTCCCAGCACACGTGTCCCTCAGTGCCTCTGCTGTGTGAGCCAGACTACAGGAAGGTGTTCTGGGGCTTGACCCAGTTTCTGCTGGCGGTGTTCTCCCAGCCCACGCACAGCCCTGCTGGATGCAGGGCCACCCGCTCCTGCCCCCTTCCCTTGCCCAGGGCTGCTGCCCCTGCAGAGCAAGGCGGAAATAGGACTGGCCCCTCCTACTGGCTGAGTGGTGAGCATGACTGGACCCAGGACCCTGTTGCCTGGAGACCTGGGCATTCCCAGCTGTGCCAGGTGCCAAGGGGCTGGGGAGCTCTGATAGGGCTTGTTGCTGCCACTCAGGACTGGGCAGCACCCTGGGAATGGGACCATTGGACCCTCTGGGAGGGGACAAGGACATAGGCAGCGCCAACCCCTCAAGCAGAGGGAGCGCTCTCTTGAAACCCCTGTACTTTGGGGGAGGGGAAGGGGACAAATGAGGCAGAGAGACCCCAGGCAGGTGACCCAGCATCTGTGTGTGGCCCTGTCCTGCCTGTCCCCCCACCCTAACCAGTTCCCACGTGCCCCTCCTCACTGTTTCCCAGAGACAGGACCCGAGCTCTGACTGGGGAGACATGATCACACCTTCCCCGGCCTGGGTGGGTCTGGAGTTGGGCCCACTGGCTAGACCCCCTGCCCTGTCCCCGCCTCTTGTCTGGGACTGGGAACTTTGCTGTTGTCCACACTGCCCTGGGGCATTCACTGTCCACTGAGGTTGCCCCACGTCACTCCCAGAGCCTCCCAAGGAACCTATCCCCACCCTGGTGTGTGCCTCACTCTATTGAGGCTGCCGGGCACTCGCCCCAGGGGCCGCTCTTGGTGACTTGGCCCCCGTGGAACTGGGGTGCCTCTCAGGTCTCCAGGCAACAGGGTCCTGGACCCACGTCATGCTGACCACTCAGCCAGGGTCAGCACTTGTTTCATTCAGAGATTCATTTCCAAACCCACTGCAGGGGACATGAATTTGGGGTGACAGCCAGTGCTGGGTCCCCCACAGAGGAGAGCCAGGAGCAGACAGACTGGAGAGCAGGTAGTGATGAGGGGATGACCTCAGACAGCTGGAAGTGACCACTGAGCCGGCTCTTCTGTGCGCCCTCCCCCTGGAGTGGGTAGGGGACTGCTCCGAGGGCCTCGACCAGGCCTAAGAGATAGTGACCGCTCTCTGGCTGCCCATGGAAGGGGTGTCTCTGCGCTCTCGCTGACCGAGCCCTGTGCCCCCAGTACGGCATCAAGAAGAAGGAAGAGCGGGAGGCCGAGGCACAGGCGGCCATGGAGGCCAGTGCGGAGGGCAGCCTGACGCGGCCCAAGAAGGCCATCCCCCCGGGCTGTGGCGACGAGCCCGAGGAGGAGGACGAGAGCATCCTGGACACGGTCATCAAGTACCTGCCCGGACCGCTGCAGGACATGTTCAAGAAGTAAGACCCCTCCTCGCCGTGCGTCGGAGCCCGCAGCCCCGCCCCGTACACACTTCGCGGAGGCCCCGTGCGCGGCCCCGACGCCGAACAAGCCATAGTCCTAGGCCGCCCTCCCCGCGCCCTCCCCGCACCGCAGCCGCCACCCGCCCCGCGCGCCCAGGGCGCGCACACTCAGGAGCACAGCCATAGAGAGGCCGGGCCTGGAGCGAGGAGTGGGCGCCGGCCCCTGTGCCTCCGGCCTGCCCGTCGCCTGCCCCTCGGCTCTTCGCAGCCCGCTGGTCTCCTCCAAGGGCGACTAAGCAATAGGCTTCATGTCCCGCAGCCCACGCGCGGGGCCACGGTCCGCCCCATCCTGTTCCATCCGCTCCACAACATGTCCAATCTCAGGAAGTTGAGTTCTTTGTCCACCGGTTCCTCTTGCTTCTGTCCTCGTCCAACGTGCGTCAGGTGTCCGCGTGTCGCAGGGGCTGGGGCGCGGCCCAGCGCGGACCCTTAACGACCTCACACAGCTCTTTAGAAGCCATAGCCGCCTGCAGCACCCCGCCCGCGCCCCGCCAGTTCAGCCTGCCCTCCCTGCTTGCTCTGCGCCCTCGCTGGCCCATATTTGGGGCGTTCTCCGTGGGAGCCCTGCACCCCGCCAGCTTAGCGCAGCCCGTGGATGTGGCGTCCGTCCGCCCCACCGCTCGACCCTCTGCATGTTGGGCCCTCGCGTGGGTCCTTTCCAATGGGATCACAGCCAATAAAGCCCACAGCGATTTCCAAATGTGCATTGCTTCCAGTTCCACCGCTCAGCGTGACCAAGGACCTGGCTGGGCAGCTGCCAGGGTCATGGACTACGACTGACCCCTGGGTTCCCACATAGGCTCGCTTCCCCTGGAGCCCCAAGAATTATGTTCAGCGGGAGAGGCCACAGCCTGGACCCCACACCCTGGTCATGAGGGCAGGGGTCACCGTGCCTCACCACCTGCGGTTGCCCCCAGGGATCAGCAGTGCCTCCGCCTGACAGAACCTGGCCTGTGGTGTCCTGGCTCCTGGCCAGGTCCTGAGGCCCACCTTCGCTCCTTCGCTTGCTGGCCTGCCGCACAGCTTTTCCTCTTGGGGGAGCCTTGCTTGCAGATGGAGCCGGTGGTTCACCTCAGGCATGTCTCCCATGGAGGACACGCCTGAGCCACGTGACCAGGAGGAAGGCCTTCCCACCTGCCAATTAGGGCGGGCAGCGACTGGCCACGAGTGGGCCGCGTGAGGCAGCCTGAGCAACTGAGCGCTCCAGACGCAGTGGTTGGGGCATCTCAGGGCAGGTGTTCGGCCACAACCAGGCTGCGCAGGTGCCTTGCTGGGCCAGGGCAGGCTCGGGGAAGGGAGGATGGAACAGGAGTGTGTGAGTGGAGGGCGAGGGGACAGAGCGGTGCTTGGTTAAGGGTGTCATTCGTCATCTTGCTGTCCCCACCCCACCCTTGGGTGTCTGACATGAACAGCATCCTGCCCCCTGACCCTGCCATGGGCAGGAAGGCAGGGGTGGAGCCAGTGAGTGTGGCTGAGGTGGGAGAGGCTGCCCAGCAGGGTCCACCTATGGCGGGGCACTGAGCACCCTCTGTCACCCTCACACGGCAGTTCCCCTGGGTCTGGAGGAACAGTACAGGAGGGACCCACAGGGGGACCTGAGCGCGTGGGAGCCTCACTGGGCAGGGACCGCAGAAGTGGTGCAGGGGTGAGGCCAAGTGTGGGGTTCATGCTCTGGGAGGCCTCTTACACTGGAAGACTGGGATGGGGAGGAGCTTGGCTGAAACGCAGGGGAGTGTGGTGCCAATGGCGGGCAGCGTTGAGTCATCAGTTGACATTGCCAGTGTGTAGAGCGGGACTCCCAGAAGGTCCTGAGACCAGAACCTTTGGTTCTCAGCTTCAAGGTCCATGATCTGGACTCAGCCCATCCACCCAGGCCCTCCTGGGTCTCCCACACCCGACTGAAGGCTGATGCCCCAGGCACACATGAAGTCCACGTGGGTGGAAGCCCTCAAGTGTGGAGATGCCCCAGACCAAGCCCCAGGGTAGCTCCCGGCTGGACCCAGATGTTGCCTGAGTGGCTGGGAGATGAGCCCTCTGCTGGCGGAGCTGCCGATAGACCAAGGCTGTGTGTGGGTGGCTCAGGGCAACTTGAGGAGGCACCTGGCGGTGCTCCCTGGCCGGGGATGGAGGCTGTGGGCAGTGGGCCAGGAGGTGGTCGAGCTGGCCACCACCCCATGTCAGCAGACACCTATGGTCCCCTCTGATGATGACACATGTTTGGAAAGATCACATAAGGGATTGTCTACAAATGACTGGTCAGTCCCCAGTCCTTGCAAGAGGGCTGAAGGGCTGACAGTCGTGTGTCCATGATGAGGCATGGATTTCCGTTCACAGGGGTGTCTGCAGTGCTTGTTATGCCGACAGAAGTACCACAGGCTCCCTCTCTGCTTCCTTCCTGGTCTTAAGGCTGCCCACAGGAACGTCTGTCCAAACCCTGGCCATGAGTCTGCACCATTTTTTAAAAAAAGATTTATTTAATTAATTTTTAAGGTTGATTTATTTTTATTGCAAAGTCAGATACACAGAGAGGAGGAGAGAGAGGTAGATCATTGTCCAATGATTCATTCCCCAAGTAACCACAACAGCTGGAACTGAGCCAATCCGAAGCCAGGAGCCAGGAGCCTCTTCCAGGTCTCCCACACAGGTACAGGGTCTCAAGGCTATGGTCAATCCTCCACTACTTTCCCAGGCCACAGGCAGGGAGCTGGATGGGAAGCAGGACTGCCAGGATTAGAACCGGAGCCTATATGGGATCCCAGTGCATTCTAGGAGAGGGTTTTAGCTGCTAGGTTACTGTGCTGGACCCAATATTTATTTTTATTGGAAAGTCAGATATACAAAGGAGGAGATATACAAAAGAGGAAGATCTTCTATCTGCTGATTCACTCCCCAAGTGGCCAGAGCTGAGCTGAGTTGATCCAAAAGCAGAAGCCTCTTCCGGGTCTCCCACAAAGGTGCAGGGTCCCAAAGGCTTTGGGCCGACCTCAACTGCTTTCTCAGGCCACAGGCAGGGAGCTGGGTAGGAAGTGGAACAGCCGGGACATGAATTGGCACTCATACGGGATCCTGGCTCATATAAGGCAAGGATTTAACCACTAGGCTATCACATTGGGCCCCACAAATGACTTTAATCAATACAACGCAAAATGAAAGCGTAATACGGTTCAGCCTAACACTCACACCATGCAATTCAAGGGAGGGGCTAGAGGAGGATGGTGTGGTGTGCCCTGGTGATGGGGCACAGGTGACTCAGATGCACACAGTGCATGTGGGCCAAGGGGAGGCCTGGGCCTTCTCTACTGCCACCCTCAGGAGAGACCTGGCACTGCAATGGCTCCCATGTAGGATGCCAAGTCTGGACCTTCACTCCTGGGGGGCTGCTTCTCTCTTCAATCGCCCACACAGCCTGTCCAGAGTCCACCTGAGTCTCCCTTGTGGATGCTGTGAGCCCAGGTCCTTGGACCATCACTGCTTCCTGGGGTGCCCACGGCTGGGAGCTGGACTCCTCTACATGGGGTGTGGGGGTCTGTCCAGCATCTTGGTGGCCGTGCTCAGTGCTGCCCGCCTGCGGTGCTCGCAGTGTCTGCGGTGACTGAGGCAAACATCTGCACAGTAACCCACACCCATCTCTCACGTCAATCATTTCCCAATGACTTGTGCTATCAACGCCGTGCAGGTAACAGTTGCAATGGGGTGTTTGTGAGCTGGGGCTGCTTGGACATAGCGAAGTCTGTCCCCCACAGACCCACCTCCACATGCACTTAGAAGTGCCACCTGCAAGAACCCCCAAGCCAGATGTTTCATTTTTCTTTTGCTTTTATTACAAGCATATAATATTAATTGGCAAAACACTGAATACAAGCTTCACTGTCATGAAATTGAAACATTTAAGCAATTTTCAAAAAAAAAAATCTTAGACAAAAACCAGTCACCAAGAGTACAAAAATTACACACCAACACAAAGCATAAAAAATGTAAACTTCCAAATTAAACAGTCAAAAACCTGTATGTGCATCATCATTTCCGTACCCCAGTGTCCCCGCTGCATCCACTGCTGACAAAGACTCAGGGTTGAACTCCTCCACTGCCGCAGTGAGGTACTGGGGGGGAAGCAGCCCTGGCCCCCCACGGGAGCCTCCGCCTGCCGGGACCTTGGCTGGCCGGGGACATGGTTTCTCCAATGACCACAGGAGAACTCCTGCTGATCTTCTGGCCTGCTTACCCAGTTCCCGTTACTCACTGAAGAACGGGGTGGAGATGCCGTCTCACACCCCTGCAGTGGTCACTTGAAGGGCTTCCCGAGCCCACAGAGACTGGGCCTGTCTAATTTTGCCCCTGGCTTGGAAAGTACACTCAACAGCAAGTCAGCTGGCTCACAGAGCCCAGCAACACCTTCAAAGCAGTGTGGAGTCCCGCCCTGAGCAACGCTGGGGACAAGCCAGAGCCACTGTTCAGGTTCTAACAACCACACGCAGACCCCAGGGCCACTCCTAGGGCAGCCCAGCCTCCAGTGGCCACTAGCTTCTGAACACTGCCAACATGCACGCACGGGAGCTGTAACTAACTGCGCACAGAGAAACCAAACACCTGGCTGCGGCACTTGGAAATGCACCCGGTGCTCCTTTGTGGCTGGGCAGGCCAGACGTCTGGCAAATGCACACGGGAGCCTATTGCACAAATGCATGAAGGACGTGCTCCACCCATGGGACACACAAAAATAAAAAGCTACTCAAAGTAAAAGAAGCTTGCAAAATATGTCACAATTTCATCTTATATGCCTGTAAATAAAGCTGGACCACGGAAGCAACAACTGGATGGGAAAATACGATAGAAGGCTTAAAATAGAATAAATAATTTTATAAAGTTAAGTTTTCTTTTTTAACCCCCCAAATCTTAAATTCAATATTATATACTCTATCTGAATTTTCTATTTCCATGAACATGGTGTCTAGCGAGACCATCCACTGCTAACAGGTCCCACTGCTGTCAGAGATGGCACAGGCACGTGGCCAGACAGCAATTGTTGTGCCAGCATCAACGTCGTGAAAAACACTTCACAGTAACTCCATCTGTGAAAGAAGGAAACTCAATAGGAGGCAATCAGTGACTGATCCTAGCTTTCATGCTGGAAAAAAAAAAAATTGGCTTTGTGATGTCAAATGAGAACTTGCCAGAAATGAAACCAGACCTCCCGGAAGCTTCCATGGGATGGCAGGTTCATTACGCTCCAGTCTCAAACTGCGTAAGGCTACAGAGTCAAACCAAGAAGGGCGGCAGGCGCCGGGGACGTGGTCCTGCAGGAAGACAGTCTGCAGGTGAAATCTTAGAAAAATAGGTACTTGTGCTGCTGAGGCTGTATCAGGTTAACGAGATTACAAAAGCAGGAGAGCCCAGCGGCAGCCTTGAGACTTCCCATCTCTCTGTGTATTTAAATGTATCAACTTAGCACCATTGCAAAGTCAAGTGATTCCAAAGGTAGCTACAGAGTTACAAATAGACACCACAAGATTACACAGGACACCTGGGGCTGAACTGGGTCAGTGTGACTGGGAGCCCGAGGCTGGAGGCTCGTCTCCCCTTCTAGTGTTGCACTAACCACTGCCCTGTGGTAACGGACACTCCCAGGAGGCTTTGCAGCGGGCGTTTTGAGGTAGACAGGTAATAGTTACGCACACACACTCACGAACCCTTGTACAGCAATCTGAGAAACAACTGGGAGGACAGCGAAACTCAAACAACCCTGGGAGTCCACGGGCTTAAAGAGAGAGGCATTTTGTCCAATTCCCAAAACACAATGCAGACGGTTTACAAGGCCTCGCGTTGAAAACCGCTGGGACTGGGCCAAGGTTTGATCATCTCTAAGGTTGGGGGTCTCAGGCACAGCCTCTCCCGAGCTTTGGTGTCTGAGACATAGGGAGCTGGAGGAGTACGGAGGTTCCATGAGCCCAGCCACCACTTCCAAAGCATGTGCAAGAAACGCTCAGCAAACGTGTCAGTCACGAATGCCCAGCAACCTGTGCTCACGCCCCTGGCCCAGGAGGAAGTTCAGAAGAGGAGCCTGAAGCTTAAGCCCTGAATAGGACAAGGCGGGGCTGGTGACAGCGCTCAGTTGCACGTCCTCCTCCCTGCCTTGCACACCCTCCTGGTCCAAGGAACCAATGTGTGTGTGCACAACGAGGATGTGTAACATTTGGGAGAAGAAAGGACCTACAACCAGCAGGTGGCTTAGCTGTTGCTCCCACTGCCCGCCTGTCCACAGGAATCCAAGGGCCCCTGGGTGTACCCACTCAACTCACTTCTCTCTTCAGCCAAGCAAAGATGGGGAAAGAACACGTAGGAAGCTAAGCCATAGGACCAAGCAGGGGGCACCCCAGTTCCTAAGTCGTGTGTGAAAGCAAGAATGGTTCTGCAAGCCAGCATGGAGCCAGCCCAGTGGACAGTGAAGCCAGCCCACCCTATGACTTGGGGCCCTGTGGCCTCGAACCCCACATAACTGGATGCTGAGGGGCAGGGCAGCAGCTGGCATGGGATCAGTGGAAACTTCTTTTGGTTTGCTTCAAAATCAAACTTTTAGACACTGCCTAAGTCTCCAGGAAGCTGAAGGCAACATAAACACTGTAATTCACCAAGAAAGGAATTTGTCCACCAAGAAAGGAATTTGTCCAATAACTTAGCAAGGATTCGAGGAAAGTACGAGTGTCATTGAGGCTTACCATGAACCTAATTTATAAACTGAACTGACCCAGAAAGCAGGCCAAGGTGATGTGTGCCAGGAGGTGAATTCGGAGCACGCAGCCCCCATGGCCCCAGCCCGGCACCAGAAGTGAAGCTGGATGCGGCTGGACCGCGTGAAACTGTGAAGTGTTTTCACGCTCGTGAGCGCAGTGCTGGTTGTGTCCTGCAGAGTGTGAATTCTCTTGTACAAAAGTTATAAATAATCTCTATTCAGAAATCAGGTCCACACCACACATGGAGGCCAACTCTCACAGAGGCGGTACGGTCTGTGTGAAGCACCTGGGGCACAGGCCAGGTCTAGGGGCCCCAGGGCTCACAGCAGGTCCATCTTGGGTCTGTAGTGCAGCAGCAGGGGTGCCTTCTGCAAGACACAAAGATCAGGAGGCCGCTCAGGAGTAGTGTAGCACAGGTTTGGGGGCCAGGATAAGTGGGGGGGGGGGGGCGGGTCACAGACAGGTGGGGACATCACAGCTTGGGGTCATAGATAGGTGGGGTCACAGACAGGTCAGGACACAAGACAGGCAGGGGCATCACAGGTGGGGGTCACGGACAGGTTGGGGGTCACAGTCAGGTGGGGATCACACACAGATGGGAGGTCACACCCAGGCAGGGAACACAGACAGGTGGGGAGGTCACAGGTGTGGGGGGGTCATATACAGGTGGGGGTTACATACAGGTGGGGGTCACACACAAGGTGGGAGGTCACACACAGGGGACACAGACAGGTGGGGGGGTCACATACAGGTGGGGGATCACACCCAGGCAGGGAACACAGGTGGGGAGATCATAGGTGGGGGGGGGGGTCACACACAGGTGGGGGTCACACACAGATGGGAGGTCACAGACAGGTAGGAGGTCTCAGACAGGTGTGGGGGGGACCAGACAGGTGGGGGTCACAGACAGGTGGGGGTGTCACAGAGGGGTGGGGGACACGGTCCTTGGGAACATCCTCTCTGTAGCACTTTGGCTCCAGGGGCTGCCCTGCTGCTGTTCCCCTGGCTCCTCCTCCGTCTCTTCCAGCCTGGCCTTGGTCAGTCCTGGCAACCTCACTTCTCCCTCCCACAGGCAGATCTGGGACAGAAACCCTGCAGCATCCCTCAAGGGCCCTGCACTAACAGGCATGGACTTACCCTGCCCTGGACACCACCATCCACTGTGGGGGGCAGGACTCACCTTGAATCTCCACCTTGTGACAACCACGAACTTGAGTGTGTGGTCCTTGCCCAGGATCTCCTCATTGCATAAAATGTCCAGCTGGAGGGAGAAGGGGACAGTCAGAGGCCTACAGCAGCATTTCCTGCTATGGAGCTAACCTGTCCCGTGCCCCAAGCGGACTGGGCTGCACTTCCTGGCCAGGTGCTCCCAGAGCCAGGGGCTTGCTGGAGCAGCACCGGGGCCACTGCTAAAGCTGTCGGTGAATGGGTCCGGCCACACTTCCACAGGCAGCAGTTCTGGGCCTGCCCCCAACCCTGGCACCCACGGTGGAGCTGGGTCCCACAGCAGGTGGCCACGGCTCGGGCCTCCACTGTGGGCAATGATGTTGAAACAGCAGCTAAGCTGCGGGCAGATCTGGTGTCCAGGCTGAACGGTAGGGTGTGCCCAGAGGGTCTCCGGGGAGGTCCACATTTTCGCATCATGCTGGGCAGTGCTGCTACCCATGCCAGCAGCCCTTGGTCTTGTACGTGGAGATCTCAGCCACGGGGATACAGCACCCATCTCAGACCTCCCCTGGGGGCTGCAGGGGGCCGGCTCTGAGAGGACACGCAGGGAGTGGGAAAAGCAACCTTCACCTGCCCTGGCAAGAACCTTCTCCCTGCCTGTGCACACATCCTCCTCCCCCCTCACCAGGCTGAGGCCCTGGAGCAGCAGTGGGACACCTGTGGGGCAAGACCGTGGCATGAGCTCAGGTGGGCCAGCCCAACAATGGGAGGGAAGGCCCTGCCTCTTGCCTTCTTCCTCCTCCCCCTCAGAAGGTTCCTGCCCAGAAGTTAGGCTCTGCAGAGACCCCCCATGCCCATGCCACACCCAGCCTCCCTTCCTGCACGCAGGGTGCCCCTCCCACAAACCCAAGTTCCCTTTGGCCACAGACCCCACCCACCACAGTCTACAGCTCTGATTCCTCCTCTCTGGAGACACTTCATCTCCCCTGTATCCTGGGCGCAAGCTACCTCATTGAAGGAGGACAAGTTGAGCTTCTTGGCGATGAACTTCTTGAGGTGCAGCACGGTGGCCTGGGCGGAGCAGCGGATCCACTTGCGCTTGAGGCCCCGCAGTTTGCTACTGTTGCACTCCAGGCAGATGCTCACCTGAGGAGAAGCAGATGGGGGCCGCTCAGACACATGGGCACCTGCGCCAGCTGTCGTGCATGCCTCTCTCCTGACCCCTCCATGCCTCCGCCACAGGATACTGGGAGGTGAGGCTGGGGTCTTGTCTCCAGCACAAGTACCGGGCCCTGCCCTGTGCCAGCAGCTACCCCTCAGCTCCCGCTGACCAATACTGCCCAGGGAAGTGTGGGCAGGAAGCAACGTCAGGCCCAGCCCTGAAGACAAAATAGAGGCGGGGTATGGCAGGGTCCCAGCAGGCATGTGCACCCACTGTTATATGCAAGCCCACACCAAGCCACTCTCAGAGAACCGGGATGAGAAACTCAGATAAATGCACTGACAAGGGGACCAACAAAGACCCTGTGAACAAGGAAGAACACCCACAGTCCCCAACACGTCCCAACACTGGCAGACACGAGAACCTCATGGGGGTTGAGTCCTGGGTGAAGGCCAGGAGGCTGAGAAAGGTGGCTGATAAGGCCGCCCCTGCAGAATGCAGCCCCCTCCTCAGCCAGCAGTGACAAGCAGTGACGTATGATTCACCAAGGCTGGAGGAGAGCTACAGCACCCCAAAGCAGCATAGAAGCTGCATCCCTTTGTCCCCCGATAAAATCACCCTCATGTCCCCCAAGCATGCCTTCTCTGGCCTGCTGTCTGTATCGGACAGTGAACCTCGCACGGGAGCTTCTTCAACAAACCTTGTTTTAAGCTAATCTGTATTCTATGTGGATTTCTGGTTCTGAACACAAACTCGAGCCTTACAGCTCCAAGAGTCCCAGGTGGCTGGGCCAAGGAAGGCTGACTCGACTCTCGGAGGAGCACTGAGGAACTCCCTGTGAGAATACAGACCAAACACCCACCAAGCCACAACGTGAGAGCATGGGACACTGAGGTACTGCAGGACAGAGGAGCAAATGAGGGAGGACACAGCTGAGTAGCAAGGGCTAGGCTCTGCCCCAACAAGGAAAATGTCCCTCCTCAGACTCAGCCTGCAAGAGAATCGCCTGCCCCTGAAAAGGAGGTAGAAAGAAATGAACCAGGGGGTACAGATGCCTCTTAGCCAGGGCTGAGGAAGTAGGCCTGCCCAGGGATGCCCGGCCTGAGGCTGCCCCACTATGGTCACCAAATGGACCTAGCAGAATGCAGCTGTAAAGAAGGACTTCAGGGAGGGACATCCTGGAAGCCAGAGGCAAAACCAGGTCTATGTCCTCAGAGCAACACTAATGGCAGTTTACAAACATAAACATTCTGGGGCTGGCACCATGGTTGTAGCCGGCTTAGTGCCAGCATCCCAAAAGGACGCTAGTTCTAGTCCCAGTTGCTCCACTTGCAATCCAGCTGCCTGCTATGGCCTGGGAAAGCAGTGGAGGATGGCTCAAGTCCTTAGGACCCTGCACCTGCGAGGGAGACCTGGAAGAACTCCTGGCTTCGTATCAGCTCAGCTCTGACCACTGTGAACATTTAGGGAGTGAACCAGTAGATGGAAGATTCCTGCCTCTTCTCCCCTCTATAACTCCTTAAATAAAAATCCAGAACAGAAACAAAAATCTTTATAAAAAAAGCAGACATTCAAGCATTTTTTTTAGCCACTAAAATAGCAGAAATAGAACTTTAAACCTGCACACTAGCAGGAGCAAAAAGAGATGCAGAGCATTTAGTAACTGAACAGAAGGGAAGGGACACACTAACAAGGCAGAAGCAACTCAGGTGCCAGTTATCTCGGGAAAGGTAAAATGCAAATGGCACTTCAAGGAGTCCTCTGAGTGAAGCCTGCAGAAGTCCTGTTCTGAAGTGCTGCTTACGCACCAAGCACACAGCCACCAGGATGGCTGGCAGAGAGGACGAGCAACTTCCTGAAGAAAATCTCCCCAAGACAGAAACTTAGCCAGATGCACCTGGGAGCAAATGCACCCAGCAGAACCATGCATACGATAGCGAACACCACACCAGTGGATTTGCCTGCCGCCCACCCCACATCCCCAGGCAGAAATCAGCAGGGAGGTCACCCTAGCCCTGCGTGGAGGGAACCAGCTGCCACACAGGAGGGAGTAGAGAAGGGCCAGCCCCAACACAGGCTCTGCCACTTCATGTGACAGCAAAGCTGAAGAGGTGCCAATGGGAGGAAAGGGAACACATTTTCATGGTTGCTCAGATCTAACCCACAAGAGAAGGGGTTAAGGGTGGTTTCTGTGGGGGATGGGATCCCGAAACAGTGGTTTCTGATAAATGCATACCCAGGTTCCCACAGAAGAGCTCCCTGGGGTGAAGATGGTCCTATCTCTAACAAGTTTTTGACATAGAACTTATTGGGGCTAGCGTGAGGACTCAATAGCCGATCTTCCACCTCCATCCACTGTGGTCTCCCTGTGAGAGACCCAGAAGAAGCTCCTGGCTCCTGACTTCTGACTGGCTCAGCTCTGGCCATTTCAGCCATCTGGGGAGTGAACCAACAGATGGAAAATATTTCTGTCTCTCCTTTTCTCTGTAAATCTGCCTTTCCAATAAAAATAAATAAATCTTAAAAAAAAAAAAAAAAGACCAAAAAACAAAGTTCACACCCAGCACAATAGCCTAGTAGCTAAAAGTCCTCCCCTTACATGTGCCGGGATCCCATAGGTGCACTGCTTCATGTCTGGCAGCCCCACTTCCCATCCAGCTCCCTGCTTGTGACCTGGGAAAGCAGTCGAGGACGGCCCAAAGCCTTGGCCCCTGCACCCACATGGGAGACCCAGAAGCTCCTGGCTCCTGATTGGTTCAGTTTGGCTGTTGCGGCTACTTGGGGAGTGAAATCAGCGGACAGATCTTCCTCTCTCTTTCCTCCTCCCTGTATATCTGACTTTGCAATACAGATAAATAAATCTTTTTTTTTTCTTTAAAAAAAAAAAAGCCTGGAATATGTCTAAGATTAAATTAAAAAACAAACAAACAAAAAAACAAAAACAAAAACAAAGGCATGGCTGGGTTGGTCCAACACCAGGAGCCAGAAGCCAGGAATTCTATTCAAATCTCCCACATGAAGGCAGGGACTCAAGAAGTTGGGCTGTCCTCCAAATGCTGCCTTCCTAGTTGCGTCAGCAGGGAGCAGGATCAGAACAGGAGCTGCTAGGACTCAAAATGGCGCCTTCTGATCTAGGGAAACATGCTGAGCCATTCACAACACCTTCTTTGTGCACGATGTTCATTGTGGTCTTTTGAGAAAGCACTGGGCACCAAGTGTGGCTGCGCTGAACTAAAACTGTGAACTTTCAAATGTTTAAAATGATGGATGCCAAGTGTATTTTAACCCAATGAAGACACTAAGGGTCCAGTGTTGCGGTGTAGTAGCCTGCAGCGCTTGCATCCCGCACGGGCTCCAGTCCCAGTCCCAGTTGTCCCACTTCTGATCCAGCTTCCTGCTGGTCCACTGGGGACAGCAGTAGAGGCCGAACAGCTTGAACTACAGCACCCATGTGGGAGAACCAGAAGAAACTCTGGCCTTGGCACTGGCCTGGTATCATTCCAGCTACTGCAGTTATTTGACACGTGACCAGTGGATGGACGACCTCTCTCTGTCTCTGCAACTCTGAATTTAAAAAAAAATAAAAACACAATTTTTAAAAAATTGAAAAAAGAAATCCATGGATTAAAGACAGAAATCATAGTGAGAAATTAAAGCTGGAACCAAACCACATGGACCTTCAACTCAAAACGGCAGAAAAGGAACCAAAGCACATCCTAGAAAGAGGGTGACAGAGGCCAGGGGCAGAGGTCAGAGACAGAACCCAGGTCTCTCGGTCACCAACCGGGTCCTCTAGATGACAAAGCTTGTATTAACAACTGTAAACACAGTGTGAAAACCTCAGCGAAACGTAGGGTGAAAGTGCTATGGGGGGCTAAGCCACCGCTGAACACCCACAGGCCAGGTCCCAGGGCCTGCCAAGTCCCAGCTGCCTGCTAACACCACCTGGAGGCAGCAGCCACGATCCAACTCCTCGAGCTCCTGCACCCACGCGGGAAAACCAGCAACAGCTCCTGGCTCTAGCCTGGCTCAGCACTGGGTGCTGCAGGCATCTGGGGGGTGATCCCGCAGATGGGACCACCCACGCTGATGGACAGCTGACCGACAGCTGCTGCAGGGGCCAGCAATGCCATGCTGACAGTTGGCAGACAGCATCTCCTCATGGTGAGCACTCCCACAGCTCCTGGAATCTGAAGCCAGACTAGAGGCTTGGCTGACCTGTCTGCCGACAGACGCAGAGGCACAGATGGCACCAAATCACCAAAGGCGAGCAGAATGCAGCCGGGGAGGCATATGGGTGCTCTACCTGGGGGCTGTGCGGGGAGTACATGGCAACAGTTGGTGGGGTGCTGAGTGGGGAGAGGACATGTTGGTCCACAGTGGGGCACAGTGCAGCTCTCCACTGTCTCGCAGAGCAGGCTCACGATATGCACGGCACAAAGCAAACCCAAGCGCGGAGACTGCTGTGGATGCACAGCCCAGTGCCTCCCACCTGCTCGTCGCTCCTGTGGTAGTCATTGTCCTCCTCCTGCTTCTCCTCTGTTGTCTCTCTGTTGGAACTGTCGTCTGCTTTGGTTTCACCTGTTGGCATGAACACAAAACACTGCACAGGCTGTGTGCCCTCGACCCATGTAGGAAACCTCAGGTGTGGTGTGGTGTGTACACAAAACACACATGATACAGATGTGCTCTCCCCAAACACTCCCTGTGCACATGCAGACATCTCAAAACAATTTATTCAGAAATCACTCGACAAGGGACTGGCATCATGGCAGGGTCTGAACATCCCATCTGGGAGCCAGTTCAAGTCCTGATTGCTCCACTTCAGATGTAGTGCTTAGGACCTTGCACCACATGGAGACGTGGAAGAAGCTCCTGGCTTTGGCTTGCCCAGCCCTAGACTTGGTACCCATCTGGGGAGTGAACCAGTAGATGGAAGAGCTCTCTGTTTCTCTATGTAACTCTCACTTTAAAATAAACAAATAAATAGTTCTTCAAACACAAAATCCCTCTAGGAGTCACATCTGAGTGCTGAGGCTCAATTACAGTCTGGCTGCCTGCTGTGCGTGTCCTGCTGTGGAGGCACTGGCTCGAGCACTGGGGTCCCTGCAGGCACTGGGGGACACATCAGCAGACTGGGGTTCTCTGGCTCTCAAAATACCCCAAATCCCTTTGCTAAAAGGGTAGAGTCAGCAATCAGGAAGGCCCAAGGTACCGACTCACCATTGCGGTGGGGGTCTGAATGCTGCTTGGCAGAACACGCCTCCCCCTTGGCATCGCCTGGCACTTCCATGCCGAGTTTGTGGTAGAATTCCCTCTGCTTCCTCATCTCCGCTGTGAACATTCAGAGTCATTATCTTAGGGGTGGATGTCAAAAGCCACAGACAAATGCTGTGCCAAAGTCTTCATGTGAGCCCAGAAATGGGCTGCAATCCCTCCCTGCTCAATCACCAGTGGGGGCATTGAGAACACACATGGAGCCGTCACCAGAGAATCCTCAATGACATGTCAGACCCCACAGCCCCAGGGACAGAGAACCGATTGCCAGCACCCACTGTTCATGTGAGAGGTCTCGTTACCCTGAGAGTTCCCTCGACCCAACAGGTCAGCAGTGCCCAGGGTCAACCTCCCAGCTGCTGCCTGGCCAGGTTCTGCACCACTGGCCTCCCTGACATAAGAGTACACTGCACCTGCTCCCCAAGATGGCTTCCTTTAGCCCTTGGGGTTACAATGGGACACTCTAAGGAGGACCCTGGGGGGACAAAGAAGCTGTTGGTTCCAGCAAGGCCCAGTCCATTGAGCCCATACTCTGACCAAGATGGACCTCAGAACACAGTGGGGTAAGGACACACAACACAAGGACCTCACAGAGCAGTGACCACAGTATGTCCTTGATAATGGACATGCAGGGACCTCACAGAGTGGTGACCACAGTGTGTCCGTGACAATGGACGTGCAGGGACCTCACAGAGCGGTGACCACAGTCTGTCCGTGACAATCGACATGCAGGGACCTCACAGAGCAGTGACCACAGTGTGTCTGTGACAATGGACGTGCAGGGACCTCACAGAGCAGTGACCACAGTGTGTCTGTGACAATGGACTAATGTTTTGGGAACATTCAAGCCCTCATTAGCATTCTCATCTGCATGGTCATCCTCCCTACACAATGATCTCCATGTTAGTAGGTTGTGCCCCAGTCCCACATGTGCTTCACCAATGCCTGGCTGTGCAGGATCAAGGACAGGGAAGCAGCCTCCTGGGCAAAGACACAGTGGCTAGTGCTTGTGGCATGCTATCCCTTGCTGGAGCACGCACTTGGATCCCAGCTCATCACTGCTCCAATTCTGATCCAGCTTTCCACTAATACTCCGGTAAGCAGTGAAGACTGACCCCAGGGTGAAGCTCTCGGCCAGACCTGGCTGTTGTGGGAATCTGGGAAGTGAACTGGAGGATGCCAGATCTCCCCCTCTCCCCATCACTCTGCCTTCTAATTAAATAAACAAATCCTCAAAGTGACGCGGGAGCAGTGTTTTGGACTGGGGAAACGTCAGGCTGGCCAGCTCCTGTGCTGTGTGGCAGCCTGGCAGCAGGAGGCCATCCTGTCAGGGTCTTTGAGAAAGGTTCATAGGTGGGAGGCAACCTGGCTTGGTCCTTTGTGATTGCCACCCACCCAAGGCATAGGACAACCAGGATCCAGTGGAGGACATGAATTCTCAGGAAGGCTATTTGGTGTCAAGCACTGAAAATACTTCATTCAGTCAACGCCCGGACCCAAAACACTACTGCTGGATAAGATGCCTGAGGCAAAGTGAAGCCAAATATCCCAGGAGACAGCCCCCGCACCACAGGACCAAACACGATACACTCCACGGTGGCCGAAGGCTGTGCCCAGCACATGGAGCCCAGCGGCCTCACCGCAGACAGAGAGGCAATAGGGGAAACCCAAGGTGTTGGGCAGGGAGCGGGCTCAGGGAGCAAGTGTTCTGTGGATGCCATGCAGCCATCACGAATGATGATGGCCACACTCACCACCATGGAGTGGCATGTCATGCCACAAATGGTGACAAATGGTTACAGGCCACATTTGCTGCCACAAAGCAACAGGCCACCAAATACTGCCATGGAAGCCAGCAATCAGATGTCACACACCTCCAAGTGTCATGGAACAGTGGTACTGTACTTGTTTAGAGTGATTCAGAGAGACCGTGTAGCCCTTTGCAGACAGACAATGCCTCTGAGAAACCTCATGACCACTTCCCATCAATGTCTCAGCCAGGGGCCTCTAGAGGCGGTATCTGTGCTGCCCTCATGGTCCACGCTGACCACAGGGCTCATCTGTTGGTGTTTCATCTATCCACAGAGTAGCATGCATGTCAGCCCAGGGCCAACTCCGGGAGATGAGCTGAGCGCAGGAAGGGGTGAGAGCAGGGAAGGGGTGAGAGCAGGAAGGGGTGAGAGCAGGAAGGGGTGAGAGCAGGAAGGGGTGAGAGCAGGAAGGGGTGAGAGCAGGAAGAGGTGAGACAGGAAGGGCTGAGAGCAGGAAGGGCTGAGAGCGTGGAAGGGGTGAGAGCGTGGAAAGGGTGAGAGCAGGAAGGGGTGAGAGCAGGAAGGGCTGAGAAGAGGAAGGGCTGTGGCATCCTCAGCTCACCTGCACATTGCCAGTAGCACACAGTGAGACAACAGAAGGAATAACACTGATGCCTCAGGCTGCAATTCAACCCTCTGATCTTTATCAAAGCACAGCCAAAAACATAAGGAGCTGCGAGAAACTGCTTGCCCGGGTCCTGAGGACAGGGGACGGGGAAAGCAGAGCCAAGAGAGGGCAGCAGGTCATTCCTTACACCTCCAATGGCACTCTGCCTCTGGGAATCAGGCCTTGGCACTGCCAGGTCATGGCCTGAGCTTCTTCAGGGGTGCCATTTGTGTCCCAGCTGCACCGCTTCCCTTCCAGCTCCCTGCCTGTGGCCTAGGAAGGCAGTGGAGGACAGCCCTAAGCCTTGGGACCTACACCCATGTGGGAGACCTGGAAGAAGCCTCTGGTTTCTGGCTTTGACCTGATCCATTCTGGCCACTGAAGCCATTTGGGGAGTTAGTCAGCAGAAAGAAGACCTCTGCTTCTCCCTTTCTCTTACTCTGTAAACTGTATTTTTCAAATAAATAAATGTAAAAGGCATAGTGGGCTAGTGTTGTGGCAAGGCCAGTTAAGCTGCTGTCTGTGATGCTGGCAGTTGCAGCATCCGCTAGCTCATCACAAGGTGTCGCCTAGCTCCCCTACCCAGCTCTGGGCCTGAGACACCACAGCCTCCAGAGGTCAGCTAGGGCCCCCGCCCCCATGCTCCTGCACTGGGAACCAGGCATGCCCCGGGGAACCTAGACCAATGCAAGCACATGCCAGCAGGAGACAGGACAGACCTGGGAGCCACTGCCTCGGCCCTGGCTCCTCTCATACAGCCAAGCCTCCTTGGCCATCAAGGGAGGAGCAGAACTGGTCCAGCTAATAGTGGCCTAGGATGTTAGCACAACCACCCTCAGCCACCTGGACTGGCTGAAACTCCAACTGGGAACCACCAGACCTCAGCACAGACCCACATATGTCCCCCACCTGAGGTCCCCGTGAGGCCAGACCCCTCTAACTCCATCATGTCATGGAGCTGGGGGCCACCTCGGCATCCTCATCCAGTGAAGTTGGGAAGGAGGGCAGGATGAGGGAGGGCAGGATGAGAGAAGGGCAGGATGAGAGGAGGGCAGGGTGAGGGAAGGAGGGCAGGGTGAGGGAAGGAGGGCAGGGTGAGGGAAGGAGGGCAGGGTGAGGGAAGGAGGGCAGGGTGAGGGAAGGAGGGCAGGATGAGAGAAGGGCAGGATGAGAGGAGGGCAGGATGAGAAGAGGGCAGGATGAGGGAAGGAGGGCAGGATGAGAGGAGGGCAGGATGAGAGAAGGGCAGGATGAGAGGAGGGCAGGATGAGAGGAGGGCAGGGTGAGGGAAGGAGGGCAGGGTGAGGGAAGGAGGGCAGGGTGAGAGAAGGAGGGCAGGATGAGAGGAGGGCAGGATGAGAGAAGGGCAGGGTGAGGGAAGGAGGGCAGGGTGAGGGAAGGAGGGCAGGGTGAGAGGAGGGCAGGGTGAGGGAAGGAGGGCAGGATGAGGGAAGGAGGGCAGGGTGAGGGAAGGAGGGCAGGATGAGAGGAGGGCAGGATGAGGGAAGGAGGGCAGGGTGAGGGAAGGAGGGCAGGATGAGAGGAGGGCAGGGTGAGGGAAGGAGGGCAGGATGAGAGGAGGGCAGGATGAGAGGAGGGCAGGATGAGAGGAGGGCAGGGTGAGGGAAGGAGGGCAGGATGAGGGAAGGAGGGCAGGGTGAGGGAAGGAGGGCAGGATGAGAGGAGGGCAGGGTGAGGGAAGGAGGGCAGGGTGAGGGAAGGAGGGCAGGATGAGAGGAGGGCAGGGTGAGGGAAGGAGGGCAGGGTGAGGGAAGGAGGGCAGGGTGAGGGAAGGAGGGCAGGGTGAGAGGAGGGCAGGATGAGAGGAGGGCAGGGTGAGAGAAGGGCAGGATGAGAGGAGGGCAGGGTGAGGGAAGGAGGGCAGGGTGAGGGAAGGAGGGCAGGATGAGGGAAGGAGGGCAGGGTGAGGGAAGGAGGGCAGGATGAGAGGAGGGCAGGATGAAGGAAGGAGGGTATGAAGAAGATCCAGCCTGCGGGGCTGCTCTGAGCACAGCCCAAATGGATCCCACCTGAAACAAAAACCTCAGAAACTGAGACCAGAAACACAGGGCAAGAGGGGCTACAGCTCAAGGACACAGGCCTGGGTCCGGCGCCGTAGCCAAGCAGCTAAAGTCCTTGCCTCGCATGCACCAGTTCAGGCACCAGTTCACATCCCGATGGCCTTGCTTTCCATCTAGCTCCCTTCCAATAAATATAATAAATAAATCTTAAAAAAAAAAGAAAAAGAACAAGACTCCCTTTCTGGTACAGATAAGACACAAATGTTCTCCCTGGTAGAGAGGCACGAATGGCCTCAGGGCTCCGGGCCTGCTGGCCTGTCTGACAGATGCACAGTGCATGGGGTTGCCCTGTCATGGCTGGGACATCAGGCTGCAGGTGATCCCCATCCTCATGTGTCCAGCCGTCTTTGTGAACCCAAGGTGGGTCACAGGGTGTATCTGCTTTCATCCATACCGAACAAGCCCAGATATCAAAGACAAACGCCACACCTATATTCATGGAGTCTGCTCTCCTGGTTCGGATGGAGCGCAGGATGTGGACATGGTTCCTTGGGGGTGAGCAGTCAGCAGCTGCTGCTGGACACATGGAGCCACGTTTAAACCGGAAATTGCATTCATGAGGTCTTAGAGAGGCCACCTGCCCAAACTGAGTAGGTGTCACTGTACCAGCCACCTCTGGCCCTAGACAGCAGTGGCCACAGCTTTGGCCTCAGCATGGGAAGGGTCCTGACTATTGCTCCTGGGTGGCTGATAAGGCCACTGGCACTATCCAGCACGTCTGACCAAACCCGAGTGGGACGTGACTCTGCACCCTGCTCAGCTCAGCCTCCACGGCCCCAAGCCCTAAAGGTCCCAGGGCCGTTGCTGCACCCGCCTTGCAGGGGACTGCTAGGAGGGCACAGGAGCTACTCAGGGTTGGGGGAGGTACAGTGGAGGCCCAGCCCAGACCACTTGGTCAAGGTAAAGGGGTCTCCACTGCCCAGATGAGGGCTGTGTCTGCCCACCACCACCCACATCAATGCCATGGTGAGCAGCAGAGTGCCCCCGGAACCCACAGCAAGGCCAGCCAGGTGCAGGTGAACCATAGGCAGGGATGAGCAGACAGGGCTTGGGGTTCAAGGGGACCCAAGACTCACCTTCTTGGAGGCCCGGCACCAGCTTGTAGACAATGTCCTGCATGGTTCTGTCGTGGCTGCAACAGAAGAGAGGACGGTCAGGGCACAGCAGCCCCGGGACACTCAACTGCATGCACCCAGTTCCACTGGGATCCAGTCTGGCCCACACTGTCCATCAGCCATGTGCTGCTCCATGCAGGTTCTGGCCTCACAAGCATCTCCACCCCAGCAATGGGTAGGGAGGCCCCAGGAACCAGTGTCCAGGACAGCATCCACCCAGCGTTCCGCCCCTATACCCAGAGCTTCGACATCCCAGGAGTGGGGAGTTGCAAACCCTGGCCCCTGCACCACATCGACCCCAGCTCACTATTCTCACACATGAATTACAGCCACTTGTACTTATTTTTGAGCAGAAAGTGTCCGTGAATTTCCTAGTTGTCAAGTCATTTTCATTTCTTTTTTTTTTTTTAATGATTTTTTTATTGGAAAGGCGGATATACAGAGAGGAGAGACAGAGAGGAAGATCTTCCATTCGATGATTCACTCCCCAAGTGAGTGCTACGGCCGGTGCTATGCCGATCTGAAGCCAGGAGCCTCTTCTGGGTCTCCCACACGGGTGCAGGGTCCCAAGGCTTTGGGCCGTCCTCGACTGCTTTCCCAGGCCACAGGCAGGGAGCAGGAAGGGAAGCAGGGCTGCCGGGATAGAACCGGCGCCCATATGGGATCCCGGGTGTGCAAGGCGAGGACCTTAACCACTGCGCCACCGCGCCGGGCCCAAGTCATTTTCATTTCTAAACATCATGTCTTTCAGAGAGAATCTTAGATGCCCCAAAGAGCAAAGGTCCAGGCAACTCATGAACGATCGTTTCACAGAACGCATAGAGCCTGCACTTCGGCCAGGCAGCAACATGAGTGCCCAGTTACACCACGACCAGCAGGTGCCTGCCCCAGGCTGCCAGTGTCTCCGGGGACACCCAGTGAACAGCAGGGCTCCCAGCTGTCCTGGCAAGGCCCACACCCAGCCAGCACGCAAACACTGGGTGTGTGAATGCACCTCAGAAGCCTGGCACTTCCTCTGGTCGCCTCCACCTGCTCCAGGCCCACCACCTCCCCCCTCACTGGGCAGTGGACCCTGAGGAAGGCAGAGATGAGGCCCTGTGGGTGGCCAGGAGCATCAGGCATATGCAGCCCAAGCACAGCTGTGTGGAGTGGGGTGAAAGACCAGGGTGGCTGAGGGTGCCCCTGGCTCTCAGCCACCACATAGTCACACACAGAGCCGAGCCCCAGGAACCCAATCTGAGAGCAGGCCTGTTGCAGGCCAGATCCCTGCCTCTCCCCTACCTTGTCTGTAGTTCAGCTATTTCCAGTCAATGATGAACCCAACTGTAATGAAAGCAGCATCGCGCCCCCAGCACAGCCCCCTCTCTGTCCCAGGTCCCAAGGGTAAAGACAGGCTGTGGGACCTGGCACCCTATGGGGACCACTGCTCAAGCTCTTGGCCCTTCACCACTGACTGTCTTACGGTCCATGTAGGAGATCTACCCCAGCTGTATGGCACCCAGAACAGGGTGGGCTTTACAACACCAGCGCCACCACCAAGAGCACAGGAGGACTTGTGGAAAGATGAGGGAAGGACACGAGGAACTCCAGTGATCATTACACCCATGCCAAGCCAGAGGTGACCTGCTTTGCAGACCCAGGCAATGGGCACAATGGATACCAGCCATGCCACATATTGGCTACAAGGCAGACACCGGCACACTGCACAGACTGGACCCCAACCATGATACACAGTTTAGGAACCAGATCCATGCAGGCAGCATCTGTAAGCTTAGAATCCACTCCTGGGGGTCCGGCGCGGTGGCATAGTGGTTAAGGTCCTCGCCTTGCACGCCCAGGATCCCATATGGGCGCCAGTTCTATCCCAGCAGCCCCGCTTCCCTTCCTGCTCCCTGCCTGTGGCCCAGGAAAGCAGCTGAGGACAGCCCAAAGCTTTGGGACCCTGCACCCGCGTGGGAGACCCAGAAGAGGCTCCTGGCTTCGGACCAGCATAGCACCAGCCGTAGTGCTCACTTGGGGCGTGAATCATCAGATGGAAGATCTTCCTCTCTGTCTCTCCTCTCTGTATATCCGCCTTTCCAATAAAAAAAAAATAAAATCTTAAAAAAAGAAAAAGGAATCCACTCCTGGACAGAGCACCAGCACATGCAGGTACACTCAGGCCAGCATGACCGGGGACAGCGCTTAGGACAAAGGGGGCAGCCCCCAACGTCACTCAGGACACCATGGCTCAGGACGGCATGACCAGGGACAGCTGAACCCCGACATCACTCAAGCAAGTATCGCCAGGGTCAGTTCCACAGGCTACAGTGGAACCTTCAACATCTCACAGGTTAGCACTTCCTGGGATGTGGCCACTCTTCACAACTTGAAGCTGCTTATGGGCTGCTAGGCTTAAAGCAGGGAGCAAGCATGCACCCCTCTTCCTTGGAAACTGGCTTTCAGAGGCATATCTCTGCCATGTTGGGTCAGGGGTATTTCCTTCCCTTCCAAGGGACCCTCAAAACTGAAACTGACTTTACGTTCCATGTGAGATTGTCAGCTCTGTTCTCTCAGATTCCCAGACTCCCAGGTACTCCCAGACTCCCCAGGGCCGTGCATGGCAGCTGCTGGGCACCTGGGCCATGTGTGGGCACAACAGAGTAGCCACTGAGCACTCAGGTTATCCATGGGCACAGCAGAACAACTACTGGGCACCCAGGTCAAGTGAGGGCACAGCAGGGCAACTATTGAGCTCTCAGGTTACATGTCAGTATAGCAGGGTAGCCACCAGACACCTAGGTCATGGGAGGGCACAGCAGGGCAGCTGTCAGACACCCAGGCCACAGCAGACCCAGGACTGCTGTCCCCTTCCAGTGCAGCCCACCTGTCTGCTGTTGGGAGTGCAGCTCAGCCCTGAGGCCCTGGTTGGTGCTTACCCAATATACTGCAGAGGGTGGCTCTGGTGGATGACAATCCTGCAAGTGGGGCACGTGTTGTTCTCCTCCAGGTACTTCACCAGGCAGCTCCTGCAGACTGAGCAGAGGCGGGGTTAGGGCCCACTGCCAAGACACCTCATTCCTCCCAACTCAGCAGGCCCTCATGGGGAACTGTTCTAAGAGGTCCCGATCTGTGCTTGACCTCAGGTGAGCAAGGGAGGTACCAACGGCTACATTCTCACTCATGAGGCCAGGGAGTCAATGGAAAGAAAAACCCACTGAGGACCCTCAGAGCGTGGGCCAATATTTACTATCTCTGCTCTGAAGTCTCATTTTCTTTCCTTGTAAAAACAAAACTGGGTAAAACACAATGAAAACAATCCAACATACACTAGGATGCTCACTCATCTAACACAACTAACTTTGAAGTGCGAGTTCCTACAGCAGGGGCTTGGCACAACTGTGGATGCCATGTCCCATATCTGACAGCTGAGCCTGAACACTGGCCCAGGTACTTGGGTTCTGCCACTGTGGAGACCCTGGTCCCTCTCCTGGGCCTGGTCCAGTTCTGGATGTCATAGGCATGGAGGTGGTAGTGAACCAGTGGGCAGTATCCCTCACTCTATCCGATCTCTAGGTCTTTCAAACACAAGGGAAACTGACCACCTGGTGCAAACATGCTGCCCATCGCACAGCCATCAAGGACTAGTGCAGACAGCCCTCAAGCCAGTGTCACAGGCTGTGGCAACAGGGATAAGCCAGCAGGCACCTCTGGAAAATATAAGGAATTTGCTTGAACATTTCAGGTGACATCTCTCCTCATCAGCAGCGAACCTCCTGTCACTCTACTGAATATCCAGGAACACAAGCCGTGCCTTGCTGAGCATTCAAGTGATGCCTCACGGACACTGACGGCTCATGGCTCCTAGGGCCCTCACACCTCGACAACCTTCACAGGCCACACAGCCCTCATAGTTTTCATAGCCCTAACAGCACACAGCCCTCACAGCCACTACAACCCCATAGCCCTCACAGCCACTACAACCCCATAGCCCTCACAGCCACTACAACCCCATAGCCCTCACAGCTCCTCAAAAAGTCAACAGCCCTAACAGCCTCCGCAGCCCTCACAGCCCATATAGTCCCCACAGCCCCCACAGCCCCCACAGGCACAACAGCCCCACCATCCCCACAGCCTCACAGTCCCCACAGACCCACTAGCCCTCACAGCTCTGACAGGCCCCACAGGCCTCAGAGCTCCCACAGCCCCTTTTAGCCCCTATAGCTCCCCACAGCCCCTACAGCCCTCACAGCCCCATAGCCCACAACTTTGTTCCTGCCTCGTGTTTCCATGCCTGGACTCTCAGCGTGTGTGTAGTGTAGTTGAGGTGACTGTGTGGACATCACCAGGAGCCCCCCTCCCTGGGGAGCACCTCAGGGCCCACACATACACGTGTGCAGACACTCGGTCACTGTAGTTGCATCGATGAGGTACCCGCTGCACAGGCGGCAGGTGATGTGGGCGTTTATATCCCAGAGCTTAATCTTTCTGGTCAGCATCTTTGGCTTCTGCAAGAGAAAAACCATTTGTTCATTAACATTCCAGTCATTCCCGGAGGCTTCATTGGGGGAGGGGTACCATGAGTGGGGACAGAAATTGTATGGTGAAAATCAACAGGGAGCCCCTCCACCCACACAGGCCTGTGGGGACAAGCAGCTCCAAGTGGTCACTCTGTGAGAACAGAGGTGAGGGAGGAGTGAAGGCAGGATTGGCCCAGGTAGACACCAGGAGCACTGTGCAGAACGAAGACTGCACTGGCCACTGCAGAACCTGGAAGACCTCAAGGGTTACACGATTACCTCTGCACTTTCTCACTGCCTGAGCTTTGGGGGATGGAAGTCTCAGCAGGGCCCCTCCTGACCCCAGATAAGGCAGGGCAGGCTCCATACCGCCCCCACCCCCTCCACACTCCCTCCACCGCACTGTTCCCACATACTTGTTTCCTTCCCAGCTTTCCCGGTGCTATGGAGCACATTCTCAGCAGGAGCTGGCCCAGGCCCAGACCAGCAGCCTCTCTCCTGCTCCAGCGTCTGTGGCCATCAGAGAGAACGCCAGGCTCCTGATGTCCCTGGACCCTTGAGCTGGCAGAGCCTGGGCCCCAGCCCCCTGTGCTGCAGATGGTCTGGCTTGGGTCTACAGGACTCATCTCACTGCCTCCACCCCGAGCCACAACCTCCAAAGGCATGAGCTGCAACAGCCCTGCTGAACCAGGCTGCCAAGCAGCCCAGGGCAGCACCTGGTGAACATCCTGACCACCCCACCCACTGAGCACCTCACCCCTAGCTCCTACCAGCCGGCTACAGCCTCTACCCACTAGTCTACTCAGTCCTCCTTATCCCCTCAGGACCACGGAGGTGCCATTCCAAACTGGTGGGACTATGCCCGTGCTAAGTATTTGCAACCTCTGTAAGTATAGTACTGGACCAGCCCGGACCAAGCACTCCACCTCCACCCTGCCTGTGTGTGTCAGTCACACTCACTGTCAGAGAGAGGAAAACGGAGAGACCAGGGTGAGGGGTACACTGAGTGACGGATGGATGCAGGAAAAAAAAAGTTACGCCTGAGACAGCCAGAATACAGAAACTGCTGATTCCACCAAGAGGGGAACGCGGTCAGCGAGGTAGACAGAGGGCAGCCTTGACAGCACAGCTGCCCTGAAGCAGGAAGAAACTGAGAGGACAGCAGAAAACGCAAACAAACAAAACCCGCAGAGACCTGAAGCCAAGCTCACACCCTCCTTCCTCTAAGCACAGGGTCCACGCTGCTGACCTGTGGCCACACACACTGCCCGAAAGTAGTAGCCACCATCCACCAGGCCAGCTGCGGCACTGCCTAGAGGACTCGCCCCCCGCCGAGGAGGCCGTCTCGGTGGCTCTGCATTTGGCAGCACGACACTGGAGTACCCTAACCAGTACACAGCGATGCTCCCCGTTAGGCTGCCTTACACCAGCCGCCTCCACGGACGTTTTGTCCCCCTTGACAACTGACCCAAGGAACAGGCTCAGTCCCCTGTGAGCTAAGGACCAAGGGCCTCTGCTTCATCCCAGGAGGACAGCAGCCAAATCACCGCAGAGCTACAGGGCAGAGCCCTGGTAAGGAATGGGATACCCTCACCTCTCACTCCAGCACACAGACTCACAGGACAGCAGGATTCTGGAGACAGGGCCCCGTTCTCACCTCCTGGAGACGCCGTGCGTCCTTTCTTCCGCCGGGGCATGGAGCCTAGGCCAGCACCGGGACTTGGCCGCTCCTCCTCGCTCTGCACAATGGCTCGTGTCTGCACCTTCCTCCAGGTCCTTGGTCTCTTTCCATTTTCTAGACAGAAATGCGCACCTGTCGCAATGCATCACCACACGTGTATGTGATCACAGATACCAGTTTCCCCTACTATTGCTGACCTGAGTCAGCGGGAAACACTACTCAAGGTGGGAACATGGGTGTGGATGCTGCGTGGTCCAGCTGTCAGGACCACAGAGCTGCTATTTGCTGCTGCCAGGGCACCCCCACAAGCAGGTACACAGCCCTGAAAGGCAGGGGTGGGAGAAGTAGTACTCTTCCATAAGGTTACCTGTGAGTGAGAGCCTGGAGTTTCTGCTACATCGTGAGGCCTGTGGAGAAGCACAAGACAGTGTCACAGAAGCAGGAGGAAGGAGACATGGATGCGAGGGAACCCCACAGCCTGAAGCCCTGCTCAGCTACAGGAGTCAGCAGCAGTGAAAACTGGGCTCCAACACACATAGGCAGGCTGGGGAAATGGGGTGTCCCCAAGGTCCTTCAAATCTTCAGGTGCCAACAAATGCCCTCAGGAGGAGGTGTCAGGGTGACCTAGTGGCAGGGTTTGGGGGCACATGTGTGCAGCACCCACAGGTGCATGGACTGCCTCATGCTACACCATGTGCAGCCCACTCATTGCTCAGTGCCCACGCAGCTCAGAGTGGAGAGCAGGCCCACTGCAGGGACAGGGAAGATCTGGCAGACAGGAAACATGGGTCCTGCGGACACACACCCCACACGCCAGCTGCAACAGGCCTGGGCCCCTTGTGTCGGTTCCTTCCTGGCCTGCAGTACTATAGAACACATGCAGACAGAATGAATGCTCTGGCTTTCAGATCATGGGAGGATGAAGAGGAAACCAGTGTGCATATGATTGCCCATCACTGGGACACAAACAGGTGGCCCCCACATCACACGAGAAGCCATCAGGAAATGGGGCCCTTCAGGACCTTCTCCTGCCTGGGGAAACCACTTGCCCATGGGTTTCCACTCCACCATGAACATGTGACCTGAGCATGGATGTACAGTTGTGACATGTGTGACCCAAGCATTGCAGCAGCATGGAAAACATCCAACTAGCTAATGTTTCATGAAGCTTCACTGATGGGAGCCCAGGCTTACGCATGTGGGCAGGGCCTACTACTGTCCTATCAGCCTGGAGTGGAGGAAGGTCAAGTTTGACAGGACTCCTAAAGGCTGACAGTTTTTAAACTCAATGATAAACTAGCAACTGGCAGGACTGGAGAATGCACCATGCTCAGCTTCTGGGCATAGTGAGCATTTCTGCAGAAACAAAAACAAACATTGCACGGCGGCAGGAAGCTATTCCTGAACCTCAGTGAGAACCCACAGAGGAGGACATAGCTCCAGCCTCAAGGTCAGTCCTAACCACTCACCAAGATGGGGAATCAGAGCACACACACAGCCCTGCTAAACCAGAGTGCGACCCTTCACCCAAACACTCCTAGTCACGGCCCGGGCCTCCAGCCAGGCGCTATGCCTGACCCTGTGAGGGGCCATAGCACAGAGGGGTAGCCTCTGATGTGGCTAACACACAGCGCCCTTTCCAGCCCTGGGTCACGTGTGGGCAAAGGTCCTGGCTACCCTGTATGGTAACAAGGCTAGAAGCAGAGGCTCCTGTCCATGGCAGGGGCCAGAACCTCTTCAGAACCTCAAGTCTTAGCAGCAAAAGCTAAGACATTGTCCAAGACAGGGTATCATGCAGGTGTCCCGGCTGCTCAACTTTCGACCTAGCTCCCTGCTAAAGCACCTGAGAGTGGAGTATGGCCCAAGTGTGGGGGCTCTTACCCACATGAGAGACCTGGAAGAAGCTCCTGGTTTCAGTCTGGCTGCCACATGCCTGCTGCGACTGCAAGTCCACACCAAGGAAGTCCGACCACCACTGGCGCACCGAGACAGCTGCCCTGACCACGCAGCCCCAAGCACAGCTGTGGGCTTCTAGGGGGGATGTCGCTCTAACAGGAGCCACCCAACCAGAGACTGGACACACGATGGCCCCTGGGACCACCTCATACCACAAAGCAGCCTGAACCAGCTCCCACCAGCACCCCAGAGAGGCAGCCCCAGGCCTGGCCAGAAGGTCGATCTAAGCCACATCTGGATTCCTGACCCAAGAGACTGGAGAGAGTAACTCCTCTATTGCACAAACAACACAAGTGGAGGACCCCTCCTGGCAAACAGGAACCAGAAGAGCCTGGTTGAACCTGAACGCTTGGTTCACCAGATTCTCCAAGACACAAAGCAGAGACGTTTAACATGGCGGTGGCCCAAAGAATCAGCAGGAAGCAAATGCTAAAAGGTGCTGGACACGGCCAAGAGGGTGTTAGAGCAGGACAGAAAATGCACCCTAGACAAAAATTACTGAGAAAAGTTGTGCTACTCAACTCAGAGCTCAGCCAGGCTCAACTGCACTGCACATATGCTGCAAACCAACCAATCTACACCACCAAAGCTGAGTACACACTCCAATCCCACAGCACTCCGAGTGCTCACTCCAACCCCATAGCTAGTACTCACTCCCACCCTACAGCTGAGTGCTCACTCCAAACCCACAGCTCTCCGAGTGCTCACTCCAACCCAAAGCACTCCGAGTGCTCACTCCAACCCCACAGCACTGAGTGCTCACTCCCACCCCACAGCTCTCCAAGTACACATTCCCACCCCATAGCTAGTACTCACTCCCACCCTACAGCTGAGTGCTCACTCCAAACCCACAGCTCTCCGAGTACACACTCCCACCCCACAGCTGAGTGCTCACTTCCACCACACAGCTCTCCAAGTACCCACTCCCACCCCATGGCTCTCTGATGGTGCACACTCCCACCCCACAGCTGACTATATGCACATCATCTTTTTCATTCAGCATGAGGACTGCACACTGCCTCATGCTAGGCAGTCCCCCTGTTGCCCCCTACAGACCAGGCTGAGTAATACCTGAACACTCCTTGTCCCGCATTTTCTCATTGCCTGCTCCCTACTGGGTGAGATACACACCCAAGGCCAATAAGCTCCTGGCTCAAGGTTGCGGAGTTCCTGGACCCCAGCCATCTGTCCTGGGCTGTGTCCCTGAACACATTCAGAGGCCATTACTTGCTTAGACCCTACCCCTTGGCTGCCTCTGGGACCCCCTTAGAATGGTGATGGGGGCACACCTGTGAACCCACAGGACTGAGGCCAAGAAAGTGTGGCAGACAGCTTCCAGGGCCTGGGAGTGTGGACACAGCACAGCCTTGGGAGTCAGAGCCCTCACAAGACAGTCCTGCATGGCCTGTGCAAAGAGGAGTTCAGGCCCCAAGCCCTTACCCGCAGTCACCTGCAGGTCCAGTCACTATCCAGTTTCTCCTAGCCTAGGAGGCCTGCAGTCCAGCATCCTGACTTAAGTGGCCAACCTGGGGTCCTGCTCCAGCCACCAGCCTTCCCCGGGTGGTCTCAGGGTGCCAGGCTCAAGGGGCTGTCAGGATGTTCTGCAGGGCTGGTTTTGCTGCCCAGACCTCCTCAGAGGCCTGTCCTGGGGCCCACTGCAAGCCCCCTGGGTGGGCCTTCCCCAGGGGCCCCACTGAAGGACCTGTCCTGGCTCCCATGTTCTCGGGTGCTGCCCATGTCAAGTCTGACCTCCACTGACCCGTGCTGGGCTTCCAGCCCTGCTCAGTGACCTGTCCAGGAGAGGACCTCACCGGGTGACCTGTTTCCATGCTCTGGCTCTCTGTGGATGGCCACTTCCTCACCAGCCCTCTTTGGTGACTGGTCTCTTCTGAGAATCTAGCCCTGCACTCCTTGGTGACCCATTGGGGTCTGCCCTGCTGGGGTCCCAGCCCTCCCGGGTCTGCCCTGCCCGGGGTCCCAGTTTCAAGGGGTCTGCCCTACCCGGGGTCCCGGCTCCAAGGGGTCTGCCCTACCCGGGGTCCCGGCTCCAAGGGGTCTGCCCTGCCCGGGGTCCCGGCTCCAAGGGGTCTGCCCTGCCCGGGGTCCCAGCCCTCTCCGGGGCCGGCTCTCGGGGCCTGCCGAGCAACGTCGGGAATCCCGTGCCAAGCGTGGGGGCGTCGGGGGCGCGGAGCCTCAGGCCGGACTCGGGCCGACGCCGCGGCCTGGGGAGCGGGCGCCGCGGGCCGGGCCGGGCCGGGCAGGCGGACTCACTGACCTGCAGGTTCGGGAGGGGGCGAGCGGGGCGCACACGGGGCTTCGCCGGCAGCGGGAGGGGGCGCCGCTCCTCGGGGTCCCCCCCAAGAGGAGGAGAAAAAAAAACCCGTCCGGAGTTTAAAACAAAGAGGCGGAAATGCCCGAGCCGAGCCGAGCGCCGAGTCGGGGGCGCCGCGGCGCGAGCATGCGCAGTACACGGCGCGGCTCCCACCCGCGGCCAGGGCCGGGGCGGAACCTCTGGGGGCGGAACCGGAGGGCGGGGCCAGAAGGTGGGGAGGGCGGGGCCAGAGGGCGCTGGCGCGTTTCGGGAGGGCTCGGATAAGGACTCGGTGTGGAGCGATGTGAGGGGCGTGGCCAGAAGGCAGAGGGTGATGCTGAGTGGGGGCGTGACCAGAGGAGAGGCGAGGTGCTACTTGAAGGGCGTGGCCAACGCGGGCGGGGGGGAGGCTGAGGCGTGGTCAGCCAGCGCTGGCGTGGCCGGTGCGAGGCGGGGCTCGCCGGGGGCGGGGCTCGCCGGAGGGGCGGGGCCGCACTGGCCAGCCGGTGGGGGCGTGGCCGCGCTGCCCGCGTGTCCGGCCGCTGCCCGAGCCCTCCCCACGCCCCTCCGGAGCTGCGCCCTCAGCCTGCCAGGCCCGCGCCCGGCCGGGGTCGCACGTGGCGGACAAGTTGTGCGAGTGTCCGCTGCGAGGGCCGCGTGTCCTCCCGTGGTGCTGGCGGGGACACACGGAGGGATTAGCGTGCCCTGTGTCCCTGGGCGGCTCGGGAGCCCGTCCAGGCCTCCCGCCCCTGGGCTTTCAAGGTGGCCTGAGCCTGTAGCCGCTGCGCCCATGCCCACACAGGCCCACAGTTTGTAAGGAGGCTGGGCAAGGTTCCTGTTTCCCAGACAAGAAAAGGACCTCAATGGGCTTATTTCCAGATCAGCAGGGACAGAAGACCCAGGTCTTTGCCAGGCACAAGTTGCCACAGCCGGAGCCACAGCCTCTCAGAGGCTCTGTCAGTTCCTGGGCACGGAGAGCAAGTGCAGGGTCCAGGGGCAGAGCTTAGGGCTCAGGAGCCAGTCCCGAAGGCTGTGTGGCACGTGCTCCCCCAGAGCCTGTGGTGCCCACCGTGTGCTCACCCACGTTCTCCACCCCTGTCAACCAGAAGATCAGCCGCCTGGTCAGCCCAGGCTGAGTGGCAATCATGACCCCCTAGACTAGGTCCAGGACTCTTAGGAGTTCAGAGATGGCCCTGGGTCTGGGCTGAGCCGCCCAGGGCCAAAGGCCTGGATGGTTTCTCTACTGCCCCAAGGGTGGACGCTCCAAGTGGGAATAACCTGTTGGCTGGGACAGGCAGCTCCTCAAGATCCTCTCTGGACAGAACCAAAGCTATGTTCGCTGAGAGCCTCTGGCAGACGAACCTGAAGGCCACACTGGCCAGTGCCCAGGCCTCTCCTGTGGGAACTGCAAGCCCAGCTGAGGCGCATGGAGTGGCCTGCTCAAAATGTCACACCAGGATGGTGTGCAGATAACTTGTTCCCACTGTCAGGGTCAGGTGGTAGCCTGTATCCCCATATCTTCTCATTCTAGTGGCCTGACCCCTACCTGCCTGTTAGCCCAGCTGACTGTCCCAGTACCAGGGAATCTTCCTTTGTCTTTTCTGAAGATGGATTGATTTGCAAGGCAGAAGGACACAGAGAGAAAGGCAAAGAGAGAGATCTTCCATCTATTAGTTCACTTCCCAAATGGCCATAATGCCCAGTACTGGGCCATGCCAGAGGCAGGAGCTCCACCTGGGCCAGCAGTGCCCGAGCTGGCCTCTCTGCCTTCCCAGGGTGGGAGCCTAGCAGCTGGGACACAAGCCAACATTCAGGGGTGGGATGCAGGCATTGCCAGGAACCCCTGCCCCACCCCCATAGAACCTCGCCACACAGCTTCCTGCACACTGGCCTGTGTGCCATCATCCTCCAAGGAGGCACTGGCCTTAGCCCCAGTTCGGGGTGTCTTGGCAACATGGGGCCAGTTGGTCCTCTTAGCATTATGAGGGCATCGGAAGTGGCAGGCGACATGGGGCATGGCCCTGGAGACCCTGGGGCCTTGGGAGCCTTTTGACCAGACTGTGGGGTCAAAATGGCTTGTCTGCTTTCTCTGCCTCAGTGGCACAGGCTACACCCATGTTGCAGAGCATCGGCCTCACACACACCTCTGCTGGCCAGTAGGGGCCCACAGGTGAGCTTAATCAGCCACTCCCACCAGGGCAGGTTCCGCTGCTGAGGATGGAGCAGGGCGAAGAAGATGGAAGGCAGATTGTTCCCTGCCTTCCTGATGTGGAGCCCTTCTCAAGGATGTGAGAGTCCATCTGACCAGTCCTGGAGCAGGGCCCTGTGTGCGCTGGACAATTTCCTACAGGGAGGCCCTGGGAGTGTGGCCTCACTGCTGGGCCCATTCACTTTCAGGCATGGAGTAGTGGGGACCCCCATGGGTGGCAGCCCTGCTTGCCACTGCTGTCCGTACAGCAAGCAGCAGCCCCCTCCAGTCAGGCTCTCTGCCCACATTGCCTGGAATGTGGTGAGTAGCTCTCATTCTGCCCACATTGCCACACACGTTTCACATGAGGAAGGCCCACTTGTCACAACATGTTTCACATGAGGAAGGCCCACTTGGAATCTTCAGATGCCGGTGGGGGCGGGACTCTGAGCCCAGGTGTGGGGTAGGGAGGCCTAAGGGGGACTCCCTCCCCCATGTCACATCCTGTTTATCTGCCTACAGCATCCAGGCTCCTTAAGGCTGGCCTGGCAGTCTGGATGAAACCGGCTCTGGGCAGTTGGTGCAGGTGAGCCAGTGACTCAGTGTTCTCAGGGAGCTGAGGACGCAGCATCCAGTAAACACCCACACGGGATGCCCTGGTGGCCAACGAGGCAGCAGCTCTGGTGCCTCTCATACCCGTGTGGAGTCTGAACCTGGTGATGCCCAGAGCTGCATTGCCTGTCCCCTCCACCAGCAGCAGCTGCCTGCGGGCATGGGAGTGGGCATGGACCCTGGGGGCCAGGTCATCCAGGGGAGGAGCCCTGGCAAGCCCCTGCCTTTGGGAGTGTCCCCCTCCTAGGTGGGCTGGCGTCAGAGCCTCAGACCCACAATGTCAGCCATGAGCCATCCCCTCCCCCAGCCTCTGTGGCTGTGCCAGGAGTGGAGGCAAGAAAAGCAAGGCAGGCAGCAGGTGGCGGGCGGGCTGCTGAGGCTAGGGTCAGCAGGAAGATGCACCGGGCCCACGCCCACACATGCAGGCTGGCTTTGTGGTTCTTTCCTCCCAGCTGGTGAGCCAGAGGCCACAGGCAGCTGAGCACAGACTCTCCCCAACAAAGGTTGTCAGAGAGAGTAGATGGTCAGGTATGCCCACTTCAAGGTGACATGGCAGCCAGCCGAGGCTCAGGACAGAGATATGCTGGCCATGCCAGCACCTCTGTGGAAGCTGCAGTTTCCCATAGCATGATGGTGGGGGATGGTTGGTAAGCTCGCCCTGCCTGTACCCAGCAACTCCTCTCTCCCCACCACTTGTTCCAATCCCTGTCCCAGCTGAAGCCTCCCCTTCTCATTTCGTTCCTGCCCTTTTATCTGTCTCCACACAGAACTGTGATTCCTGTGAAGTGTCTGAGCTGGCCTATGCCCACCACATTCCTGCAGTTTCATCCACAGCAGATGCCTGTGGGCAGGGGACCCAGGGTTGGGTGGAGCATGTCCAGATCCCCCCAGGTGCCTGACCCTGGGTTGCAGGCGTGCTGTCCTCTGCCCACCCTGGCTGATGCATCATGTCTGTCATTCAGATGCACGCTGAGATTACCCACCTTTATCTGGGCTTCCCATTCTCCTTGTGCCCCACCCCCCACATGGCTGGGTTTCTGCTCCCCATCCCAGCAGAATGCTCTAGCCGAGGCCCCCCAGGTCTAGGGGGAGCTAAGTCTAGTGGCCACTGTGCACCCTCAGGAGCTACCCACAGCATTTGTGCATCTCAGCGAAGCAGATCACAAATCAGGGTAAGCGCACCCCAGCTACATACATGCAGTGGGTCCAGCATTGTGGTGCAGTGGATTAAGCTGCTATCTGCAGCACCAACATCCCGGATGGGCGCTGGTTTGAGTCCTGGCATTTCCACCTCTGATCCAGCTTCCTGCCTTGTAGTCTGGGAAAGCAGCAGACGACAGGCCAAAGCCTTGGGACCCTGCACTCACATCACATGTCTTCCTCACTGCTTTGTCTACTCTGCCTGAATGGATCGGAAGATCCAGCACAGATGGGGTAACACACATGGATGACCCCAACACTTCCAGAATGTATAGGAAACTAGGCAAGCAGCAATCCAGGTTGCACTGGGGAACCACCTGAGCCCCCAGCCTCTCTGCGCCCCCTCCCAGCTGTTCCTTCATTGTCGAGTTTTGGAAGCTGTGCACCCTGGATGTCAGAGGAGCCAGTTGTCAAGGGCTGGTTTGCACGTGTTTCCCTGCCTGGCCACATGCCCAAGATCCTTAGAGCAATTGTAGATGGTGCTTGTCCCCTAGGCCGCAGCCAGAGAGGAACAGCTGCTGTGCACCTGCTCTTGCCCCAGGAGTTCACTCCCTTGGAAGTGGCTATCCAGGTGGTTGGTCGCCCACACAGCCCTTTCTGGCACAGCACTCAGGAATGCAGCCACCAACTGCTGACCTGCCCTGGGGTTAGAGAAGGCACCCACAGACACTGTGAAACTGGCCACATCAGCCACAGGAGCTGCCCAGAGAGGCCAACCACACATAGGCCAGGCCCCTAGGCAGCCTATGCTCTCTTCCTGGTGACGTGGGAGCCACAGGAGCCTGGGGTACAGGTGTGGACACTGGGGCAGGAAGTCGGGAAGTTGAGGGTTGGCCTCCAAGTGCTGGGAACTCCTGGAGAGCCCAGACCCGGGTGTGAGAAGTAATTTGAACATCCCATCTTGGAACCTGAGCCATTTCCTGCTTTCCCCTTCCCCATAGCTCTCCAAATTCCTGCAGTAATCCAGCAATCAGAGGTAACTTGAGAATCCCACTCCCCAATCTCTCCGTCCCCTCCCCCTAGTCTCCACCCACCTACCTGTGGCTCAGATAATCTGTCACCAGTCCCTGGGGGCACACACAGCTCCTCCCTGCTTACCTGGGTCTACCCAGTTCCCTCCATCCTGCCACCATGGCAGATGTGTCCCTTTCTGTACACCCCTCCACCCCAACTCCCTTTCCTACCTTTGGAATAAAGGACTTCCTAATATCTCATTGCATTTGGTGTTTTCGGCTTAAGGTAAAAGAGGACTTGGCTACGGGAATTAGCTGCGTGTAACAATGTAACAGCGTTAAGAACTGTAACAACTTTAAGTGCATTTTAAAACCGAACACCTGGCAGCTGCACAGGGGCTCCTATTGAGCCCTCAACAAGGCCCCCAAATGATTCACCCCACGTGGTGCCAGGGGTCGCCCAGAGTGGGAGCACCGGGAACTGGAGCTTCTGGGAAACCAAACTACCACTCGCCCAGGAGAGGAAGGGGTGGGGCCTGGACCCCACGCAGCCCCAGATGTAGCGCAGCTTGTACTGGCTACATCCGTGTCAGGCGCCCCGGTTTCTGCACCCAGAAGGAGGGGAGAGTGGCATCTGGGCTGACACCACTCCTCCCTCCCGCCAGGCCAGCTCCTCCCTACCAGCACAACCCCGAGACTCCCAGGGCCAGCAAGGGCGATCCAGGCTGGTTCCTCCGCACCTTCCCAGCCCCAAACAGACATTAGCGTCATCTGCCTGCTCTGCCCGCGGCAGAAACAAGGGGCTGGACTGACCGGCCTGGAAGCTTCCCGGGGGACTCTGGCTGCCGCCGCCTCCTCCAGGCTGGTCCCCAGCAACTTGTTGGGACCTCAAGACCCGGAGGCGGGCACTTTGGCCCCTCCCTGCATCTGCTGTGCGTGGGCCGGGCTTGGACTAGGATCGCGCCCGCCCGGCGAGTGTTCGCGTCCTCCGGAGGGCCCGGCCCGCGCGTCCCGCGGGTTGGCATCGGGGCCAGAGATGTCGGGGCCGGCGGAGGCCCGGGACTCGCCACGGGATGCCCGCGCACCCACCCTGCGTCGCTGGCTCTTCTTGGGCACGCTCAGCCTGCTCAGCTGCTCCAACGCCACGGTAGGGCGCACGCGCGGCCAACGGCGGCTCTTCCGGGTCGAGCCCGTGGACCCCTGAGCTGCAGCCCTGCTCACGGGGGGCGCGATCCCGGGCATGCCTCTCCGCGCACCTGCGTGCCGAGGAGGCGGGGCTCGGAGACACCGTCCCGCCTGCTGCGGCTGCTCTGCCTCGCGGAACCGCGGGGACAGCGCCGGGTTGCAGCTGGGGGGTGGGGGGATGGCTGGGAGCTCCGCTCCGTGAGTACGCGCGGGCTGGGCTGCAGGACCGGCGTGGATTCTTCCTGGACTGGGGAGTGTGTCCTGAGGTGAGAGACGGCCAGGGCAGCTGCTGCCCATGCCCAGCGTCCTGGCCGGACCTCTGTTCCTACCGCCTCACCGCCTCAGAGATGGACTTGCCTGGGGGGTGCCCTCCTACCCTGACCGCCCTCTGGGGCCAGGACTCTGCCTTCAGGAAGGCTTCCCCAGATCCCGGTGCTGGGGACTTGATTAGCCTATGACTAATCAAGCCTATGACTTGGTAAGCCGCATGGGTTACTGCCTGTCACCCCTTCATGGCCTCTGTCTGCTCAGAGGGCGCTCCTGACCACAACAGTCATGCGGGCCGCCTGACCCCCTTCCCAGAGGTCCCCTCAGGGATGACAGGTGCAGGGCAGCCTCCAGCAGGAAGACCCCACTCCCGCGCGGCAGTGCGCCCACAGTCCACAGGCCTACAGACTCTCAGGTTCTCTGGGACTGGCTAGGGCAGAGATGTGGGGCGGTCCTGGACTGCTCTGGATAGGCGTGGTCTGGATAGAGTTTGGGGGCGGGCCCCGTGGGCTGAGCTCAAGGGCTGGAACCTGGGAGATCTAGAAGTATCATGGGAAAGAACTGGTAGGGGACCTGGGACTCCATGATGATCACCGCATGCCCCCACTCCAACAGCTGTGGCTCAGTTTTGCGCCTGTGGCAGACACAGTGGCCCAGTACTTCCTGCTGACCATGGAGCAGGTCAACTGGCTCTCCATGGTTTTCCTCGTGGTGTCCATACCGTGTAGCCTAGCAGGCATCTGGGTTCTGGACTCCATTGGGCTCCGTGAGGCGGTGAGGGAGGCCAACCATGGTGGGTGGTGGGGGGCTGTGGGGCAGCCAGAGGTGCACTGGTGGGCCGTAGAGGAGATGTGGGCCGGTGGCAGCCTCCTACTGTCCCGCAGATGCTCCTGGGCGCATGGCTCAACTTTGCTGGGAGTGGGTTCCGGGCCCTGCCTAGCGTGGCCACTGGGATCCCCAGCCCATTCGCCTTCCTCATGGCTGGACAGAGCCTGTGTGCCCTGGCCCAGACTCTGATCATCTTCTCCCCAGCCAAGCTGGCTGCCCTGTGGTTTCCGGAGCAGCAGCGGGCTACAGCCAACATGGTTGCCACCATGGGTGAGTGCCTGGGAGCCCAGCCTGCCTGTGGCATCCTCTGCTCTGAGCTCTTCCCATTGTATGAGACCTGACCATTGACCACAGCCTTGCTGACTGATGTCTCTGTCCTGTACCCTTAGCAAATCCCCTGGGCATCCTCGTGGCCAATGTGTTGTCCCCAGCTCTGGTCAAGAAGGGGGAGGATATCCCTATAATGGTGAGGCTGCCCACGAGGTACCACGTGGGGAGTGCACACATCTCTGTGTGTATTCAGGGCAGGGAGGACTGGATGCTAGGACTGGCTGCGTCTTGCAGGCCCCTGCTGACCCCTGGCCTGTTCCCAGCTTGGTATCTACATCATCCCTGCTGGCCTTGCCTGCCTGTTGGCCTCCACCTGCCTCTGGGGGCAGCCCTCTGCCTTGTCCTGGACCATGGCTCCTGGCTCCCCCTCAGGGTCTTTCCTGCAGGGACTGAAGCAGGTAAGTGCCGAGGGACTGGGGGCTAGGGCAGGGCAGGTTCAGGTGGCCTGGCCCTCGCTGAAGCCCATGCCCTGCAGCTGCTCCGAAATAAGGCCTACCTGATCCTGGCTGTAAGCTTTGGGGGTGGCGTGGGCGTCTTCTCCAGCTTCCTGGCGCTCCTGGAGCAGATCCTGTGTGCCAGCGGCTACTCCAGTGTGAGTCAGGGTAGCCTGGTGCTTGGGGAAATGGGGGTCCCCAGCAGGAGCATCCTCCCCACCAGCACCACCCTTCACCAGGAGTTCTCGGGCCTTTGTGGGGCCCTGTTCATCGCATCTGGGATCCTGGGGGCACTAGGTCTGAGCCTCTATGTGGACCGGACCCGGCACTTCACTGAGGCTGTCAAGGTGGGCTTCTGCCTGACCTCCATGGCATGCGTGGCCATTGCACTGGTAAGAGTCCCTGGATAAGGCCTCTGCGCGGCAGTGAGTCTGGGTGTTGGGGTGATCAACATGTCTCATGCTGCCCCCTCCCTCTCCCCAGGTGTGTCGGCTGCCTGGGCAGTGCCTGGCACTGGCCGCTGCCTGTTCTCTCTTTGGGTTCTTTGGCTTTGCAGTGGCACCAGTGGCCACGGAGCTGGCAGTTGAGTGCTCCTTTCCTGTGGGTGAGGGGGCAGCTGCCGGCCTGGCCTTCATGCTGGGGTGAGTACCCCAGACCCCTACCCTGGGGCTAACTGTGATGGTTGGACTGAGAGCCTCCTGTGTGTCTAGGCAGGTGGAGGGAGCGCTGACTACAGTGCTGATGTCCACCCTGGCTGTGCAGCGTCCACGGCCCTCAGTGTCCACCTGCCGGCCTGGTGAGGACCTGCTCGACTGGACAGGTATGTGTCAAGGCCCTGGGGCTCAGGACGGGGAGACCTTGAGGCCAGGCCCAGCTGCGGGCAGTACACTCTGAATCTCTTCCTGAGGGATGGGGGGGTCAGGCTCTTTGGGGTAGTGTAAGCTGGGGGATTACAACTAGAGACCCCAACCCATTCTCAGCCTCCCTATGAGAAGGCTCGGAGCCTAGGAGACCAGAGACAGAAAGGCAGAAAGAGAGGGGAACAAAGGGAGTGGGAGGGCTGTGCTGGGAACCTGTGTCTTCTTTGCAAACCCCCTGGACTGTCCTAGGGGCTCTTTGGAGTCATGGTCAGGGTCTCCCTGGGGACATGGTCTGGATCTCTCTGGGGTCACAGCCTCTGCTGGGGTGAATGTGGGGACAGCCACGCTTTGTCCCCAGCATCCCTGCTACTGATGGCCGGTGTGTGCACCCTGTTCACTTGTGTGCTGGTGCTCTTCTTCCGCTCCCCATACCGACGCCTGCAGGCCACGTCCGGCGAGTCCTCCTGCAGCCAGGACATGTCAGCAGCCCCAGCTGGGGTGCCACAGGGAGCTCCAGGTGGCCTCTGAAGGCCTGAAGCTGCAGGGAGGGGGCGACAGCTCTGGCTTGGCGGGGGGAGGTGGGACCTGCAGCCCTCACGGGGTCCAGTGGGCTATTGGAGTCAGAATGTGTCAGTGCCTGCCCAGTAGGGCTCCCCAGGCGCAGAGCCCTGACTCTGGGGGCTCAGCAGGGGCGTTCACAGTGCTGCCTGAGGCCTCCTTTGGAGCCCCCAGTGAGCAAGAATGTTTTAAATAAATAGTAAACCTTAAAAACAAAACAAAACAAAGACCATGCCCATGACCCTGGTGACCTCAACTGCCAGCCCCACCCAGGGTCTGGGGATGGGCTCTGTGGCCAGGGATGCATTTGGCCAACCACAGGTTATTGAGGGGAGCATCCCAGCAGTCTGGGGATATTCTGGAGGGAGGTCCCCTCCTTCAACTCCTGGACCTGGAGGCAATGCTGGAGCATCCCCTGCATGTCCTCTAGCCTGGGTTGGAGTAATGGGGGACATGGGATATTGGGGAGTGTGTTGGTCCATCCCCTACACATCCTCTGCTGGGACATGTGGGGTAAATTATCCTCAGCAAGTCCTTTGGTCTGGGGCATGGTGAGGGGTGGGGGTGGGGCGAGCATGAGGGCCTGGGAGGGGCCTGCACCTGGCCCTGGAGCCTCTCTGCTTCCCTCAGCACTCAGTGTTAATATCTGGGTAGTAGGACCTGCACATGACCCTGCTCGTTGCAAGGCTGGGCCTCCATGTCTTCTGTGGCTCCCCGACTGGCGGCCCTACTGGTCCCAATACGATACCCAGGCCCAGGGAACAGACACAGTGGACAGGGTGTGTCCCCGGGAAGAGTGGCAGATGCTGCTCCACACCATGGCGGGACTTCCAGCAGGATCCCCGGGTAGTTGCAAGGGAGGGATTCAGGAATGCAGCAGCAGCCCAAGCTCCAGCTGTAGTCAGGTCTGAGGCCGACAGGAGACAGCAGCCCATAGCAGGGGTCCTCAGTGTCCTTTCCAGGGGCGCCTTCCCCACTAGCACCCGAGGCAGGAGCCTGCCGGCTGGTGGGGTCAGGACAGCAACAGCTGCGGCTGGTCCTCCCTGCTGGTCGGCGGGCAGTGCATGCCCGGGTGCGGGCCCCTCCGCCCGGCTGTGCGCTCTCCCGGAGGTGGACGGCGCCATGGGCAGTCCTGGCCGCTCTCGGCCCCGACCCCAACCCCGGCCACGCACACCCGCCCTGGGAGCTCGAGCCGAACCCAGGTCAGCGCCGCCAAGGACCCTACGCTTGCTTAACCGGACCCACGCTCCCGCCCTCTGCGCTTGCACACCCAGACGGCGCCCCCCCCGTCCTTCGGGCTGCGCATGCGCGCGCCCCGCCCACACTAGTGCCAGCGCAGCCTCCCTTGAGGTTGCCTCGCTCTGCGGATTGTGCTTCCGGTGCGAAGGTCACGGACAAGATGGTGCCGCCGGTGCAGGTGTCCCCGCTCATCAAGGTGAACTCAGCCCTGCGGGCGCTCGGGGCCCCTTTCCGACCCCGCGGGCTGCGGCCAGTCCCCTCGCGGACCCCGGGATCTGTGACCCGCCCGTCCCGTGCCCTCCATGCCCCGCTCTCGCTGCGCCCGGAGCCCGCGTCCCCGTTCACCCTCTCCCTGCACCCCGGGGTCCCCCCGCGTCCCCACTCACCCTCTCCCTGCACCCCGGGGTCCTCCCGGGCCTCCGCACCCTGCGTCTCCACGTCCCCACACCCCGGGGTCCCTCGCACCCCACGCCCGCGGTGCGAGCCCCTTCCCGCGCCTCCTCCCCTTAGCTCGGCCGCTACTCGGCACTGTTCCTCGGCGTGGCCTATGGAGCCAAGCGACACAGTGAGTGACCGTGGCCTGGTGGGCTTGGGTCGGGGTGCGAGCGGGACCCCGCGGTGTTCGCCCTGCGCCCCTCAGCGCACCCCGGCCCCGCAGGTTACCTGAAGCCGCGCGCGGAGGAGGAGAGGAGGGTAGCTGCGGAAGAGAAGAAAAAGCAGGACGAACTGAAGCGCATCGCGAGGGAGCTGGCCGAAGGTGCGGGCAGGTGGCCACCCGCACTGGCCCGGAGCCCTAGGGAGATGGGGTAGGGGCTGTGGGAACAGCGTGCCCCCTGACCACAAGTGTCTTCCTCCCACCCCAGCCCAAGATGAAAGCATCCTGAAGTGAGAAAGGGTCATCTGGAGCCTCAGGAACCAATAAAGCTCCGACACCTGGAACCTGCTCCTGAATAAAGATCGGACACGGAACCAGCTCGTGTCATTCATTTGCTGTGGTGTGGGGGCCCAGGGAGAGTGAGGGCCATCTTTACATCTGTGGGGATGCCCTCCCATCTGGGGTGCCTGGGGGCAGGAGTGTCCTCCTGTCAGGGGTGAATGGAGGGTGTGAGTGGCCTTCCATCTGGGGTGACTGGGGGCAGGAGCATCCTGTCAGGGGTGACTCGGGAGCAGGGGTGTCCTGTCAGGTGAATGTGGGGCGTGAACATCCTTTCATCTAGGGTGACCAGGAGTCAGGTGACTGGGGTAGGGGTGTCCTCCCATCTGGAGTGACTGGAGGTGGGAGTGTCCTGTCAGGGATGACTGGAAGGTAACCCCCCCCCCCGACTGTTGGACAGTGATGTGCAGGGGTGGGGCCGTCCTCAGGGGCAGCTCCTTTGGTGGGCAGTGCCCCCACACTGTCCTGTCCGTGATCTGTCCTTGGTTTCCGCCTTCTTCCACCTTCTGTCACAAGTGGCAGCATCAGTAGAAGGCCCTTCTTAGGGTGGGTCCTCGCTTGTCTGTCAGTTGGTTCTTAAACTGAGTCCGTGTGAGAAGTAGGTGGCTTGTTTATTGTGAATCTTCGACTGGAGGTGTCCATTGTGCCTCTGTGAGCCCCACAGTTCGCAGGTACATTTGTTATTACAGTGGTTCAGTCCATAAAACACAGTCCTTGGGACTTCCGAGGGGTCTGCTGTCTCCAGTCTCTGCGGCCTTTTAACCTGACCACGGCCTGCCAGCTGCTCACAGGAGGCAGCAGGTGGAGGACTTGGGTGCAGGGCCTCCGTTGCAGATCTCAGTGCCCACTGCAAGGGAAGATGAGGCAGTGAGATCAGGTCCATTCATGGCTGTCCGTGTGTTCTCCAGTCCCCTCAGGAGGAAGGCCAGAGCATGGCCAGTGGCCAGCCCCAGCGGATTAGCCGATTAGCAGGGCTGAGCCTGCCTTAGCTAGAGCCCTGGCTGACACCCTGCCCTTCTTAGCACAGGCCTGCCCTGCAGTTGCTTGTTTACCTCTTGGGGGCGAGCAGGTGGCTGAGCCAATGCCCTCAACCCCCGTGGCTATTGGGTGCCCCTGCCCATGGGATATTCTGCATCTTGGGTCTGGGGAATTCAGCTGGTGAGGTCAGCTCCATCATCCTAGGCCCTACCCTGCGCCTGCTCCTGCCTTGTGGAGCCCAGACCTTTTTTGACTGGTACCCGCTCTTCCTCCTTCTTCTTCTCCTCCTCCAGGGCCTTCACTTTGGCCTCATACTCGTCTGCCAGCGCCTTCCACTCCTTCCTGTTGTTCTGCAGGCGGTCAAACATGGGCAGGATTTCTTCGTGGAAACGTGAAAACTCCTGGGGGGAGTGGAGCAGTCAGTGGGCATAACGGGCAGCAGCTCCCTGCCTCTGGCCCGCCCCTACTGCCCCCATCCCCCCAGCTCATATACCCCTTGCTCCCTGTCCCCTCTATGGAAGGCCCTGTGAGGACACCAGGAGGGAGGGACTTCCAGTGGGACGACACTGGCCCACTCAAGCCCTAGAAGGGGGTGTGGTGGCCTGCATTGGGCTTGTGATGTGCAGGACCTTGGAAGCAGTAGAGGGGCTGAGGCAGGATGGAGCCGAGCCCTGAAAGGAGATGGAGGTGGCAGATGAGCCTACCCTGCAAACCTCCTCATGCACACAATTCGCGTGTGCATGTTACCTCCAGACATGTCAGACCTGCACAAATGGCCTGTACGTGTCCTTTGCCTACGCATGCCCTATACCTACACGTGCCCCATTTGCATTTGGCAGTGCACAGTTCACACCACATCTTATTACATGTGAACACATTCGGAAGAGGATGGGGATAGGCCAAGCAAGTCTTGAACCTCTGGAGCACCCATAGCCCTCCTGGTGCAGCTGCCCCACACACCTACCTTGTACACAAAGGTGCACACGAAGTCGATGAAGCCGACCTGCAGCTTGGGGAGCTCGGCTGCCTTGTTGCGGTCCATCATGGGCTTAAAGGGGAAGTAGAGGTGGTGACCAGAAAGACAGCTCCTCGGGCCCCTGCTCGTCCCAAGGACAGAAGCGTGGAACATGGGCCCCTTGGGAACTATGCCGGCCCTGTAATCAGCTGTCTTGCCTGAGCCCTGGGTACAGTGCTGTGGGTCCCCCGGATGTGGTCCCTGTGCCCTGGGAACCCTGCTTAGTCTACCATGTCAAAGGATGCCTGAGGCCACAGCAAGGGTGTGACTTGCTGTCCCCCAGGGAACCTGCTAGTGGCCAGCCGCACCTGGCCTCAGGCTCTCTGGACACAGCCCACTGTCAGGCTGCCTTGCCGGATACAGTCAATTTGCCCAGCCAGTGGCTTTCCCACTGACCTGGCCTGACTTGGCCCACAGTGCCATTGGCTGGCCTTAGTCCTGGCATTGCAGCTCCTGCTCCACCACCCTGGGCAGCCCTTCCTCTCCCACAGCACCACCTGGAGCTCCCGAGGCACAGCCCAGCACAACCTGAGTCCCCTGGCAGCCCAGCCACTCACAATGGGCTGCTGATCCAAGACGGTCCTTTCCAAGTCCCCTTGTTCCCAGAACTCTGCAGCTACCAGAAGAGCCACCTGGGGGCAGGGAGTATGAGGGTCTGCCCCTTAGAACCCCCATCCCCTGCCCGTGCAGGAGCCCCCATCTGCCCCTACCCCTAGGCCCACAGGAGCCCCCAACCTGGGGCTCTAACCTTGCTCTGCACTTCCCAGGGCTTGGTGATGGCTGACAAGTCGCACGCAGTCATCATCATGGCCCTAGGGGCAGGCAGAGCAGAGCACAGCTGAGCAGGTGCCTTCATGTGTCTCCCAGGCTCTCACTGCGCGTGGGGCATGTGGCCGGGGGAGCACATGGGTCTGGTTCTGCCTGAGGTATAGGACCCATGCGGAGGCTGCCGCACTCACATGACAATCTCCTTGCGTGTGGTCTCCAGGGACAGGTATTCCACCCAGCTCTTCTTGTCCTGGTAGTTCTTGGACTCGTCCACAATCTTCTGAAACATGGTCCTCTTCCTGCGCACAGTGTGAGGGAAGCCATCAGGGCAGCAGGTGGACTCAGCCCCCACCTCAGTGTGCACCCCTATTGGTGTGGCCCTCTCCGGCACCTCCTCCCATGTGCAGCCCCACCCCACACAGTGCACACGTACTTGAAGTAGAGCGCCAGGTCCGTGGCAATGATGGCGATGTCCATGAGGTGGATCACATGCTCGTGCTGCCGCCGGTTAAGGTTCTGGTAGATGTTCAGGCTCTGCGGGGGGCCTCCACGAGTGAGCATGTGCATGTCCCCCACACTGTCCTGCCTGTTCCTTGCACACCCTGCCCTCGCCCTGGCCCATACCAGGGTCTGCCCTGGGCCATCTGCATCCTCTGGGGAACCCAGGGGACTAGCTAGGGAGGGGCAGGGCCACTTGGGGTTTTGCACTGCCCATTGCCCACCTCCCAGGGTCAGTCCTGGTTACTGCCCTCTGGACACTGTTGCACCACCCAATCCTTCTGCACACCAGCCTCTGGGGTTTCCCAGGCTTCCAAACCCTGGCAGCCCACAGCTTTGTGTTGGCCCACCTGGCCTTCCCCCATGCCTGGGACATGAGGCCTACAGCATTGCCCATCCCCCGGACACACAGCTTGGTGTGCACACAGCCTGGGAGCACACACAGCCATGAGTGTAGACACGAACCTCCTCTCCAAGAAGAAACTTGCCGAATTCCAGGTGGTGACGCTCCAAAATGGAGGAGCCATGGAGCTTGGCCAGAGGGTTCTGGGATCTGTCAGGAGCAAGTACACAGAGACCCAGGGACAGAGTGACAGCTGGCCCATGCAGCTGTGGCACCCTCTGACTCCCTGCCAGTGGCTCTTGTCACAAATGTGGTCCCCCCAACCAGGACGCCTACTTCATCTGGTACAGGTTGTTGGTACCACGGTGGTCGATGTCATGGCATAGGCCGGCAGTCACCATGGCGAAGGCCTCCAGGTCTGTGTAGTAACTCTTGAGTTTGCCAGTCTGCCAGTCGTGGGAGAGGAAGCTGGGTCATGTGGGTACCAAACCAAGTGAATCCCCCCTTCCACCCTGGGCAAACTTCTTGGTCTGTCTGCCTGTGGGATGTTGTCTGTATATGGGTCCTCTCTACCTGTGGGGCCCTGTTTGCTTTGGGGCCCACCCCGCTGGCCTCCAGCACCCACCATGAGCAGCGTAAACATGGTCTGTGCCACGTTGAAGCCGTGACGCCAGTTGTGATAGGTGATTCTGCGGTAGGCTTTGCTGACGGAGAACAGGAACCGTACCAGGACCTGGGCCCACAGAACACACAGGCTCCACACCCTGACCCAGGCTCCTGGGGACCCCCACCTCCCATCTCTCCAGTGGCCCCTATAGTGGGGAGAGGAAGAGGCGGTAGGAGCCAGAAAGTCAGCCGGTCTCAGCCTGGGACAGGCCCCTTGAGGTGGGGGGACTTAGTCCTGGGAAGATGGGGAGCAGGTGTGTGCCCAGGGGGCCTCAACTGCCCCCACTGTGACTTTAGGGTTTGTTCTCTCTGTTCACGTGCATGTAGGTGCATTGGTATCTCTTCCATCTGCACAGTCTCCCAGTCTCCTTCCTCCAGCCCCAGAGGAGCCTGAAGGACACAACCTCCCTCCCAGGGCTGCAGAGCAGGGCCCCTCTCCTGGAGCCTCAGGTCAGCCCCAAGGATCACAGTGACTAGAAGACGGCACATTCACCCTCCCTCCCTCCTCACTGTGCACTGCCATCCATTCTAAACAAATGTTCTGTGGGATCTGGGCCCCTGCCATGTCCCTACTGCTTCCAGTGGCCATGTGGCTCCGACCACGTTCCTCCCTTGTCATGGGCCCCACACGTCCCTTCCCCATCATGGGTCCCCATGTTCCTCCCTCGTCATGGGGTGCCCGGCGTGGTCTCACCTCCTGAGGGATCTGGAACTTGCGGACCACACCCAGCTCATAGTACATCTGGATGCCGCATTTGACCAGCTCCAGCTCTGTGCACTCCAGGTCTGAGAAGTGGAACTCATAGATGTCAAACTTGTTGGGTCCGGGCAGCTCTTCCTTCTGCAAGGAGGGTTGGAGAATGAAGGGCAGGGCTGCTGCAGCTCCACCAGGTGCTTGAATGATCTCACACAGGCATGCATGGACTCCACACTCAGGTGGACACGGACACATGTGGATAAAGCACACATGTGCACACTCCAGAGGTGTGTTGCAATCACAGGCTAGCAGCTGCTGGATGATGATTGAGACTTGGGAAAAATTCATGTGATTCACGTCCTGCCCCAGGGTGGCTTAGTCACATGGGCAGTGACGGCCATGTCATATGCCTCTAGGGTGACTCACCCTGCACTCTGGACACACACGCCAGCACATATGTGCACTGGGCATCACAGATGGGCACACGGGCAGTTCTGGGAGAACACAGGGGTATGCTCAGGGCAGACTTGCAGACACAGCATGCTTGGACATATACACATAGGACATGCCCAGCAGGCAGCACTGTGTGCACAGGGGTGAGGACTCTGCCCTCCCACACCCCAGGACGGCAGTGGAGCTCACCAGAATGATGCCTAGTTCCTCCTCCTCACAGTCAGCAGGCTCCTTGCCCAGCCGCTTTCTGGTTGGCTGGAGAAAGGCAGACAAGTGTGAGGCACAGGCTTATGCTTGTCCACTCTCAGTTATAGGGTACCCTGCCCTCTGCACCTTCACAGAGATACTGTGCCCCCTGCAGCTTCACAGTGAGGCCCGCCCGCTATACTTTCACGGTGAGGCTGCACCCCTGTAAGCTGGAAGGTGGCGCTGTCTGAGAAGCAAGGGCAGTAGCGATTTGTGCACAGGAAGCACTACATCCAGACCTGGAGAAATGTGTGTCTACAGCTCACTTCCCACACAGACTTGCCTCTCAGGTCCCATCTGCAGGACCTATGATGGATGTTCAGGGCTCTGGCCACACTCAGCATTCAGCCCTGGCCTCACTCCAGCCTGGCTATGTTGGCTGGGGCGAGGGCAGGACCGGGCTGGCTTCTATGTGCTGACCATTGTTCCCCCCGACCCAGGAACAGAGGGGTATGAGGGTAGGGCCCTCTGTATCCTGACCGCTGTTCCCCACCCAGGGACAAATAGGGGGTGCATGAATAGTACCAGGATTGCCTGGATTTCATCCTTGTCACATCTCACGTGGTACAGAACCATGTCTTGGGCGATGTCCTTGCGGTTCTCTAGTTTGTTCATTTTATCGTAGGTGTCGGTGTTCAGCACTGACCAGCCCAGGAACTGTGTCAGGGACTGGAGAGACAGTGGGTATGAGGGCACTTCCTGTGTGCTCCACTTCCTGTTGCCCCTGGATTGCTGCAGGGCAGGTACTCCAGAGGTCATCCCCCATATACCTTACCACCCCTTCAGTCTCATGCAGGTTGGCAGGCAACTACACACCTGTCCCCCACACACCTGGTGAGCTACTTGCACCCTTGGCTAGCGTTTACCTCCATGATAACTTCATCCTGCTCATCGAAGGGCTTCCCGTCCTTCCTGTTGTAAAATGTGGCCACTCCCACAATCTCCTCCTTCTTGTTGACGATGGGCATGGATAGCACATTCTTGATGACCCATCCAGAGTCGTCCAGGGGCCCGTCCTGCGGGAGTGTGTCATAGCTGAGGTGATCTGTGCTGCCCATGGGTTGGGGCTGGGCTTTTGTGCTGCCTGGTCCCCATCGTTGGCCTGGACTGCCCCCTCATGCTTTTCTCACTGGGTTGGGGGTGGGGGGCCTTTGGCTCCATGGAGGTGTAAGCCTCTGCCACATAGGGTTGGGCTCAACACAGAGTCTCTGCACTGCTCTACTGCCTACCCCACATGTCTGGGCCTGGCAAGGGAACCACACACGATGGGCCCGTTCCTATGGGACTCAGAGACATCTGGTGCCCAGGAGAGCGCCGATCTGAGTCCATGTCCCAGTTGTGGACACACGGAGCAGACACCATCCATGCTGAGACTAGCCTGGCCCAGCTGAGATCAGCTAAGTGGGAGTGGCTGAGTCCCAGCTGGTCTGGCCAGAACACACACTGTGAACAAACCAGTACCTGGAACTTGAACATTTCATCCGCAGAGGTGTTCATGATGTTGCAGATCTGGAAAACAGCAGAGCCATGTGGCAGAGCAGGCAGTGGAGTCCAGAGAAGAAACTCCAGGGATGAGGCAGAGCCCAGGGCTGGGGCAGGACTGTTCCTGGGGACGTGGGGTGGTCCTGGACAGGGCCCGGGGCTGGGGCAGGCCAGGGCCTGGGGACACGGTGTGGTGCTGGGCAGGGGCCAGGGCTGGGGTAGAGCAGGGCTTGGGGACATGTATGGTCCTGGGTACAAACTTTGCCCAATGTGGCACAGGACTCACAAAGCCACTCTCAGCCACGTAGGTTGGAAGGCCACTGACCAGGGCCCAGTGGTCAGCAGGGGGTGTGCTGGGGAGAGAAGCAGAGAGTTACGGGGTGGAGCTGTGAGCTCCCAGGTCTGGTACTCGGTGGGAGAAGGGGTGAGGAGAAGCAGAGTGTGGCAGGGGTGAAGAGGAACAGGATGGGACAGGGGTGAGTAGGGGCTAGGTGGGGCAGGGGTGAGGAGGAGTCGGGTGGGACGGGGTGAGGAGGAGCCAGGTGGAGCAGAGGTGAGGAGGAGCAGGATGGGACAGGGGTGAGTAGGGGCTAGGTGGGGCAGGGGTGAGGAGGGACAGAGTGGGTGGGACAGGGGTGAGGAGGAGTGGGTGGTGTAGGGGTGAGGAGGAACAGGATGGAGCAGGGGTGAAGAGGAGCTGAGTCGGGAGCATTCTTCTCTGAGCTGGTGATGCCCCCCTCACTGGCCTCCCTAACCCTGGGCCAGCATCCTGCCAAACCTGCACTTACGGGATGACCTTAATGTCCTCCTTGCCATGCAGGATGTAGTCAATAACCTTGTAGAAGACGATTTCCTGAGAAACGAACACGTCAGGCAGGGGGTCCATCCCAGCTCCACAAAGGGGATCCCTCTTGGAAGAGGTGAATAATAGCAGGGACCCCCAGACACATACACACACCACACATGGCCACATACATGCATATACGCTTATACAGTCACACACACACAACCCTGGCATGTGTGCATGTCATATGTTTGCACACACAATCACACATGCAGGACATCACTTGTACTCCTCAGGGCTCTGCCCACTGAGATGCTGATCTGGCCCCCCCCACAAACACACATGCTTGCAGTTGGGATCCCCGTGGGGAGGCATGCCCATGGCTCAGGGACAGCACGGGGTGTAGATTGGCTGGCATAGCCCACACTCAGGATGGTCTAGGCACCTCCCAGGAATCCAAGCTGGACAACGCTGGTGTCCACTCACCCGGCCGTCAGGTGTGCGTGGCCCTGAGTATGGCTGGGCCTCGCCCATCAGCACAGGCCACACATCAAAGAACTCCTGAAAGGGCAGCAGGGAGGCTCATGAGTTGGGCCCAGAGCTGGCTGGCCAGGAGGGGCTGTGGGTGGGGTCTTACCTTCTCTTTGGTCATGTCCAGGAGGCCCACAGAGTAGCGGTCACAGTTGAGATAGGCTCGCACCGTGTAGAAGGCCTTGTGGAACTGCCTCTCAATGTCTGTCAGTTCCTCAAATACCTTGTTGGCTGACCACAGCAGCACCTGCCGGCAAGACACCATCCCATGCACCAGGGGCTACATGTATGGGGGACATGTGTAAAAGGGAGGTGTACAAGAACACGTGTATGAGGAGGTGTGCAGAGAACAGGTGTATGAGGGAGGTGTACGGGGGACTCATGTACGAGGGAGGTGTACGGGGGACTCATGTATGAGTGAGGTGTACAGGGGACTCATGTATGAGGGAGGTGTACGGGGGACTCATGTATGAGTGAGGTGTACGGGGGACTCATGTATGAGGGAGGTGTATGGGGGACACATGTATGAGTGAGGTGTACGGGGGACTCATGTATGAGGGAGGTGTACGGGGGACTCATGTATGAGTGAGGAGGTCAGGGGATACATGTATGAGTGAGGTGTACGGGGGACTCATGTACGAGGGAGGTGTACGGGGGACACATGTATGAGGGAGGAGTTCAGGGGACACATGTATGAGGGAGGTGTATGGGGGACTCATGTATGAGGGAGGAGGTCAGGGGACACATGTATGAGGGAGGTGTACGGGGGACTCATGTATGAGTGAGGTGTACAGGGGACACATGTAGGAGGGAGGTGTACGGGGGACTCATGTATGAGGGAGGTGTACGGGGGACTCATGTATGAGGGAGGAGGTCAGGGGACACATGTATGAGGGAGGTGTACGGGGGACTCATGTATGAGTGAGGTGTACAGGGGACACATGTATGAGGGAGGTGTACGGGGGACTCATGTACGAGGGAGGTGTACGGGGGACTCATGTATGAGGGAGGAGGTCAGGGGATACATGTATGAGGGAGGTGTACGGGGGACTCATGTATGAGGGAGGTGTACGGGGGACTCATGTATGAGGGAGGAGGTCAGGGGATACATGTATGAGGGAGGTGTACGGGGGACTCATGTACGAGGGAGGTGTACGGGGGACACATGTATGAGGGAGGAGGTCAGGGGACACATGTATGAGGGAGGTGTACGGGGGACTCATGTATGAGGGAGGAGGTCAGGGGATACATGTATGAGGGAGGTGTACGGGGGACTCATGTATGAGGGAGGTGTACGGGGGACTCATGTATGAGGGAGGAGGTCAGGGGATACATGTATGAGGGAGGTGTATGGGGGACTCATGTACGAGGGAGGAGGTCAGGGGACACATGTATGAGGGAGGTGTACGGGGGACTCATGTATGAGGGAGGAGGTCAGGGGATACATGTATGAGGGAGGTGTATGGGGGACTCATGTACGAGGGAGGAGGTCAGGGGACACATGTATGAGGGAGGTGTACGGGGGACTCATGTATGAGGGAGGTGGTCAGGGGATACATGTATGAGGGAGGTGTACGGGGGACTCATGTATGAGGGAGGAGGTCAGGGGATACATGTATGAGGGAGGTGTATGGGGGACTCATGTACGAGGGAGGTGTACAGGGCACTCATGTATGAGGGAGGTGTACGGGGGACTCATGTATGAGGGAGGAGGTCAGGGGACACATGTAGGAGGGAGGTGTACGGGGGACACATGTAGGAGGGAGGTGTACAGGGGACTCATGTATGAGGGAGGTGTACGGGGGACACATGTATGAGGGAGGTGTACGGGGGACTCATGTATGAGTGAGGTGTACGGGGGACACATGTAGGAGGGAGGTGTACAGGGGACTCATGTATGAGGGAGGTGTACGGGGGACACATGTAGGAGGGAGGTGTACGGGGGACTCATGTATGAGGGAGGTGTACGGGGGACTCATGTATGAGGGAGGTGTACGGGGGACACATGTATGAGGGAGGAGGTCAGGGGATACATGTATGAGGGAGGTGTACGGGGGACTCATGTATGAGTGAGGTGTACGGGGGATACATGTATGAGGGAGGTGTACGGGGGACACATGTATGAGGGAGGTGTACGGGGCACTCATGTATGAGGAAGGTGGTCAGGGGACACATACGGGGGACCCATGTACAGGGGAGGTGTATCGGGAACACACTTCAGAAGCTTCCCCTGAGCCGTGGCCCTGATGCTGACTGTTCCACTTGTGATCTAGTTTTCTGAGGCACTGAAGATGGGCCGAGTACTGGGGACCCTGACTGGGGAGTGCAGAGTAGCTCTTTCTCTCTGTCTCTGCCTCTCTCTCTCACGCCCTCTCTCTGTCTCTCTGTCTGCCTTTCAAACATATCTTTGCACGTGAGTGCATCAGTGGAAAGGGAACCCAGTGTTTCCGACTTGCTGCTCCACAACTGGCCGGGAGAGATCGGGCTGAGGACACAAATGCTTGACTCTTAAACTCTGGGTCTGTCTGTGGCTCCAGCAAAGGGAACCTGTGGTTTGGTGGGGTTCCCTGCATCTCTGGCCCCCTGACAAGCCTCTGGTGGGGTCCAACAGTACCAGGCATGACCCCTCTTCACCCTCCCCACCCCAGGGGTGTTTCTGAAGCCCCTTGTCCTGGCCTCTGTGCTCTGATGTGGGTGACCAGGCAGTCAGCTCAAGTCATGATGAGTTGGAGCCCCCTTCACCCCCCCAACACCTGCCAAATGATTCTGCCTCTTTAATGAACACCGGCTGCATCCCAAGACCATACAGCTTATACATCCCACTGAGGGTTAGGGAAAGTGTGCAGACAGGTGCACATCAGAGTCAGGTAAAGCCACAGACAGCCTCTCCTCTAAGAGGCAGGCAGAGCTCTCTCCCTGCAGCCCCTCTGTTCTCAGGCTGAGCCCTGCCCCAAGCTCTGTTTCCAGGGATTAGTCCCTGGAAACTTTAAAGTGGCTTTTATTTACATGTTTGAGAGAAAGTGCTTCCATCTGCTGGTTCACTTCCCAAACGCCCCAAATCAGCTGCAGCTGGGACAGGCAAAGGTGAGCAGATGGGAACAGGGCAGCAGGTCCTCAAGGACCCCCAGCGTGGGCATCAGCAGGAGCTGGACAGGGCATGGAGCCTGGAACCAGCACAGGATGGGCAGCCCAGGTCTTGTCACGACATCCCCCTCCACAGTGATTTCAGCATAGCTCAGAAGACAAAGAATGCTCACACATATTCTTGCGTACAAAGCAATTTCACTGTTGTACAGATCACCCTTAGGATTCTTTTAATGATTTTGAAGTTCATGTTACAACAATCACCACCATTTATCCAAGCTAATGTTGATATGTCCTGCCTCTCCTTCCTCCAGGGGACCCTACTCCACCTGTGGTTCCGGTCTGGATCAGGTCTCCAGGGCATCTGCCATCCCAGGCCAACCCCTGTCCTTGCTCTTGCTCTGGGCACTCCAGTGGTCTCATTGCTTCTGGTCTGTGATCCGGGCCAGGCCAGCCCTGACCATAGGCAGGTTCAGGGTCTGAGATTATGGGTTCAGATCAGGACTCAGGAAAGCAACAGAAACAAAATGCAGACCCTTGCACAGCTCTGGCAACTGAGCCCAAGGTCTCATAACTGTTGGCCTGGTGGGATCTGCCCAGGCTGGCCCCGCCCAGCTCTTATCAGAGGCAGAGCTTCCTGGCCACCTGACACTGCCCACCTCTTCCTGGATGGCTGACCCTGGGAGGGCTGCTCTGACCCCAGCAAGTCCTCCGCCAATAGCTCAATACTGGGAACTCAGGCCCCAGGGGATCCCACAGAATCAGCCACTTTACTGGCTGTGGGCAGGTGGTGCTCAGTGTGGGTCAGTAGGGGCTGGAGCCAGAGGGATGTCCCGGATCTAATGGACCAGGCCTCAGCTCCAGAGTCAGGACTGACTATGGGTCCCAGGTGAGTACTGACAGTTATGGCTGTGTTTTGGCCTGTCCTGGGAGCCAGGGGCAAAATACCCATGCCCATCTACTAACAGCCCACCTGCGACTCACCCAGGAGCCAAACAGGTGCATTGCAAGGACCTGCTCAGTTCCTTGAGGCTCTCCTGTAAAAAGTCACCCCCATTGGAAGCGATTGCCATCTTGAGCTGCAGACTTAACACAAACCCAGCTAAAAGACAAAGTTCTGTGAGTATTATCACACTGATTCTAAAGTTCATATGGAAAGACAGAAAGACCCAAACTAGCCAGCACCACGTTACAGAAAAGAGGTTGGCAGACTGAGATGGTCTTCAGCACTGTGAGCATGGGCTCGGTACGACAGCTCAATGGTCAGTATCTGATACGGGGACCAGTTCATGTCCCAGCTGCTCCACGTTCCATCCAGCTTCCTACTGAGGCCTGGGAATGCAGCAGAAGATGGCCCAAAGCCATGGAACCCTGTACCCACGTGGGAGGCCTGGAAGAGGCTCTTGGCTTCTGGTTTCAGATTTGCTTAGCTTTGGCCATTGCAGGCATTTGGGGGAATGAACTAGCAGATGGAAGATCTTTCTGTGTCTCCTCTCTGTAAATCTGCCTTTCCAATAAGAAAAACAATAAATAAATCTTTTAAAAAGGCTGTGAGGATACAATGATGTGAGAGGAGAGCCTTGGGAGAGAGCAGGCCCTGGTATAATGCCACCCTACACTTGGTCCAGGGGACTGAGCCCCGTCCATGACCCCCAACACACATACAACCTGCGGGACTGAGCTCCATCCATGACCCCTCAACATACATGGCCCAGGGGACTGAGCCTTATCCATGTCGCACTCTCCATGGCCCAGAGGGCTGATCCCTGTCCATGACCCCCGCAACACACACATACACACACGGCTCCAGGGGGCTGAGCCCCATCCATGTCTCCAACATGGCCTGAAGCCATAGACACTGCCTGGAGATGAGCTGTCCTGGGCACCAAGGTGCCCAGAACAGAAGCCTCTAGGCACAGGTCTTGTGCCTGTCACAAAGTGATTGCAGCTGAGCACAAAAACAAAGCTGTGGAAACTTCTTGAAGAAAACAGCATGAATTCGAGGTGACCTTGGAGGTTCTGGATGAATTTTTAGCTATAGCACAATGAACAATCTACAAAGGACAATAAGCCAGATTTACAGAAACTTTCTGCTCTGAAAATGCAGTTCAGAGAATAATCCACATGCAGATACACACAGGTGTGTTTGGGAAGATAAAGTACTGAGGGTCCAGCTGCGGCCTCAATGGATGGGAGCTTTGGGCACTGTCCAGGGATGGTCAGAGGGCATGGGGCTCCAGGCTTTGTGCGTTGGTGGTGGTCAGGTCTGCCCATGCCATGGTCAACTGTCAGGACACTGGGCCTGCCCAGGCACAGTTCTCCAGTCAGACACCAGGCCTGCCCTGGCCGCAGTTACCTGAGAGGACGCTAGGCCTACCCTGGCCGTGGTCATCCAGCCCTGGGGAGCCCAAGGAGACCCAAGGAGCCTGCCAAGAGGCTGGCTGTGAGGGGAAGAGACAATGGAGTATCCATCTCGGCTCTCTTGCTGACCCTCCTGACTGGTGGAGGTGTGTGAGCTTGCAGGTAGGCAAATCCTACCCTCTCCAGTTTGTGCTGCACATCTAAAACGGTTGTGAACTGATGTTTACTTAAAAAGGGACAAGTTAAGCCCTTGCTATATCCCACGCCAGTGCAGATCCAGTCTGGCTGCCCCACTTCCCGCCCAGCTCCTGCTGATAGTCTAGGAAAGCAGCAGATGGTGCCCAAAGTGCTTGGACTCCTGCACCTGGAGGCAGACCTGGGGAAATGCCTGCTTTCAGTCTGGGTGAGTCCGGCCTTCCCCTTTTGGTCCTGTGCTGGCTGTAGTTTCTCGTGCTTGCCTACTCCCACCTGCTGACTCTCCTAGCCCTAGCTGATCGGCAGCCCTGCTTACCTGTGCTCTCAACTGCTTCCTGTCCTTGCCCCTCCTGCTGGCTCTGGGCCTCATCCTCCCTGATTCTAGGAGCATCGTGTTCCCCACCCTGGGCATGGGCTGCAGTGTCCCCTCCACATTGCCCCTGGATGCAGAGCTCCCTGGCCACGTGGTGTGCCATGGTTGGGTGTGCTGCCGGAAGCCTCTCCCACTTTCAGATGCTCTTCTGGGGTCAGGAGGAGCCCCAGGACCCAGCTTTTCTCTTGAGACCATGGGACCAGCACAGCAGCCTCTTGACTGGTTTGCAGCAAGGACCAGGGGCTGGGTGGACAGTGGAAGCTCTGCTGCTGGTGCTGAAACCCTGTGCCAACCACTCGTTTGTGGGTCCCACCAGCAGCTCCCTCAGAGGCCTTCCTGTAGCACACACCACTGCCCACCTGCAGGACAAACACCAGGCCTGTCTGCTGCCTGGTGCAACCACAAAAGCCCAATGGACATGATCTGGTCGCTCATGGCTGACCACCCCCCTGCAGAGGTGCCTGGGGCCGACAGATGGGGTCAGGGCTGGGAGGTACCTGGCCTCGCCGTGTCTCACAGTTGTGGAGGTAGCTAAGGTGGTAGATCTTGAGGTTCAAGGTGGCAAAATTCAGGTATTTGGAGAAAACCTGGAATAGGAGTTACAGGGGTTGGACGTTTTGGGCTCGGCCCTGTGGAGGGCAACAGAATCACCTTAGTCTGTTGCAGGGACACTGGCTCTGCACTGCAAAGCTCATGGTGGGAGCCCATGCTCACACAGTGCAGAGGAGGGTCGGTCACACACAGAACACAGTTTACATGTGTATGTGCATGCTCACACATGCATGGGAAGGATACTGACATGCAGAGCAGGGCACACGTGTGGGGATGCACTCACACACGTTCACAGGAAGCACAGCAACATGTGGAGCAGGGCACATGCTTGGACCTGCACTCACACGTATGTGTGGGAAAGACAGTGACATGTAGAGCAGGGCACACTCGTGGGGACATGCACTCACACATATGTGTGGTATGTGGAACTCACATCTTGGTCTTCACTGGTGAAACAGGGTCCGTCCAGCTTGTTCACAGCCATGATCACAGCCATGACATCCTTGCCATTCATGATGGGCATGGCCAGGATGTTCCTTGTGGTGTAGCCGGTGAGCTCGTCGGCAAAGGGGCTGAAGTGGGGACACTGGTAGGAGGAGAGTAGGCATTGCCATAGCCTGAGCTGTTGCTAGGCCTGCTCAGAACACAGTCCCTGGGCTCCACCTCCCTCCTTCCTTGCTGAGTCTGTGAGTCTCACCAGCTCTGCCCTGTAGCACCACTGGTTCTTCCATGCCTGTTGGCTATCCACCAGGGTGGTCTCCTGAAGTTGGGGTCTGGCCCACTAGCCTCATCACCAAGACCCCAGCCCAGGGACTCGTTCTCTCACTTTGGCCTCCTCATCCACACCCTCCATACTTGTCTGTGGCTTTGGGGGATCCGTGAGCAGGACAAGTGCAGCTAGCACATGGGGCTGGGGACCTGCTGCACTGTGAAAAAAAATCTTCATCCACCCCTGGCTCCTGGGCAACACTGGATGGCTTCCAGAGGGGTTCCTGAGCCCCTTCATCTCGCACCTGTTAGGCTCTGCTTTTTTTTTTTTTTCTTCACATGAGACCCAGGGTCCCAGCACAGCGACTGGGGTGGACACTGGGGACTCAGATGGTCTGGGTTGGCCTCTGGGCTTCCCATAGGGTGTCCTCTAGACGTCAGATGGGTCTGCACCCCCTCCCCACGGCCAACAGTCAGGTGGGCATCAGTAGTGGTAACTGCCTCCTTGGTTATTGCTGGACGGATGAGGGGTTGCCACGAGGTACCCTCACGTTTGTGTTATTTAGTGTTGGTACTCAGGGGCACAGGTGCTGTTGCAAGTAGGGACATTCCCTGGGTCAGAGGGCACCCTCACTATTCTCTCCGGAGTGCACATCTGAGGCCAACAATCCCCTCACCCCTCCTCAGCCCCCAGCCCTCCCCAGCCTCTCCCCGGCCCCTGACCAGCCCCCAGCCTCTCCCCAGCCCTCCTCAGGCTCTCCACAGCCCCCAGCCTCTCCACAGCCCCACTCAGCCTCTGACCAGCCCCCAGCCTCTCCCCGGCACTCCTCAGGCTCTCCACAGCCCTGGCCCCTGCTGGCCACACAATCATTGCCATTGGACTGAGTGTGAGCAGATGTCTTCTCAACCACCCACTACAGGATCTCATGGGAGGCCCTGGCCAGGGATGGACCTTGGGTTGGGTCCCTATGTCAGTGCCAGGGAGGGGAGGCCCTCTCTGTATCCGAGAGTAGCAAGGGTCACAGCTGTGGCTTCCCTGGCTCCTCTGTCTGCACTTAACACTTCCTGCCTTGGAGCAGGCTTGGGTCCATGGTGAAGATGGTATGAGAAGCCAGCTTTCCACATCCCATTCATTCAAGTCAAGTCCCTCCCTATTCTAGCTCCTGCTAACACACTGGGAGCAGCAGGTATGTTCTTGGGTCCTGTCGCCACAGGGCAGATCCAGATGCAGTTTCTGGCTCCTGGCTCTAACCTGGCTCTTGGCTCCTGGCTCCTGGTTTCCAGCTGTTGTGCATGTTTGGGAAACTCTGCACCTCGACCTCTGATCAGTAGAAAAATAACTCCCAGTGGTCCTCTTGAGTGTGCACTGCTCTTCCCACCCCTCCACCAGGCTCCTTCTCCTCAAGGAAATCCTGCTGGCTGTGCCTTTGGCTCAGCTTTGCCTGGGGTCACTGGCCAGGCTGCTGCTGAGGCTCTGAGGTGTCCAGCGGGAGGCTAGGAGCTAGTGTCCACCCCCTAGAGCCTGTGGTGCCTGAGTACATGGCTTGAAGGCCAGGGGTCATCCCAGGAGGGTGTCCCTGGCTTTCACTCCATGGAGGGCCTAAACCAACAGGTAAGTCCCAGTGACCTGGGCAGTTGGGCAGTGTGGGCAGCAGGAGTCATTGGACGGCAAGATTAGTGGTCTTGGCCCACCCCTGTGACACCAGGGAGAAGTCTCTGCCAGCTCAGGGGGACCCGAGCTTGTACTTAGGGGACCTGAGCCTGTACTTGTGGTGTCTTGACTGCAGTGGGAGGAGGCTGGCCAAAGGCTGGGGGCCTCAGCCTCCCTCTGTGAAGCTGGTTGGGGACCCGCAAGCTCCCTCTGGGCAATTGGTGCTCATTGGCCAGGACCCTGGTGTCTGTCTTTCCTGTTGACATGCCCGATTCTCCCACAGGAACACTGCCCAGCTGCAAGGGCGGGGCCTGGGTCCAGGTTGGCTAAGCAGGGAGCAGAACCTCCAGGGATTAGTTAGGGGTGAGGGGTGGGAGCCCCTGAAACCTGTATGTGCCAGGTAGGGAGCAGGGGATGCCCACCTGGGCATGTGGCCAGGGGTCTTGTGAGGGATTGGTGGTGACCCACTTCCTGAAGTGAAATGGTGGAGCCAGCCTGAAGATTAACATATCCAGGGCGCTGGCCTGGCCGTTTATAGCAGGTGCAGCTAAGAGGATTGGGGCCACTTCCTTCCCAGGCTGGAGTCCCTGCGGGATTCCCCATGGGCAGGCAGGTTTGATGGGTCTGAGGGCCTCTGGGCTGGGGGCAGAACCTGGGGTTAGGCTCTTCCCTGCCTCCTTCCTCCTCAGGAGCTCCTTGTCTGTCTGTAGCATCTCCCTGGCCACTGCCCGTCACATTCTTGAGCCATGTCACTCCAAGCACAGGTGGGCAGCACTGCCAGACCCAGCAGCCTCCTCCTTGTGCTTGTCAGTGAGCTGGCGTCCACACTGATTCCAGACCCAGACTGACCTGGAGCCAGCGTGGTTGTGGCTCAGTCCATCTTCCTGATCGTAGGGACCGTTGGCTGCTGGAGCAACCCCAGGCTGTGCCCTTGGCCACCCAGAGTCTGGGCCTGAGGCCATGGCTGCCCAAGCCCTGAGCCTCTGGGGACCCTCAGGCCTCTGGGCACTGTGGTGGAGAGAGCATCTGCGTGTGGCTGCCCCAGTCCCAGGAGTGGCTGGGAGAGGCAGTGTTGAGGGATGAACATGGGGCCAGAGGGGTCTGTGATGGAAAGTTCAAAAGGCCCAGCCAGGGCCAGAAGTGGCCAGCACAGGGATAGAGCCCTTCACAGGGACCCTTGCAGGGGCCACAGTCCCACTCAGAGGGGCTGATGGGGACCTTACGTGCCCTCTGTTGAGTCTCTGTACAGGCCCCAGTTGACCACTAATGACCCCAGTGGATGCAGGGAGCCCTCGGCCTCACACCCACCTGGGACACATCTTCCACATTCACCATCTTCTTGGTCTGGGCCACATGCCCCACAACACCGATGTCCAGCGGGAAGACGATCTCAGAGTCAGGAGGCACCAGGCAGTCCTCCAGGACACTGTCGGCCCGCACACTGAAGAGCCGTGTGGCGAGCTCGGCCACACCATTGCGCTGGCGGTACATGAAGAGGCTGCAGCAGTCAGCATGGAGCAGGGGGCCCAGGCGCCGCAGGATCTTGAAGACAACACGCTCCATGTTGATGCTCTCCTGCATATCCTGCACCAGCTCAAACAGGGCCCGGCTCTCCTCCACCTGGCACAGCTCGCGCAGGCTCCCGCAGCCCACCGGGACACCATCCCCACAGGCCCCTGCCACCAGCTCGGGGCTCAGTTGCTTCCCGAAGTACTGGTGGGCAAAGCTGGGGTTCTGATCCAGGAAGCCGCGCACCTGCTGCTCACTGAGGCTCATGGTGGCTGATGCCTGTGCCCCTGGCCGCCACAGCTAGCATGAGCAGCTGCAAACGCTGCCTCAGCAAAGGCTGTCTTAGCAGCGATTAGGGAGCTGGTGGCCACTGACACACACCCACACACCCACAGGATGCCTGGCTAACGCTGTGCCCTCCCCCTGCGAACCTGCAGCAGGTACGCTGGGCTGAGGCCGGCAGGGGCAGGCTTTGGCTTCAGGAGGACAGACCTGCTCGGAGGGCCTCCAGACAGAAAGACTGTGAACCTGAGCAGCAGCCCCAGGTCCTCGTGGGGTAAAGTGAGCTGGGCTGCCAGCACCTCCCCAGGCAGGGCCAGGGAGGCCTGGCCAGCTTGACCCCAGGTCCCAGGGAGGAGCCCATGAGGTACAGGGTGTCAGAGCCTAGAGTGGGTGAACTCCCTCTGGATGAAAGAGTCTGGACCATCCATGAGGTCTCTATGCTGACTGTGCTGGCTTCAGCGGAAAACATTCAAGTTACTCCTTGCCACATCTCTCCACTCCCCTCCCTCACCCTTCCGCACAGGCTCTGCCTAACTCTGACCCCTTCCCTGCTGGTGGACGGGGGGGGGGGGGAACCACTGGGAGAGAGGCTGGTGGGTCCAAGACTCAGGCTCTCTCCTTATTTCCACATAGAGCCATGACCCCCATAACTGGGACAGGTGCAGCTAGGTTCCCTCTTGCTGCTGTCCCAGGAAGTGACCACAGGCTCTGCTCATCTGCACCATCAGCCTTTGAGACACAGGACACTGGGCTGCCCTTTCCTGCAGCCCCTGTGTTGGGGCGAGAGCCCTACACAAGCATCTGAGCTGACCTCTGTCCTCCACTGCTTTCCCAGACACATTAGCAGGGAGTGGGAGGGAAGCAGAGCAGCCTGGGGTGGGACTAGCACTGGAGATGGTGGCTTGATGTACTGTGCCACAGTACCACCCCAGACAATCTTGTTCATGATGGAAACAAAATGGGACATCCAGGAATCCACTGGAGGCTGTGCAGCCAACGAAGTAATTGCCAGGCAACCTGGCCACTCCCAGGTGGATGTGGCCTGGGCCTGCACTCTGCAGGGTAGGTCAAGAACCCAATTGGGGGGTGAGGAGACCCCAAACGGGCAGGTGGCAGCCTGGCCCCTGTGAGCTGCCATGGTCAGAACCACAGCATTCAAGGGGAGAATAGGAGAATCCACATCTAAGTAAAGACTCTAGCATTTTCAGAAACCTTGGTTAAAGGTGAGAGTCTCATATCCTTTACATAATACTCACTGTCTTACTATATGCAAGGCACTGGGCATGACCACGGCCCCTGTGTGCCTGAAATGCTTGTGGTTTGTGTGTCTCAGTGACTGTGTGTTTGATCTGAGTGTGGTCTCTGCTGTGAGCTGACTGTGGTCTCTGTGGTGTGGCAGAGGCCTCCGTGGATCTCCAACATCCTGGAGTTACCTGGCACATCCCCAAGGTAAGATGTTCATCTCCTGGGCACCTTCACCTGCTGCTGCAACCCCAGTGGACAGTCACCCTAGGAGTGGGAGGAGCATTCAGTGCAGCTCATGGAGGCAAAGAACTTGTAGTTCACATGCTTCCCATTTTAGTTATGAAGAGGAGTGAATCCTCCAAACGTTCACTGTGTACAGGACACTCACTGGCACAAGGACAATCAGTGAATAGAGACAGAAATCCCTGTCTTTGGGATCTCACAGGAAGGAAAATGCAGCAAACACGCAAATCCTACCATGCAAAAGTGATTTGTTTTAGAAGGAAAAAAATAGAGCTAAGATTCGGGACTCTGGAGTATGGCATGGGAGTCCAGCCTGTGGCATTCAGGATGGGAACTGCAGATGCATCTAAGAAGTGACCATGGCCAGGAAGCCATGAAGGTGGACACAGATCAGGGTACAGGCTGACTCATGCTTTGCAGGTGGATGTAGTGGCTGCAAGGGGGTAGTTGCCATGCTGGGTTGGGGTTGGGTCAAAGTGGAACCTCTGAGCAGCAGACACCCAGCAGGGAGGGACCTACAAATGTGAGCTAGAATAACCAGAGTGTAGCTTACATGAACAGATAAAAGGGAGATATAAGAATTTACTTTCACTAATAAATGAACACAAATGTGGCAAAAAAACATAAAAGAACATACATTATTTTTTAAAGATTTATTTTTAGTTTGGAAAGCAGATTTACAGAGAGAAGAAGAGTCACGGAGAAAGATGTTCGAACTACTGGTTCACTCCCCAAATGGCTGCAATGGCCAGAGCTGAGCTGATCCGAAGCTAGGAGACAGGAACTTCTCCCAGGTCTCCCACATGGGTGCAGGAACCCAAAGCTTTGGGCCATTCTCTATTGCTTTTCCAGGCCACAAGCAGGTAGCTGGATGGGAAGTGGAGCAGCTGGGACACGAACTGGTGCCCAAATGGGACATCAGTGCTGTAGATAGAGGCTCAGCATTATACACCACAGCACTGGTCCAAAACAGATGGTGTTAACGAATGAATAAGATGAAGTAAAGAATGTACAGGGGGTGAAATGATGAGGAAAGCAGAATATGACTTAATATATCAACCATAGCATTAAATCTAAATGGGTTAAACATCCCAATACAGAGGTGGAGGTTTTCAGACTGGATGGTGACTGAAGTGAAGGGAGGAGGAGGACAAAAAGGGAACACAATGCTTCCTGCCAATAGTGAAGGCATCTGGCAGGCTGTGCACGAGTGAATTATCGGAGACACAGACAGGGATTGCCAGCAATCAAGGCTGTAAGGAAAAGATACAGGAAGATAGAGCCACACACACACATCCCTCTACAGGGCAGCTGCTGGCATCCAAAGGGGAAAGCCCAAAAACACAGGAATCCATGAAAATGGAAGTAAAACACAGCTTAATCTGATGCAAAACCTATACAGCTTTCTTATATGATGCAGAACTTTTCAGAGTATCTCCTAGAGAATCCATATTGTTACAGGAAATTTAATCACTCAGAAACAGGACAATTAACTCCAATGAGGACAGGGTGTATAGACAGTCCACCAATGGGGAGAGGGTATAGAGAAAGTTCAGCAATGTTCAGCTCCATAATGCATCTGCCTCTGAATAGTGGGACATTCTGGATAAACCGTTAGGCATTCCCTGAGCTGGCTGGAAATGCCCCATGGCCAGACCTCAGCCTGATCAGCCCAGGGAATGTCTATGGTCAGATCTCAGCCTGACCAGTCCAAGGAATGTTTTTGGTCAGATCCAGGGTGTAGGTGGCTATCAGAGGCTGAGAATAAATGCCAGGTTAACTCCAACAAATGTGATTGTTTACTACTCCGTGACTCAATTCGGCAACTGCAAAGAGTTTAGGTTCAGATAAAGGGTCACTTCTACCACTCTGCAAGGTGCTGACCAGACAGTACCTCTGAGGATCTGCAGGGAGGGCCATGGTCAGTGGTCAGTCATCTTCTTGTGCAGATGCCTTAGGGACTACAGGAGGAATCCCAGGCCTGTGGCTGTGGGGGAGGACATGGCGCCCCTCTGTCCCTTGCATCTCCCTAAGGGCTAGCGAAGCAGCTGCTGGGACTAACGGCTGAGTTTGGGCAGCAATGGGTGCCCAGGACAGTCGGGCATCTGTCTGCAACACCAGTTTCCTGTACAGGCAGCAGTTCCAGCCTGCAGCTCCCAGCAAGCATGCCTGGGAGGTAGTAGCAGATGGACCAAGGGCTTGTACCCCATCACTCCTGTGGGAGATGCATCCAGAAGGAGCTCCTGGCTCCCGGCTGGCCCAGTGCCTGTTTGTGAGGACAGAACCAGGGATGGCAGTGTCTCTCCTCTCTCCCCCTCTCTTTAGGGAGTCTTTCTCTCTTCCCCTCTCCTCCATGCTTTCCAATTAGACAAATGTCCAAAAAGCCAAGTGACACCCAACTTGGGGAACCAGAATTAGGGCCAGCACCTCAGGGCAGAGCTATAACTGCCAAATGATCCCAAGCTGTGAGTGAGGGGGTGCCATCCCCACTGAACCCACGACTGTCACGACTGTCCCCTCAGCAGCCCTGCCAGAACCACAGGATGGCCATGCCCACAGAGACCTGGTTCACGCTGCTGTCCATGCAGCCTGTCTGGTTGGGGCTGGGCAGCCTCAGCTGGAGGGGGCACATCAAATCAGCTTTGCTATGTGCCTGGTCATGGTCTGACCCAGCTCTGAGAGTGGGATGCCCTATCAGTGGTATCCCTGCCCCATGGACACCTGTAGGAAGGGGTTAGACGGGATTTGGTTCAGAGGTGCCAGTCAGGGTTGGGGCTCTGACATGAACCCAGATGGGAGGAAGGAGTTGGGCATTGCTGAGGCTCTGTGGGTGAGGTAGCGGCCCCAGCCCCACAAACCTGCTGTGTGACATAGGGGTGCAGGAAGCCTGGGGCTAGGTCAGTGGAGACAGAGGGAGGTTGCCTTGTAGGTCTGAGTGCTGCAGCTTTGGGCTTCGAGCCGCGTGGGGAGGGAATGGCCAGGAGGAGGCCCCCCCCCCCCGCCCCCGCAGGCGGGAGATCTCTCAGGCTTGGCCAGCCTCCCTCAAGCCTTGCGCCTTGGCATAAGCCCCTGCCCAGCTCAAGCCTCCACAGGCCCACGTGGCCAACCCTCGGGTGCGAGCAGGACACGTCGTCACCACATCCCCCAGCACCGCCAGCCTTGTTTCCTTGGAAACCAAAGCGGGCTCCTGGCAACGCGGCCCACGGCGTGGGGGTCGCGACTCCCGCATGGCTGATCTGCATCCCCTCCCGGAAGGTGCTGGGCGCAGAAACCACGGAAACGCGCAATCGGAGTAAAACGCACGCTCATTTGGGGACCTTGTTGGCGTCCCCTCTGGACACAGGGGGAGCCCCACTCCCCACCCCCGCCATGGGGCATTGGCCCAGCCCGCACTCACCGGAGGGGGGTAGGGTGGCAGGAGCAGACCGGTGGCTCCAGAGCGCCCCGCTCCACCTCCCACCGCGCGTGGTGGCTTCGCCACAATTAGCTCCGCGTGAGTCAGCGGAAGGAGCTGGGAAACACGGAACGCCGGCAGGTCCCCAGTTCCCAAGACCTGGGAGCCCAGTGGGGGTGATCCTCCCGCCCCTTTGAGTCCAGGGTCATAGGGGCCGCGGGTCCCCGTCTTGGACGCGGGTGCTGTGAGCCGCCTCAGGACAAGCGACTTCCCGCGCATCCACCGTCCGGGGAGTTTCCGGCTGTCCCCGCAGCTCACTGGAGTCCTGGCAAGGTTCTCGCCTCAGTGGAACTGGGGACCAGGCACCTCCACTGCCACACGCACGCTCACCGCACACACAGCATTTCTCTGTGTGCACGCAAACCATACACCCATGTGCACACGACACCCCACATGCACGCACTTGTGTATACTCACCAAGACCCTCATGCCTATGGACACTGTGTGCACACTCACCACGACCCCGTGCGCACACCAGCCGCACATCCGTGTGCACACTTACCACGCCCCACGTGCGCATGCACGCCGCACCCTCCCACGCACACAAGCACACCAGCGGCAGCTCCCTAAGGTCCAGATTCCATCCCACCCCCACAACTCGCGGACTCACCCCCTTCTGCACTGAGCCGCTCCTCTTCCCCCAGTCCTGACCCTTCCTCTCCCACCCCACCCCACCCCACCCCATCCCATCCCATCCCATCCCCACTCGCGATCCTAGGCCTCCCAGCGCCAGCGGGCGGGTGGGCGTGGGGCAAGACCGGGGGCCAGGAGGGAAGGGAGGCCACTCGTCACGGGTGGGGGGGGTTCCGGGAGGTGGGAGGGGCGAGGGGTGGGGCCCAGGGGTTCCCCCCACACACCCTGCCCCCAGATAGAGAGAGACCCGGGCCGAGGAGGAATCGTGGCGGACAGACCCGCGGCTGGAGGCGCGTCCCGGGCGAGGCGAAGGAGCTGGTGCGGGCACGCGAGGGCGGTGCCAGGGCGAGGCGCGCAGGGCCACGGTGGGGGGAGCTGAGCGTCCCGGGAGCGGCGCCGCGGGCGGTGAGGAGGGGGCGCGCGCGCCCTGCGGTGCTCCGCGGTGCATCGGTTCCCGGCGCGGGGTCGCGGCGGCGGCGGCGGGAGGCGCGGGATGCGGACTCCGGCGGCGACGGCGGCGCGGGCCCGGCAGGACGCGGGAGGATGAAGAGGAGGCCGGCAGTCCGGCCGCGCGGCGCCGGGAGGAGGCGCAGGCGGCGGGGGCGGCGGCGGGCGGCGGCGGGCGCGCAGGGCGCGGGCCGGCTCGGGCGCGGAGGATGAAGTGGAGCGTCCGCGGGGCCTGCGCCGCGCTCTCCTCCTGCCTCCTGCTCGCCTGCGCGCTCAGCGCCGCCGCCGTCGGCCTCAAGTGCTTCTCCCTGGGTTCGGAGCTGCGCGGGGAGCCGTTCCGGTTGGGGGCGGCCGCCGGCGCCTTCTACTCGGGACTGCTGCTGGCCGCCGGCCTCTCGCTGCTCGGCGCTGCCCTGCTCTGCTGCGGGCCCCGAGATGCGCCCCTCGCAGGGCAGGGCCCGGGTCTGGGGCCGTCCGCGGCCGCGCCGGGGGCTCCGGAGGCCGCGCCAGGCGAGCCGGGGCCAGGGCCGGGGGCGGTGGCAGTGGAGCCCGCGGCACCTGGGCGCGGCCAGAACCTGCTGCTGTTGGGCGTGCTGGTCTTCATGCTGGGGGTCCTGAGCGCCTTCGCGGGCGCCGTGATCGACGGGGACACCGTGTCCCTGGTGGAACGCAAGTACTCCCACTACTGCCTGCCCCCGCGCGCGCCCGCCGCCGCTGCCCCCGGCCCGGGCTCCGGCGCGCCGCGCGCCCGCGCTGCCCTGGACAGCGCCACGTCCGCTAAGTGCCGGCAGCTCAAGGACTACCAGCGCGGCCTGGTGCTCTCCACCGTCTTCAACTCGCTCGAGTGCCTGCTGGGCCTGCTCAGCCTCCTGCTGGTCAAGAGCTACAAGTCCTCGCAGGCCCGGCGCGGCCGGCACGGCCGGCGGCGGGCTGGCCGGGTCCTGGCACGGCCGCGCAACGGCAGCGGCGGTGGCGGCGTTGGCCCCGGGCTCCGCGTGCAAACGCCGGCCTCCCGGGCGCGGAGGGGCCGGCGCGGCAGGCGGGGGCGGCGGCTGCAGCCGCGGCCGAGCGAGGCCTGCATCCTGGCCCCGGAGGAGTCGGACCTGGCCAGCCCCGGAGACTGCCCGGCCTTTGCCGCGCTGCACGCTGTCTCCTACATCAACGTGGGCGCCCTCCACGCGTGCGACGAGGCGGGCGTGGAGGTGCGTTGCGGAGGGCATCCGTCGGTGGAGCTGCCCGGCTACGCGCCTTCGGACCCCGACCTCAATGCCTCCTACCCTTACTGCTGCCGGCCGCCCTGCGAGGTGGCGCGCCCCTGGGAGCCGGGCCGGGTCTGCTGAGCGCCCAGGCGGCCGCGCCCCCGGGCCAGGGAGGGGGGCGCTCCTCTGTCTCGGTGTCGGGTCCCGTGCTGGCATCCGCGGTTGCGGGGCTTGGCTGGTGCGGACGAAGCCGGAGCGGGCCGCGGCGCGCGCAGTGGCCCCTTGTCCACGGATGTGCCTGCTTCTGTCCGCTCTTTCTTACCGTCCCGCGCCCCGTGAGCGGTGAACACGTTTGTAAATTGATCGCCGTTCCGACTGCTGCGTCCTTTGTCAAGCCGACCGCCTATGCCGCACCGGGGTCAGGAGGGACTCAGGGTTTGCCCGTCCAGAGGTGCGCGCCCTCTTTCTGGGAAACGGCCCTATGTGGTCTCGGCCGCACCGCGGGACTCCCTGTCGGTTCCTCTGTGCTGGCCCGCTGGCTTTTGCCGGCGAGTGGGGCGGGGAGCAACTGGGCAATTCACACTCCCAGCGGGAAGTGCCATCGCCCTCCTGGGAAGCCCTGCTGACCTTCATTGCCAGCAGGGTCCTTTGTGTGGACACAGGTCAACCGGGTCCCTGGGCACTGACACAGCGAGAGCAGAAACGGAAAAAGCGGTCGCTGCGTGCCGGTGCTGGAGTTTGAGGTCCTTGCAAGGTGCATACGGTGTGACTAGACAATGGCAGGCTCTGGGACCAGCCATGGAGAGGCTGTGGGTTCAGCGCCGCTCAAAGCCAGAGCTGGCCAGGAGCCCCCCCGCAGAGGCCCACAGAGGGCGGTGCCCCTCCATTCTCAGGGACCAGATGGAGGTGGAGCTGCCTTCCGGTACCCACGTGTGCCGCTGAAGCTGCAACTCCCACGCGGCCTGAGGCCCAGATCCCAGCGGCAGTGACAAGTGGCATCCTCCAAGGACTCCCCAGGCCCTCCTGACAGGGCCAAAATTCCAGGGTGAATGAGGCCTCACCCGTGTCTGGTCAGAAAGTAGACAGTGCTCCTCTGGGCCTTGCCACATACCCAGAGAAAGCCACTGTGGTGTTTCCTACTGCCCTCAGCTGGGGTCAGGCACTGAGGGCAGCACTGTGGGCATCGGTGGGGGTGGGCAGGGATACGAGTCTGACCTGCACCTTCAGAACTCCAGTCTTGTATATCCCACGCAGCTTAGCACGTTTGATGGCAAATTTACCATCAGAATTGGTGACTTCAGGTGTCTGCTTTTAAAAAGAGATTTATTGCTTTTTTTTTTTTAATTGGAAAGGCAGACATACAAAGAAGAGAAAGATTTTTTTCCATCGGCTGATTCAATCCCAAATTTTGACTGCAATGGCCAGAGCCGAGCTGATCTGAAGCCAGGAGCTTCTTCCAGGTCTCTCACGCAGGTGCAGGGTCCCAAGGGTTTGGGCCATCCTCTACTACTTTTCCAGGCCACTACCAAGGAGCTGGAAGGGAAGTGGAGCAACCTGGACATGAACCGGCGCTCATATGGGATCCCAGCACTTGCAAGGTGAGCACTTTAGCCATTAGGCTACTGTACCGGGCCCAGGTGTCCGCTTTTCTTGAGGTGGTGGTAGCAGCAGTGCCTGTGGCCAAGGCAGGCAGAGCTGGGAGTCGCCTTTGGGCGTCGGTTGGGCAGGCAGCAGGGAGAGATTCGGCTACAGGAGGCAGCTGTTTTCCTTGTCTGTTGGAGTGAACCAGTTAGCACCTGTGACCAGCTGGGTGAGCCAGGTGAACTAGATGGGAGGTGACAAGTGAGCTGGGTGAACCAGGTGAGACAGGTGAAGTAGGGGTGAGAGGTGAACTATGTGAGCTGGGTGAGACAGAGGAACTAGGTGAGAGAGGTGAATTCGGGGAGATAGGTAGGCCTAGTGAGCTGGTCTAAGAGCTGGTCTGGCTGAGTACAGGAATAGAGGCTGGACGGAGCACTAGAGGTTAGAGGTGTTTTTTGTTTTTTTGTGGAAGGACACCCTAGACCCCGACTCAAATGCTTATGCCAGAAGAAACAAGTGGACCCTCTTGATGGGTTCTGTCCTGGAGGAGACTGCTGGTGACTGGCCACAGAAGACCCTTGTATGTTTGCACTGAAAAGAAACCCTTCTGCCTAGGCTCACTTCGCAGGTGCCTGCAACAGCTGAAGCTGCGGGAGAGAGGAGCTACGCTGGGTTTCTACCCATCTCTGGCCATCAGGAGCTGTGGGGAACAGGGCCGGGCTCATATAGGCCAAGTTGTACCTGTAGGTGTTTGTGTAGATAGTGTGTATATGCTTTTTGTGTGTAGATGGAGATGGTGTGGTAGATGTGTGTAGGGGTGTATATGTATAGTGTGGGTGTTTAGGTGTGTAGATGCAGGTAGGAGTGTGTAGGTGTGTAGATGAGGGTAGGGGTATGGGTGTGTGTTTAGGTGTGTAGATAAATGTAGGGATGTGTTTCTGTAAGTCTATATGTGTGTGCCACTGTGTGCACGTGCATGGATGGATGGTTGGAGTAGTTGGAGTGTGTGGGCATGGGTAAAATGAGCCTGAACATCCACGAGGGAGTTAAGTGGCAGAGCTACTCTTTTAACATCAGATGAAGAGTAGGTCCCTGCAGATCCATGGGCTCTAGATCCTTCCTGCTCACCCATGGGTCAGTGAGTGGCATGAAAGCCAGGAGGGCTTTGCCAACAGTGGGTCTCAGCCTGAGCGACCGACCTGCATGGAGGAAGCAGCAGTTCCAGCACAGGGCCCAGGCTGTGGTTGTACCACAATCAGGCCGAGTGCTCATGGTGCTTGACTGCCTGTGTCTCCAGGGACTCCTCCATTTGGCAGGTGGCTAGAGTCCTGTCTCCCTGCAGCCCTCACAGGGGACACAGGGCTTTGGGATCCAGAGTTAGCCTGGGCACCCCCTGGCTGTTGGGTACATTCAGGGAGTGAATAAAAATAAATGACAATAAAAATCCAACGTTCTACATATGTATTGGCATGGCTTCTAGCTAATAACATTTTAAAATATTTGTTCACTTGAAAGCCAGAGTTACAAAGAGAAAGGGAGATATGGACACATGCTCGAGTATCTTGCATCTGCTGGTTCACTCTCTAAGTGGCTGCAATAGCCAGGGCTGAGCTGATCTGAAGCCAGGAGCCAGGAACCTCCTCCAGGTCTCCCACATGGGTGCAGGGTCCCAAGGCTTTGTCCAGAGGGTGCCTGACCAGTCCTGGCCATTGGCTTAAAGGTGCCAGTGCCCGGGCCTTCAGGGCATATGTCCCAGGAGGCACCCGCCTCTGTGTCGTAGGCTTGATGTGACTGACACCTGTCACTCAGAACCTCTTCCCATCTTTGGTCTCCTGTGGAGCCAGGAACCTCCCCCAGGTCTTCCACATGGGTGCAGGGTCTCGACTGCTTTCCCAGGCCACAAGCAGGGAGCTGGATGGGAAGTGGAGCAGCCAGGATATGAACCAGGGCCCACACAGGATGCTGGCAGAGCTGGTGGCCAATTTACTCACTTTGTCAGCCCCACCAGTACCATTCTGGTGGATGGAGTCGAGTGGAATGATCGACCACCTGGCATAAGGACAACTGCATATAATCTAAGGTGAGACCCACAAGCACCCGAGCCACTTAAACACAGGGACAGGATGCTTGGGACTGAGGCTGGCTGCTCTCACGTGGCTGCAGGCACCACCAGTCAGGCCAGACACCTGCCCTTGTGTTTAGGTTCTGTCAGCAAAACAGAGAACAAATGTGAAACCCAGCCATACAGGGGGCAGTGACGCTGAATGTAGTGTTGGCATCCCTCCATGCCCCCTTGTGAGTCCCAGCTGCTCTACTTCCATGCACCTGGGAAAGCAGCGGAGGGTAGCCCAGGTCCTTAGGCTTCTGCTCTTGTGTGGGAGCCCCGCAGGAGACTCTTGAATCCAGCCTAGCTCAGTCTAAGTTGTTGCAGCATCTGGGGAGTGAGCCAGTGGATGGAAGATTCTCTTTCTGTAACATTTCCTTTCAAATAAAATAAACTTTTACTTAAAAAAGAGTTGTACTGTAACAGTATCCAATGCCAGAAATGAAGTTAGTGTAGGACTGAAAGCTGCAAATTGTACAGAAAGAAGTCGGGAGCCTGAACAGCCAGAGACAGATGAGGCCGAGACCGCGCACAGCCGGGGCTCTGTGTTCATGGCTCCCACCTGTGAGCAACTGCAGTTCCAGCCCAGCCCAGCTGCTCCTGTGGGCTGAGCTCAGAGAGCAACTTCCAAGGCTGCTTTGTGCACCAGAGCTCAGCATGGCGCCCAAGAGGAACTGTGGAGCATCCAAGACCAGAAACAGGCAGGGTAAGGAGAGGAGAGCTCAATGAGATGTGCTAAAATAGATCAGTGTGCACGAGAGACCGAGAGAGGGAGGGGGAGGGAGAGAAGTGTGCAGAAGAAAGGGAAAAAGGACAGCTTAGCTCTGTCACAACAACCACAACTTGCTGCAACAAAACAGCTCCAACATGCCAGACACCTACCAATTTGAATAGGTTAATAAATATAACAACCATGAATTTTATTAAAAACCATAAAGTTTGATAAAATGAACAAAACCCAATAACCATAGGAGACCAAAAATAGGAAGTGGTTCTGAGTGACAGGTGTCAGTCACATCAAGCCTACGACACAGAGGCGGGTGCCTCCTGGGACATATGCCCTGAAGGCTCGGGCACTGGCACCCTCAAGCCAATGGCCAGGACTGGTCAGGCACCCTGTGAGCACCCATGGAATGCAGAAGTTGGTTGGGAGCCTGTGAGCTGAGTCCCAAGTAGAAGCTGCTAGAATGGGCCCAGGCATGGAGCTGAGACCCACACTGCCATGTCCCAGAAAGGGCTGCAGGCAGCATGGCTCATGACAGGATTGTCCTGGAGCTGTGTGTGCAAGGGGAGAGTGGCATGCAACAGCACAGCCCAGTCCTGCTGTCCAAACCATGATTCAGTATGTACCTCATACAGCACACATTGAGGTATTGTGTGGCTTGGATGGCTGCAGGCCAGAGGGAAGGACAGGTCCCTGGGGTTGGCTCAACAGGGACTCCCACAGCAGTGCCTCCAGGCCAGTAATGCCTGCTGAATGGCAACACATAGCATATCAAAACTTTTCTCTAAGCAGCAAGTTCAAGCCCCTAAAATGGCAGCACTAGTTACAGCCCGGGTTTGGAAGAGCCTCTGTTCCACCTGTGGCTCAGGAGCATGGTGGAAAGGCATGCAGATGCCCAGAGCAACACACATCACATGGGCTGCGTCACTTACCTGTGGTCATTACCCATGGTACTTACCTGTGGTAGTAGTTACCTGTGGTGTTTACCTGTGGTGCTTACCTGTAGTGGTGCTTACCTGTGGTACTTACCTGTGGTAGTAGTTAACTGTGATGCTTACCTGTAGTGGTAGTTACCTGTGGTACTTACCTGTGGTAGTAGTTACCTGTGGTGCTTACCTGTGGTAGTAGTTAACTGTGGTGCTTACCTGCAGTGGTAGTTAACTGTGGTGCTTACCTGTGGTAGTAGTTAACTGTGGTGCTTACCTGTAGTGGTAGTTACCTGTGGTCATTACCCGTGGTACTTACCTGTGGTAGTAGTTAACTGTGGTACTTACCTGTAGTGGTAGTTACCTGTGGTGCTTACCTGTGGTAGTAGTTAACTGTGGTACTTACCTGTGGTCATTACCCGTGGTACTTACCTGTGGTAGTAGTTAATTGTGGTACTTACCTGTAGTGGTAGTTAACTGTGGTGCTTACCTGTGGTAGTAGTTAACTGTGGTACTTACCTGTAGTGGTAGTTACCTGTGGTGCTTGCCTGTAGAGGTAGTTAACTGTGGTGCTTACCTGTGGTAGTAGTTAACTGTGGTACTTACCTGCAGTGGTAGTTACCTGTGGTGCTTACCTGTAGTGGTAGTTACCTGTGGTGCTTACCTGTGGTAGTAGTTAATTGTGGTACTTACCTGCAGTGGTAGTTACCTGTGGTGCTTACCTGTAGTGGTAGTTACCTGTGGTGCTTACCTGTGGTAGTAGTTAACTGTGGTGCTTACCTGTAGTGGTAGTTACCTGTGGTGCTTACCTGTAGTGGTAGTTACCCGTGGTACTTACCTGTGGTCATTACCCGTGGTACTTACCTGTGGTAGTAGTTAACTGTGGTACTTACCTGTAGTGGTAGTTACCTGTGGTGCTTACCTGTAGTGGTAGTTACCTGTGGTACTTACCTGTGGTAGTAGTTAATTGTGGTACTTACCTGCAGTGGTAGTTACCTGTGGTGCTTACTCATGGTGCTTACCCATGGTGCTTGCCTGTGGTATTTACCTGTACCCTGGCATTTAGGGGATTTCGGCACTTAGGGGACTTGGGGGCTGGGCTATGACCAGCATAACCACTTTCCCACCTCTAGCTTGGGGTGGGAGGCATCCTGGTGTGAAGCTGTAAACTTTCAGAATGAATTCTGCTATGCAGAATGTGTCAGGGAGCCAGTGAGAGCCACAGAAGGGGCTCACAAGTCTCAGGTCTGTAAGTCAGACATTAGATGCTTCGCATCAGGAGACCACCCCCCAGAAAACTGTCAGAATGGAAGGAAAAGCACTGTCTACACAGAATCCAGTGAAAAGAAAGAAAACCCAGAAAGACGGAGTCAGCAAATGAGAAGGAAAGAAAGTGAGGAGAGGGGGATGACAAAAGGAAAAACATAAAAAGTCAACGCTGCCGCTATGGAGCTATGGATCCCAATCCCAGGCAATACCTAACCCTAATCCTAACCCTTGGGTCCACCCTGGGACACTCAGTGCCCAGAGCACAGCATGGGGAGGACAGGGCAGGTAAACAGGTCATAGAAAACCACAGAATAAAATGGGCAGGTCAGATTATGACCAATCCACAGTGAGGGAAAAGGAATGAGGTGAGGGGCCAATGAACTGTGACTAAAGCTGGAAATTAGTCTAACATTTTAAATCTTATTTTCTCAATTTTCAAAAGAAGATTGATTTTATTTGAAATGCAGATTTACACAGAGATAATCTAATTGCTGGTTCACCCCCGCCCCCCCCCCCAAAGGTAGCAACAGCTAGAACTGGGTCAGGTGGAAGCCAGGAGCTGCTTCTGGGTCTGCCACATGGATGCAGGGTTCTAAGGATTTGAGCTGTCCTCCGCTGCTTTCCTAGGTCACCAGCAGGGAGCTGGATGGGAAGTGGAGCTGCTGAGATTGAACTGGGCCCCAGTTAGTCTCAATTTTATAGGAATATTTTATGAACTAATATTTCCTATGATGAAAATATTTGTCTAAAGCTTAGTATTTTTTCTTTTTCTTTTTTTTTTTGTTTCTTTTTGTTCACTTCAGACTCCAAAAGTAGGGACCAAAAATGTTATAACCAGGGCCCAGTGGCGTGGCCTAGTGGCTAAAGTCCTTGCCTTTAATGTGCCAGGATCCCATATGGGCGCTGGTTCTAATCCCAGCAGCTCCACTTCCCATCCAGCTCCCTGCCGGTGGCCTGGGAAAGCAGTTGAGGACAGCCCAAAGCCTTGGGATTCTTCACCCATGTAGGAGACCTGGAGGTTCCTAGATCCTGGCTCCAGATCGGCATAGCACCAGTCATTGCGCTCACTTGGATCATCGGACAGAAGATCTTCCTCTCTGTCTCTCCTCTCTGTATATCTGACTTTCCAATAAAAATAAATCTTAAAAAAAAAATAATGCTATAACTGTAGGTAGTGGGACTTCATGACTGACTAGGCATGAATGGCTCTGAAACAATAGGGTTGCTCTGAAGCTGCTGCTTTGCCTGAGTGTGGGCTGCAGCCAGGCCAGCCTGTCCTAAAGATCACTCATGCCACATACACAGCACACAAAATGTCCAGCTGAAGTAGTGACAGTGACCCACAACATTAAGCCTGCGAAAAAGAAGGGCATGGAAGGTGCATGCTGAGTCTTGGGCTTGCTTCCAGGACGCGTATTTGGTGGGAGTTGAGGCAAGCCCATTTTTATCACTACTGACATGCTACTTTAACTGGTCATAAGGACACAGTAGAAGGTTTGGGTTTCTGGTTGACAACAGGTTCAAGAAACACAACTAGTAAGTTCTGTGAATCCTGGACTTTTAGGTTCTCACACTGGATCAAGTTGTAGGAGACACGACCTGCTTTATGTGGCTAGGAGCCACCTGGAGGTGATTTGCGGTGTCTACTGCTGTTTCTGGAACTGACAAATTCTAGAGATGACATCAGCCTGTGAGAATCTGTGAGCCTGAGAGTGGCACGTGACCATGTAGGAATCTGTGAGCCTGATGAGGGAGTCACATCAGCAGCATGTGGGAGTCTGTGAGCTTGATGAGGGCGACATGTGAGCATGCAGGGATCTGTGAGTCTGTGTGACATGTGATCATGTGGGAATCTGTGAAGCCCCCTGTGTGGATGGTGGGCAGAAAACACTCACTGAAACATGTTCAGATTTCACATTGCAACCTACCTTTATTTAAAAAGAAAAAAAAAATCAAGTCTCATTTCAAAAATAGTTATAATTGCAGAAAGAGAATCCCATATACCTTCCACCCAGCTCTCTGCAGTGGCATCATCTCACATGTCACAATCTATGTCAAAACCAGGAAATCTAGGGTGAGTGCCAATGGAACCCTTCTGCTGCTTTCCCAGCTTAGACAGGCTCAATTCTCTGACCATGTTCTAGTGTGGTCCATAGGAACCATGAGGAGTTAAAACACTGCCTCTCCCCCAGCCACAATCTGCAGAGGTCTTCTTGCTACTGGTCAGGGTGTGCATGCCAGCTGCCCTTGGGTGGGCAGGCATCCCTCAGGGGGGTCATTCTCATCATTTCTTCAGTTTCCTGTTAATGCAGGCGACACAGTGTTGAGGATGTGGGTTCCACACAGACTCTGGGAACCCAGAAGCCTCCAGTCCCAGAAAAGGCTCCTCCAGCTTTCTGGCCAGAACCGTTCCATCACGGGAGACATGAGTCGGAGGCAGACCAAGCAACTGTCACTGCTGACAGTGGAGACGCTGAAGTGCTCATGGCTCCACTGCTCCACTCCCATGAAAAATGTTGCCCTGCGAGCATCTGCCTGAGGTTCCTTGTGGGTGCCCAGTGCCTACCTAGGCCCCGCTGGTTCCAGTGTGGTCCATGGCTGAGCAGAAGGCGCAGACAGCGGCAGTGAGAAGCAGCCGCGCCCCCTCATAGAGCAGCTTGGGCGAGAACACACTCCAGATGAACAAGTGGTAGCGTAGCGCTGTCACCAGGACCAGGTAGATGGCTGCAGATGCTGAGCCTGCCAACGCATAGCAGAAACCTGCATGGCCCAGCGCTGTGCCGCTGCCAATCAAAGGGAGACATGTCAGCCTGCGCCAGGGGCCAGGACACTGTGCTTAACCACAAGGACTCCCACTCCAGGATGACGGCGCCATGTCCTAGGACCTCCCCCTGCATGGCCTCTGGGGGCCTGGGGGGTCAGCCATGGGAGAGGAGTTTCCACCTGTACCCCCAGACACCTGTAGTGGCGCTAGGGAGCTCAGACTCTCAGGCCTAACCCTTCAGTTGAGGGAAACTGAGTCCACCAGTAGGCTGAGGCTGCTGGCCCCGGCATCAGCTGCCCAGCACCTATGCCCATGGAGCCGCCACCCCTGGATCAGGACAGGGACCTTACCTGCTGGCCTCAGAGCTCAGGAAGTGCACCAGGTGGCTGGCCCACAGCAGGGGCCCTGCAAAGGTGCCAAATGCTGTCAGTAGCACAGCTGGGGCCTCTGCATAGCTGTCGAAACCCACGAAGCCAGTGGAAATGTCTACCGTGGCAATATTGTTGGAGTTGCCCTGAAACACAAAGCCTGGGTTGCAGGCTCTCTCTGCACTCCAGGTTGAGGACAGGCCCTGGGTGGGTCCTGGGTCTGTTCCCTGGGTCAGCCAGGACTTGAGGGGAGCAGTCAGGAGCTGCCCCAGCACAGGGCTCCCCCTAGCCAGGGGCAGGGCCTGTGACATCAGACAGGGAGGTGAACAACAGGTGGAGCTTACCCATTAGTGCGGACACTGGCCAGTGATCACCTGGGCCTGGGCACTGCATACACCCCATGTGCACAGTAGGAGGCATGGAATTGGGAGAAGGTCCCCCGGGTCTGCCTCCCTCTCCACCTCTACCTGCCACCCATGGCACAGGTAAGCAGGCAATCCTGATGGCGTCTCCAGAGCTGAGCAGAGGCTTGTGGTTACTCTACCCACCCACCCCATCCCATGCTCATGCCCTCTTCCTCATACACCCGCCCCTTGCTGACGCCCTCTGACGGGATCCACCTGAAGAACCCTTTCCCTGTGGTCCTGCCTCGTGCCTCTCTGAGGCAGCAGCTGGAACGGGGGTAGAGACCCAAGGCAGGAGGGTAGGGTTTGGAGGTGGGTCTGATGGCTCTAGCACAGGCAGCCCAAATGGGGCCACAGCCTCCTCCAACAGGGAGACACAGGCTGGAGCAAGGCTACCGTGCTCTTCAGCCCTCAGGTCCAGCAAAAGTTGGGGGGAGGAACAGAGGAAAGAGGGGCCTGTGGCATCTCCTTGCCAAACCCCGATCTACTTGCTGCCGCACTCTGGGGCCATCCCTGGGTGGGACACTACCTCATAGGTTGTGTGCTCAGCTGCCGCTGGGGTCACCCCTGCCAAGGAACCAGGAGTCACCTCCTTGCCCAGGGTCCACAGGCACAGTCACCCCGGGGGGGAGGATCCCCTGCCTTTGCTGACCCCACAGACAAGGGTACCTGCAGCTGCCCTGTATCCAAAAGCCTTCCAGGGTTGAAGCCCAAGATTGGGAGATGGGGGTGCGGGGTAGGGACGACAGTCAAAGGTGGAGGGCCACAGGGATGGCGGATAGGGAGAGGTGAAGGCTGGGGGTGTGGACAGCAGGGGAGACAGCATACAGGCTGAACTGGGTTTGTAGCTGTTAAGCACTTGGCTTTCTCCAGCTCTGCCCTCACCTGCTAAGTACCGGGACAGAGGCAGAGAAGAGCCACACACCTGTGGGTTGGGGGGGGGGGGGTCAGGAATCAGTAGAGGAGGGGCTGGGGACAGGGAAGAGGCCAGTCTGTTGGGCACTTCCACTGGACATGCCTTCCAAGGCTCCCTGCTTCCAGATGGGGGAGGGCAGATGTTGCACATCTGGGTGAGAGGTGGCTGGGGGCTGCATGGCCATGAGCAGAGGAAACTGCAGGCCACAGTGCCTACTCTGTCCACCTGCCTGGGTATGTGTGGTGTCCACTCCCACCCACAGGACATGTCCACCATGGTCATTGCTAGCCCAGGGGCCTGTGACCACGACAGTGACTGACAATGATGCCCAAGCCCCCACACTCAGGGGACAGGTGACCAACCCTGGCTCCCGGGACAGACTGGGGCTGGGACATGATTCACTGAGCTGGCCCGCGGCTCTCAACCAACAACTTCTGCAGGAAGAACCAAAGGCAATCAGCCACAAGGGCAGCGGTGAGCCCTACCTGAAAATAGAAGAAGGCTTGGCCAAACCAGTAGTGCATCACAGTGACCTCCACAGCACTGTGTCCCAGCGGCTTCCAGACAAAGTTGGCCAGAACAGCCTGAGTCAGAAGGCTGAGTGCCAGAACCGGAAGATTGTGCGGCCTGAAGAGCAGTGCGGCCAGTAGAATCAAGCCACTGAAGATCTCCCACAAACCCATGGTCTTGATCTTGTGCTCAGCAGCAAGCACTTGGGATCTCAGCAAGTCTTTGGTGCCCGTGAACAGAATGCCAAGGACAAAGACATAAACAAAACGAGCTTCAATAATGCCCCTAAAAGAAAGCAAAAACAAGTCTGGTTTCCAGCTGGAGAAACACACATTTTCCCACAAAATATGTGCATGTGGAAAACCTGGGAAACTGCATGGCCCACGCAGTTCTGCAAATGGACGTGCCAGTTTGCACACCACCCTTCTCCAGTGCTGAATGTGGGCACCATGCCCTTGCAGCCAGGAAAACAACCCACTTGATTTGAAGTGACTGTAAAAGCCACAGCAGGGGTTGGCACTTTGGCGTAGCAGGTAAAGCCAGTGATGCCAGGATCCCATTGGATACCAGTTCAAATCACAGATGATCCATTTCTGGTCCAGCTCCCTGCTAAAGGCCTGGGAAAGCAGAGAAAAGTGCCCTAAGTGCTTGGGACCCTGCACTGATACGGGAGACCTGGAGGAAGCTTCTGGGTCTGAACCTTGAATTGGCCAGCCCTAGCAGATGCAGCCATTTAGCAAGTGAACCAGCAGATTAAGCCACTCTCTAACTCTGCCTTTTTTTTTTTTTTTAAAGATTTATTTTTATTATTTTTTATTGGAAAGGCAGATATACAGAGAGGAGAGACAGAGAGGAAGATCTTCCGTCCGATGATTCACTCCCCAAGTGAGCGCAACGGGCCGATACTATGCCGATCCGAAGCCAGGAGCCTCTTCCGGGTCTCCCACGCGGGTGCAGGTTCCCAAAGCTTTGGGCTGTCCTCGACTGCTTTCCCAGGCCACAGGCAGGGAGCTGGAAGGGAAGCGGGGCTGCCGGGATTAGAACCGGCGCCCATATGGGATCCCGGGCGTGCAAGGCGAGGACCTTTAACCACTTGCGCCACCGCGCCGGGCCCTAACTCTGCCTTTTAAGTAAACAAATAACTAAATATTTTTATTGGAAAGACAAATTTACAAAGAGAGGCAGAGAAAGATCTTCCATCCACTGATTCACTTCCCAAGTGGCTGCAATAGCTGGAGCTGAGCTGATTCAAAGCCAGGAGCCAGGAGCTTTTTCCAGATCTCCCATGTGGGTGCAGGGTCCCAAGTGTTTAGGCCATCCTCTATTGCTTTCCCAGGCCACTAGCATGGAGTTGGATGAGAAGTGGAACAGCTAGGACACAAACTGGTGCCCACGTGGGATCCTGACAGATTCAAGGTGAGGATTTAGCCACTGACCCATTACAACAGGCCCTAAATACATTTTTTTTTTTTAATAGAAAAGCCGTTGGACCAGGGGATCCAGTTTGATTAGGATTCCTAGCACTCCAGAAGGGTTGCCTGTGCAGCTGGGCATGCTCAGTGACACAGATGTAGACTAAGCTTTGCTCATCCTTTGTGCTCCAAAACCTGTCTGGACTCTGTCTGGGTGAAGCTCATCAGCACTGCTGCCTTGCTTGCGATGACCACAGCCACCACGGGCCTTCCCCAGGACATATGCCAGGAAAGGATTACCATGCTACAGCCATCACACTGACCTAATTGGCCTTCACAGGATCTGCTGTCATGGGCTCTGCCCCCCCAGGAACCTGCTTGGGTTCCAGGGACTCTGGTGCCTCCGAGGCACCTGCTGGGCAGATCCCATCCCAGCCATTGTGGATCTCGACCAACTCCAACACCAGGCCACCCCGTCTGCTCTGTGTCAGCAATCTCAGTGATCTCCCCTCCAAGTTACGCATCTCTCTATTACAAACAAGAGTGACCAACCATTCCCAGGGTCTCACAGGCCCTGGCAGCTATGGAGGAAAACATGGTCATGAGTACAGACATTTAAACGTTTCTGATGGCCGTGCCCAGTCTGCAGTCACTTACTTTGAGATGGCTCTGCTGTCTGGTCGCCATGGGAACAGCAGGTTTCCAACAGCCACCCTGTAACAGTAGACACCCAGCAGCCCAAGTGCCAGGGCCCCCTTGGACACGGGGGAACAGCCCCTCTGGGTCAGCAGGAATATCACGAGGAGGGACAGGGCGGCCAGGGCAGAGAGCTCAGCTTTGTGGTCAGAGCTGCAACAAGATGGGGATAGCCAGGGTTACTGCTGCAGTGAGCCGGGGCTGCAATGAGCCTGTACTATATGGGCTGGAGCCATGGGTGCTAAGACATGGAGTTGGTGCCAGCCCCAGGGTCACCAGTTCTAGCTCCCTGCTGATGTACATAGGAAGGCAGTGAGGATGGCCCAAGTGCTCGGGCCTTGCAGCCACACAGGAGATTGGGATGGAGCTCCTGGCTCCTGGTTGGTCCAGCCCTGCTGTTGTGGTTACTTGGAGAGTGAACCAGTCGATAAAAGATCTCTCTTCTCTGACTTTCCTCTCTCTGTAACTAGTGCAAATAAACAAATAAGTCTTCTTTAAAAAAAAAAAAACTGTATAGAAGTAGCTGATTTTCTTGAAAAAAAAAAATTGCTGGTTATTCAAATCCAGTTCTTTTTTTATTTATTTGGAGAGACAGCTTCCATCTGGTGGCTGATCCCTTGCTGACTACGGACAAGTTTTCAGTGGTGGCAGGAACCAGGTGTTGCACCATCCTTACAGCCTCCTAGACATCAGCATGGCATCCTGACTTCTCCACTAACAGTGACCACTCAGCTCCACAGGTTCTGAACAACCTCATGGAAGACATTACCCTGAACCCTCCCTGTCACTTTCTCTGGGCACAGGGAATGCTATAACACAGGCAAGCTCGCTGCTGCCAGTGGATGTGGCATCAGAAAATGTACAGGGGCCAAGGCTGGCGGGGGGGTCCTGAAGGGGGCGGGGGTGCAGGAGATGACTGCCTGGCCCAAGGGTCCGGCCCCTTCCAGGGTGGAGTGAGGGGGGAGTACAGGAGAACAGGCAGAGTCCCACACTGTTCCTGGCCTTGTCCTTCCTGTTCCCAGCCCCACCTCAGGGCAGTCTATGGCAGCAGAGATGACAAACAGGGATCAGCAGGCCCAGGACAGGGGCTGTGGCACCGAGCTGGACCTCTGCAGATGGCCAGTGTCAGATACAAAGGCTTTTGGTCAATTGTCACAGACAAATCACACCCGCAGGCCAGCCCTTCACTGCCCGTTAGCTGGGGTTGGAATCCTATCCCACTCTGCACAGCCAAGGAGACGACCCCTTGGTCAGGCCCACCCAGCCGTCCAACTGCCCTGTGCTCGCACCTGGTGAGCCAGTGGCCGAGGTCGGGCCGGTGGGCCCACTGCACCCCAGTCTGGTTCAGGGACCGCAGCATCCGGCAGCAGACAAGGACCAGCCATGGGCTCGCCAGCACGGTCCACTTGCGCAGGTCCCCGGGGAGCACTGGCCGAGCCTGTACCTTGCAGGCCACATCTGCTGTGGGCAGTGTGGGCACGGCCTGGTCGTCCTCCAGGAAGCTCCGGTGCATCTGCTGGCTCAGGGCCAGGCACAGGGTATTGACCAGGAAGTACCAGGTCTGGTGTTCTTCCTCCACGAAGCTGCTAGCACCAAGACTCAGCATGTGGCCCAGCGTCCCCAGCAGCAGGAGAAGCTCCAGTTCCGACCACCTCGGGCGGGGGCGGGCAGGGTGCTGCAGGAAGAAGACCCCATGCGGGCTGCCCAACAGAACCCACAGTGACCACCCAGGGGCCTTGGCCCAGTTCTAGCATTTCCTTCTCTGCCCTGCAGACCTGGCGGTCAGCTACTCAAAGCTCAAGAACTTTGACACCTCACCAGCCTTCAGAGCTCTTGAAAGTCCGCTCTCAATGCTCATTCTGCTAAAATGACAAAGCTGGTGTGTCAGAGTTACCCTTGAAATACACAAACTGGAAACGTTATAGATGGGGACCCAAAGGACCCCTTCACTTGCTCAATGACTGCTCACGGTGGGAGAGATGAGGCTACTAGAGAAGGAGTGAGCAGAGTCTACTGCTCACCACGGCCTGGGGATCCCATGCTGATGGGACAGGACAGGGGGCCAGTCTAAGTCACTGCCAGCACCCAGGACCTTGATATGATGTCCTCCCCATTGTCCTGCCATCACCAAACCTATCAGGCGGCCCAAGGATATGCTGGGCTGGCCAAGGAGACTGCCAAATGAGGTGCAGGCCGAGCGCAGTGACCACCACTGCTGTGCCAGGAGCCCTGTATTGCAGGCCAGAGTTGTGGCACATGGCCAGTGTCACACACTGGTTTTCCTGGGGGTCCTGGATGCAGCTGTGGACGGCACCCCCACCACAGCCTGAGCCAGCACTGTACCACACATCCAACCAACATATAGCAAATGAGGTGACCAACACTGGCAGTGCCGGCCTTACCTTCCGCAGATCTCCGGCTTGGCAGGCCTTGACAAGGGCTGACATGGCTGCACAGAGCAGAGCAGAGACCAGCAGCATCACGCCGCCCGCCGCCAGCCATGAGAGGCTGCAGAGGTAGCAGGAGTTCTCCACTGAGGTGCACACGACGACATGGACAGCAGACAGAGCCAAGAACCCCAAATAAAAGAGCAGGGAGAAGGCGGGTGACAGCAGAGGGACTTGGAGCTCAGCCTGAGGGCGCAGGGCCTGTGGGGTGCTCAGGAGGAGCAGAGCCAGCACCTGCAGCAGAAAACAACATGGTGCTCATGGATACCTGGCCAGAACAGGTGGACATAGCCCACCTCCTCCCTGTGACAGCTGCTGAGGGAACACAGGGAAGCAGGCCCAGTCATAGGCTGCCACCCCCAAACTGCCAGGGACACAGTGGGGTGTCAGCTCACAAGGCAATGCCGAGGGTAGACAGGGTGCAATGGGTATCGGTCCTCAAGGCAATCCTGAATGCCAACCGGACATCAGGAATAGCTTTCCGCTGCAAGTGGCACGAATGCCATCAGAGCTGCCACTCTGATTGTGCCAGCCCAGGATGCACCATCACCATACCTCCAGCACCATGGCAGTGCCCATGGCCATAGAGTAGACGTCATATTGGGCCCCCTGTGTGCTCAGCGCCGTGCTCAGCGTCTTCAGTGCCTCCAGGTACTGCTTCACTACTTTGGTCCCCAGCCCCAGGATCACGTCGGAGCGGCCTTCTTCCAGGTATAGTCGGACCCAGTTCCCATGCAGCCGCTCTGACATTTTAAACTGCTCAAATGCAGGTTCTGCCAAGAAAACACAGCAATGACCCTAAGATACCTTCACTTCTCCTAGGCATCCAGGGACCTGGGGAATGCCACGTGGCCCCTCTCTAGGCCTGTACCCGGGACGGAGTCCAAGCTACTGGCAACATACCTTTTTCGTAGGTGGCCACATTCTCCTGCAGTAGTTTGCTAAGCTGGACAGTATTTAAGTGTAAGAACCTCAATTGTTCTCGCATTGGCCTTCTTTCCACAACTGGGAACAACAGGCTCCCAACACTGTCCTTGGGAATCGGCAAACCCAGTCCTATGGCTAGTGTGGCAGCCAAATCGGTCTGCTGGACGCGTACTGGATGCCGGATGCCACCTAGGAAAGAGAACACACTCCAGGCACTTTCAGAACATGTGAGAACAATGTGTGCCAGATCACTCTCAACCCAGTGCTTCCAAAGGACCCTCGGTGCAGCGGTACAGCGAGAGCCCCAGCAGCTGGATGCAGAGCTGACCCATGGCCATCAGCCTAAGGGTGGGACCTCAGATAAAGGCTCCGGCTCTGCCTTCTGGGCATATGTGCTCCCTCAGACAGAGAATCTGAGCGACAGCAAGCGCCGTTACCAGAGAGCAGAACCAGGCTAAGGCCATCACGCACTCAGATGAGTCAGACAAGCCAGATGGCTGTCTGTAAAGTGCTTAGGCCTTGGCTGTGGCAGGCTATCTGACCCTGCAAGCAGAGCAAGCCCGGGAGGGCCCTTGCCATGCCATGACCGGTGTGAACACGGATGAGAGAGCCACTGGATGGAGCCCACTTGTCAGGAGGGGAAGTTTCACACAGAGGCCTGACTCTGGGCACACTCTGTGGGAACTTCCGGTCAGACTCTCCCTTTTCATTTGCTCCAATGTATTATCTTCTCTTGACTAGCTGTCTAAGAAGGGATGTGGTCATGCCAAGACTCAACATCTGGGGCAGGTGAAGTGGCTGCTCCTGACAACAGCATCCCCCTTGGGTTAGTTCCCTGTCAACGGTCCTTCCCAGGAACTCCATCAAGGCCTCCTCCCTGGGTACACTGGCCCAAGCATCTGGACCATCCTCTGCTGTTTTCCAGGCCCTGAGCAGGGAGCAGCTTTACCTACTATGCTACTGATGAAAAACCGCTAATCTACACATCCAAGAGGCTCAACAAACCCCCAGGTGGATAAATATAAAACATGGAGACACTTGTAGAAAAACCCTGAAAGACATGGAGATGGGCACCCCTGCTGGACCAGCACTTCCCACAGAAGGTGGTGGATAGCCCATTCCACATGCCAAGAGAAGCAGCAACGTTCTTACATCAGCATCCAAATGGTAAAGAAAAAGAAATGCATCGCTAGCTGACATGCCTCTTCAGGAACACTAAAGATCAGCTCAGGCATTGTGGCAGCAGTTGAGATTCCATATGCACACTTTGAGTCCTGCTGTCCACATCCAATCCAGCTCGAACAGTTTCTGCCACAGAATGGGACATGCAGGTGGGGCCTAGCCCTGGCCACGGCAGCCAGTTTGAGGAGTAGAATCAGTGGATGGAAGACTATCTTCTGTCCTTCCCTTCATTCAGCCTTTAAATAAATAAACAAACACCCAAGTCTTTAAAAAAGTAAAAAGGGTACAGCATTTCTGCTCTCCAAGCACACATCTAGAATGATGACCCTGCACTGCACACACAGACTGAGGCCACTGGTTGGCACACACCTGACAGCAGACACATGCAGAGCGACTGAAGCGGCCCCGGAGAGAGGATGACAAGGGATGTAGACAGAAACACCACTGCCCGTGCAGCACACGTACACACACATTCTTGCCCACCACAGCACATGTACACACGTACACACACACACACTCCTGCCCATGCAGCCATTTCTGGACATAGCTAGCAAACAGTCCAGAGGCATCAGCTGGTGAGTTATCACATTATGGATTCCAATTTGGCAACAGAAAGAAGGTGGCACTGACATAATTACAACATGTGTGGATCAGGGTGGAGAGCGAGACCCACAGACGAGGAATTACAGGTTTGGAAGAGGCTAAGCTATAGCCGGGGCTGTGATAGGGAGTGGCGAGGAGGGGGATTCAGAGAGATGGACATGACACAGCTGCCCAGTTGTGTGAGTGTGCTGCAGTGGTTCTGACTCATGAAACAAGCAGGCTGACTCAGTGCCCATACAGCTGCTTGATCAACAGCTGCAGGCAGTGAGCACCACTGGGTAGAAAAAGCCAGCTCCCTCCCGTTTCCCCCAGGAAAAGCTGGGCTATATGTACACTGCGCCCCTGTGTGGCAAGCAAGGGCACAGCAAGCTGGGTGTCACACTGAGCAGATACACCTGTTAGAGGACAGGGTCCAAGCTGGCACCTAGGGAAGAAGGGGGTCATGATAGTAGACATGAGCAGTGGCCAAGGCGTGTGCTGGGGGCAGGCGTGTGCAGGAGCCGAGGCGTGTGCTGGGGGCAGGCGTGTGCAGGAGCCGAGGCGTGTGCTGGGGGCAGGCGTGTGCAGGAGCCGAGGCGTGTGCTGGGGGCAGGCGTGTGCAGGAGCCGAGGCGTGTGCTGGGGGCAGGCGTGTGCAGGAGCCGAGGCGTGTGCTGGGGGCAGGCGTGTGCAGGAGCCGAGGCGTGTGCTGGGGGCAGGCGTGTGCAGGAGCCGAGGTGTGTGCTGGGGGCAGGCGTGTGCAGGAGCCGAGGTGTGTGCTGGGGGCAGGCGTGAGCCACGGCTGAGGCATGTTCTAAGGATCTGTCTCATGGGGCCTGGGTTGTGTCTGCTGTGCTTGGATCCCTGACTCTTACTGGCACTATAGCTCAGTCCTGGTGTCAAATGATGAACACCTTTTATAGGAAACTTCCTTCAGTTCTATCCACAGCTCAGATGTCTCAAAGCTACTGGAAATTTTCTTGAACAGTTCCAGGTAGCTAGGCAATAATTTCCACACAAAATTCCACCAAAAGTTTATATTTCGTGAATCAGGGCAAGAACATTTGCTAAAACCCTGACTGCCCCTCCCCCCATCGATTTTCATTTACATAGCTTCTAAAAGGAAATGATATAAAATGCAGTTTCTAACTGCTAACCCTTTATTCTCACCAGGTTTTCTCTCAAATGCAGAGCTGATGAAAATCAGAGGTGTGCTCACTTCCTCCATGGAAGAGGCGCCGTGACTCCCTGTGTCTGACATGCCATGGTCCCCACACAGAACCAGCAGACTTGGTAAAGCGCGCTCTTTCTCCTATGAGGCAAAAACAAAGATGGTCAGTGGCTCTGGGCCAAAGAGAACGTAGGACCTGCCAAGAAAGCAGCCTTAGAATTTGCTTCTCCTCCGTAAATGCTCATCTTTCCCAATGAGTTCAGCTTTCTCTGAGCTTGGAGCCACATTAAGGGGTCAAAGCAACACAACGTGACAAATGAGGCAAAGGGACTGGCATCTGGCCCCTAAAGTGCCACTTCCAAGCTGTGAACTCTGGGCACACGATACCCCCTGCCTCTGTTTCCCCATCTGTAAGACACATAGCACATGGCAGGCTCTCCTCAAGGCAGTACACCCCAACACTGGGGCCCCACCACTCCTGCTCTGGGACCTGCAGCCTGGCTATTCCGGACCTAGTCACTTCTCAGCTCAGTGTGTGCAACCCCGCAGCCCTGTCACCAGCTCCACTTCCCCTGGTGAAGATACGGGCCTCACCTGGGACAGCAATGAGGTATGAATCTTCATGAGGACACCGTCCATCTCACGGAGCTTGTGTCCAATCAGGGGGCTGTTGGGCCCAGAAACGTGGCCGATGTGGTCCAAGCCCAGGTAGTGGAGGATCAGCATGTCCCAGTCACCTCGTTTCAGGACTTGGTCCAAATGCCTCGTGACATTATTATCAACCTTAAGTAGGAGACATGTCCACATAATCCATTTCCCTGGATCATCACTCCCCAAGGGAAAGCAACAAGCACCTTTAAATCTAGGGAGGGTATTGGACAGAGGGCATTAAGAGAAAAAAACCCCCAGGAACACTAAAGCATCAGATGGCGTTCTTGCACATACTGTGTTTACGTTTCTGGGTAGTGGATGGAAAGTACAGCACAGCGTTTACATAGCAGCCAGAGCTACTCTGACAGTCATGTCTACACAGCAGCCAGGGCTGTTCTGACAGCTGGTGCCTACACAGTACACTGTATAGTAGACACTTCTGAGTGATGTGTGTGCAGTATGGACACTCCTCTGTGATTCTCGTCCTGTGGGGAAGGGCCTGCAGACGCTGCTACAGCCCATAACTGTGCACCACTCTGGATGTGCCACGTGCTTGCTTCTGCGCAGGCCACTCCCACATCGAACTCCAGACCTGTCCTGCGCCCCAGCACAGTCCACACCCCAGGACCAAGTTGTGCCAGCTCACCCCTGCACTCACAACAGCATGATGGCTCCTACAGAACCAAATAGCCAGAGGCTTCCTGTGGGCCAGGGTCTGCCCCACAGACCTCGTCTCTGCATCCATTCCCGCATTATCGCCCTGCACACTACCTCTCCCCTTTGACCGCTCCCTCCTGCAGCTCCTCTGGCCACAGCCTCGCCTGCTGCTGCACAGAGCTGTGCTCACACTGCATCAGGGCTCACATCCCACTGTGCCACTTGTGAGAAGGAATGACTACAACTCCTTACCCCACAAACATTAGCCAAACCCACATACCAAGTGCCATAGCCTCCCTCGAGTCAGGACACAGCACCTGTCTGTCCTTGTAAACTGACCTCCGTATAATCGGACACAAAAAATGAGGTTGTTCCGTCATATTCTGCAAAGTGCTTTGGGAATAATTTAACCCATGTCTCATCTCCATAGAAGACGATTCTTTTCCCAGCTGCCTTTGCCTGTCTTATCACGCTGTCTTCCAGGAGCACAGGAGAGTCGAGGTTCCTGACGATGTCGATGAAACCCGGGAGGCTTCCAGTCATCAGTGCCTGTGGAGGGAACATGTAGGAATCAGACCTCGGAATCCCAAGGCAGAGCACGAGGTGATGCTGAAAGCTGAGTCAAACCAGTGAGGAAGCATGAAGATGTACCCAGCAATGTGGAGACAGTAGCTCAGTAACAAGGACTTGGCCACCCTGATGAGCTCTCAGGGCTTAGAGCTGACAAGAGGACAAGGGTGGCGGCTGGGACAGACCATGCTGGGGGACCACAGTGGCAACACATGCAGTGTCGTATGCACTGAAAATGAGACCCTGAATTAATCAATCCCTTGGAATGTGAGTGGCAAATCCTCTCCAAGAGCACAACAAAGTTGGACAAAGCTGTGAGAAATAACCAATTCAAAACTTTGAAAATTCTCCCAAACTGAGAAATGCTTTCTTAAGAATTGCTGTCCTGTCGGCACACAGGGCTTCTTTCCTCCTCCTGGCCCCATGATGAAGCAGCCATGGAGGGCCTGAGCTGACATGGATACCACCCAAAGCCCGACTCAGTGGTGGTAAAACCAACACAGGAGGCTAGCAATGCGGTCACACATCTTTCACACTGCCCGAGGCACAGCATCTGAAAATGCAACTAGCTCCATGTGGATGCACCTGGGAAAGTAGGTGGAGAGTGCCTGGGCTCTGCTCCCATATGGGAGACCCGAGTGGGGTGCCAGGACTCTGTTTCGGCTTCACCCAGCTTGTCTTTTATGGCCTTTTAGGGAGGAACCAGCAGATGAGAGATGTCTGCTTCTCCCTCCCATCTCTCTGTAACTCTGCCTTTTCAGTAAGTAAGTATAAACAGAGGGGCTGACCGTATAGCATAGTGGGTAAAGCTGACGCCTGCAAAAGAGGTACCCTATATGGGCGCCAGTTCATGTCCCCAGTTGCTGCACTGTTGACCCAGCTCCCTAATGGCCTGGGATAAGGACCAGAGGCCCAGTGCTGGAACCTAGATTGTCCATGAGGGAGACCTGAACGAACCTCTTGGTTTTGGCCTGGCTCAGTCATTGCCACTGGGGACTGAATCAGCACATGAAGATCTTACTTTCAAATAAATAAATAATTTTTTTAAAAAATGAGGGGAGGGGATTCTGGGGCATAAGACCGCTCTGGTGGCTCCCCTCAGAGCTCCTTGCTGCAGCCAGGGACTGGACTGCATCACTAGGGTGGAGCCTCCATGGCGGACACTTGGTGGCTAAGGGGAACACAGAGTACTGGAGCATGTGCAAGTGCGACAATGTGTGTAACCAAGACCCCTGCAACCACACTTACCCTGAAGAGCTTCCTATGGGCATAAATGGAAGAGTCAGGTAGTGAGGTGGGGCCTCCTGGTGTGGAGACTTGAGGACTGTGCCAGGAGAAAGCTGTGTGTGGGAGGGACACAGGGAAGGGTGGCTTGCGTGATGAAGTGGCGACAAGCAGGACGGAGCCCAGAGTCTGGTTGAGGACTAGCCACAGGAGAGCTGTAAGCACAGCAAGGGCTGACTCTGTCAGGTGGGCCAAGCAAGAGGTGCAGGCAACATTCATGGTCCAGGCCAAAAGTTAGATGGGAGTAAGGGGTCATGGCCAACCTCACTCATGCTCACAATATTTTTTTTTAACATATATATGTTTAGCAATTACTATTATTTTTTAAGGCTTATTTGTCTTGGAAAGGCAGATTTACAGACAGGAGATAGAGAAGTCTTCTGCCCACTGGTTCAATCCCAGAGTAGTCACAACAGCTGGAGTTGAACAAATCTAAAGCCAACAGCCAGGAACAACTTCTGGGTCTCCCACATGGGTGCAGGGTCCCAAGCCTTCAAGGCCTTGGAACATCCTCTACTTTCCTCCCAGGCCATGAGAAGGGAGCTGGATGGAAAGTGGAACACCCAGCAGACATAGGAGATCTGGCGCATGCAAGGTGAGGATACAGCCACTGGCCCATCATGCCAGGCCCTCATGGTCCTTTTTAACACTGAATTTCAGAACTTCACAATTCCTGCAACATCATGCTCAGCTTACCTTGATTCGAGGCATAGTAACTGTGGGAGGCTTTGCTTCAGCCACGAAACTGTGAGATGCCCCCTTTTCCACCAGGTAAGTTGTATATGGCATGAACTTCATACCCTTTGGGCCAAACACAAAGTCGTCTCTCAAGGCATCTATCAGCACAATAACAACTTTACTAAAGAGAGGTGGTGGGAGCTTGGTCCAGTTGGAAGTGGCTCCTGAAATTGTATTGAAGAAAAGGGAAATTAGATTATTTTTATTTGGCAATGGAGCCCCTTCATTATCTCAATCTATACAAACCCTGCCCAGAAGTGCTCAGAAGTGTGTTCCTGCAAGGCTCAGAGTCTCCTCATGAAGGTCTCCAAATAGGACATTCAGGGACAGCTAGTAAAGAGGGAACGTGTGACTGCTTACAAACTCTTCCCACGGTTCTCTGGGTCCTTTTGGGCAAGGGGGTATGTGGTGGCAGTGGTGGAGGCCTAATCAAAACTCAGAAAAGCATAAGCCAGAGGAGTCGGGGCCCAGTGTGTGCTGACCAAGGAGGCAGGCCAAAGAGGGACTTCCCCGGGAGCACAAGCTGCTTAGAGATGAACAGGAAAATGCTGAGGTGGGAAAAAGCCGACGCCGGGGTGTGGAGGCACAGAGTGTCTGTTGTGGGAGAGGCAGAGGGTCTTGAGGGGGGAGGTTGCAGAGGGTCCTGGGGGGGGGGGGGGGGTTACAGAGGGTCCTGGCGGGGGAGGGTGCAGAGGGTCCTCTGAGGGAAGGGAGCGGGCAGGAGGTCCCCAGGTAAATGACCGAAAGGGACGGGGGACGGAGGCGCCGGGCAAAGGTGCGTACCCGCCGAAGGCTCGGGCGCTGGGAGCTCGGACTGCTGCCCTGTCCCGGCCGAGGAACGAACGGGAACCGGGAAAAAACCCCGGAGGAAGATGGCGACCCCGAGCACCTCGATGGCCACGCAACAGGCAGCGAAGGTACCAGCGCCCAGCCGCATCGCGCCCACCCGCTCCGCAGCCACCTGCGCTTCCGGCTGCAACCCGCCGCGGTGCCCATCCTGACGTCACATCCGTCGCGGCGCCGGCAAGGCTCGGGGTGCCGACGCTTCCGGGAACTCCCCGCCACCTGCCCCGGCTCCGGCCGGCTCCGCCCCGCCCCATCACGCCCTGCCCCGATTTGATCCCCGCCCCCTGAACCGCTCCAGACCCAACCCCAACCCTCCCTGCAGGCCCCGCCCCCGGTTCCGCCCGGGCCCGCCCTCCTCACCCCTCCACCCGGCCCGCACTATCCCCGTCCTCCCCACCCTTCCTGCTCTCCCTGCCAGTCCTGCCCTCCTTGTCCACGTGCCCTCCCTCCCTGCCCGTCCTGCTCTCCCTGCTCGTTCTGCGCTCGCTGCTCGTTCTGCGCTACCTGCCCGGCTGCCCTCCCTGCCCGGCTGCCCTCCCTGCCCGTCCTGCCAGTCCTGCCAGTCCTGCCCTCCCTGCCCGTCCCGCCTGGCCGCCCTCCCTGGTCGCTGTCTTTCACGCCCCCGTGTCCCGTTTTCCTGTGCGGTTCACACCCGTGAGCAGGTGTCCTGGTGCCCATCGCGCTTGATGGTGACTCTGAGCAGGTCAGGGGATCCCGGAGAGCACCCAAGTATTAGGTCCAAAAGATCCCCGGACTGCAGACAGTTCCACACACACAACAATGCCAAAGCGAAGGAACTTTATTGGTAGCTGGAGCTGGGTTCCATGTCTCATCCAACGCGGTGGAGTCTTGACAAGGACCCTGCTCTGTCTTCCTGTGCAGCTTTATTTCCTCTTTGTTGTAAGATGAGGTCCAACCCTCTTCGATTTTGCAGAACTAAATCTAAGATTTTTCTAGATGAGTTATGGATTTCACAGTCTTTGCAATATCCTCATCTACCGCTGCCTGCAGCATCCGGTCGGCAACTCGCTGGAGGGGGGCAATTGACTTATGATATGTTGGTTGGAGATGGAGAGTGGATTACTATAGAGCAACAGATACAGCTACCTCAAGCTGCTCTCACCCATATACGAGAGGTAGCATTGTGGGCATGGGAGGAAATGGAAACTGGGTCTGAATTTGCAGGCAGTTATAAAAAAATCATCCGAGGAGCCAGAGAATCTTATGCTGATTTTATAATAGGTTTGACAGACTCCATAGAAAACCAAGTTAGAGGCTAAGGCGCTAGGAAATTGTTATTAAAGCAACTGGCCTTTGATAATGGGAACGAGGACTGCCAGACTGTTATTGGTCCTGTAAGAGAAAGAGGGGAATTTTCTGGATTACCTGAAAGCCTGTGGCAACATAGGGACATTTAAACACCGTGCCTGGATAGCAGCACTTGAAACTTTTGCCATTCAAAAGCAAATGAATGCTAAATGTTTTAATTGTGGCAAGCCAGGACAGCTTAGAAAAAATTGCCAAATGCTTCCTACAACTCAAAAATACCATGCTAATATTTCTAACAGTCACTCCCCGGGAATATGTCCTAAGTGCCAAAGAGGCTGACACTGGGAAAAAGAATGTAAATCCAAATTTGATCGTGATGGCAGATGCCTGTGGCCAGAAGACTCCTGGAGGGGCCATCCCCAGGTCCCAACCATTCAGAGGTTTGCAAAACAGGAACATCCTATTCAATTTGTGTCTGCGGAGAAGCTACAAACTTAAAACTGCCACTGTCTCAATTCCCTTTCCTGTGCTTGTCACCCTGCAAGTATAAATGCTGGAGGATGAAATTCCAATCAATAATGCATGTTATTCATATAGCACCGACCCCTATACTGCATTGTTTTGCCATAAATGCTAATTTTAAGTACAAGTTTTTATATTAAGTTTATCTTTATGTTCTCTGTCTCATGAAGTCCTCATTGTTTAAAATTAGCAAAAGTGATGTTCTTCCTTTAAGGAGTATTTGGGTGATGGCATTATGTCATTATAAGGTGAATGTTTGCTGTTTTCTTTGTTAATGTACTCAGGTTGTTCACTGCATGTCTTTTGGAATATTTTATATTGCTGAGGAAGCTGGAATACAGGCCTTCAGTTCAACAGCTAGATTTCAAAATAATGACCATTTATCCCTCTAGAGGTTTTGATTCTGTTGCCTGACATCTACATTTTAAATATCTTTATAAAATGAGAAGAAAGAAAAATCAAGGAAAAAAGAACAATTTGGCAGAAGTTGTTTTCTGGGCTTGTGAGTTCTACCTTGGAAGGTCTTTAGTTGTGATAAATGTTTAGCTAGCTCACTTCATCTGCATATCCATGGCAACTTTTGGGAACTTGGAAGAAGATACTAAGCTCTTACAAATCTTGAGGGGTTTTTTGGGACATTTTCAAAAATGTGAAGTTTTATTGTAAATAAATTGGTATAGAATTGAACTCTGACACACTATTAGGTTATTTCAAAGTATAAGTTAAATTAATGTGATATTCTTTGTCTATAAAGTGTTTCCATATATTAAAGTAATACTTGTGTTTTCAGCTGGTTATCAAATTTCTCATTGCCTTTAATTGGTCAATGTTTTGTATTTTGTTTAAAAGATATTTGAGTGATGAAGTAAGGCACCCTGAAGTGAGGACAGCCTTACCAACTCTCGAGAAAGTGAGTCTCCCCAATGATCAGCGAAGACGAGGCTTGATGCAAAAGCATGGTACCAGCGTGCTGGGGATGGGGCCAGTTCCTCACGCAGGAGGGCAGACACACCAGCACCGAGCCATTACACAACATTCTTTTTATAGGCCAAAATCACTTACACAGCATTTTAAAATCACTTGCACAAAGGCTAAAGGCTAAAAACCATAAAATCATAAACCTAGGGGCTTTTTTTCTGACCATTACATCATAAGACTGCTGTTTCTTTCAGTTCCTTGTCACAATTTTCCTTGGGTTTGCTTTTCTCAGACCGAGTTTACTTTTCTCAGACCTTTGGAGCCTCCTCCAAGAAGTCAGGGACTTTCCGGCTTGTCACAATTTTACCTTGATTTCTCCTGAGATACTTATCTCAGGGCCACTGTTGTATCCTGAATCCCAATTGAACTTAATCATTTACCAAGAGAAGTCCTATTCAGCTATTCTCAGCAAGCAAGACAAGCAAAGTACAGAAGGCAAAGAAGCAAGTTAAATTTCTCTATTCTAAATTTTCCTTCTCAATGATCTCACATCAATAACTGATTGTAATCTATAATGTGTTATGCTAACTTCAACCACAAAAAAAATCTCATTTCAAATATTTTTAGCTATCCTTAAATAAGCACCCAAGAATTCAAAAGTTTCGAATTCTGGGGTTTCCCTTGGTATAGTAATGAGGCCTCAAGAATGCCAACTGATCTATCTCTCACTTTGTGGAGACAGTTGACTGATTGGAGTATATTAAGATTATTGCCAAATGCCAAGCGGAGTAAAATTTTGTCATGTTGATGTGTTGTATTGTTAGAGGCAACCAAAATGTTAAAAGGTCTACATATCAGAAGTGGTTTGAGTAAGTCAAAAGCAACTTGAATTTAAAGTAAGAAGAAGTTTCTACAGATAACTTGGGCCACACTCCTAGGCTTAGGTTGTGAGGGTCACTGGGTCTTTTGCAGGCCCTAATAAGAGTAAGAGCAAGAGCCCATTGTCCCCCACACCCAGGCTTAGGATGTAAGTAAGGGTCAGTGGCCCTGATAAGGGTAAAAATAAAATAGCCCCATGGTCTGTATTTCACAGATATGTTACCTTTTGCTTTGCATCTGTAACCCCTTAGAATAGTTTTGTCTTGGTGGGTCTCAGGATGGGCCATCTCATGCCTGGATCCCGGACAGCCGCCATGTGCACGTGGTAAGCTGTTCCCTGGGCCTGCTGGGTTCCAGGGGCTGCTTCCTTCAGGGTGAGTAGACCGAGGGGGGAGGTCTCCGGGACTGGGCAGGTCCGGGACCCACCTGCTGCCTTCATTGGGCGGTGAATGGGATTTAGGAGGGGCGTGACCTTGTGCCTGGGAATTTAAACCTCCAGCAGCCTCCCGGGTCTCAGGACGGGGCGTCTCATGCCTGGATCCCAGACAGCCGCCATGTGCACGTGGTGAGCTGTTCCCGGGTGGCCAGTGCGCCATTTGGTGCCAGGCTCTGCCTGCTGGCCACCCGGCCGGGGAGCTCTGGGAATTTGGTTCTTTGAGTCGCTGCTGAATTAGCTCCAGGTTGAACCCATTGTGCTTCTTGGACCTGAAACAGGCAGTAACTCTTCCTTTGTAAAACTTGTAATCACTAATAACGCTGACCACCAAATGCCGGTCCATGCAGAAGCTATGGCTTGGGGCTTGTCCTGCAAAAGTAGCTCCAACAGCTGGCTAATGGGTCAACTGGTAATGGAACAGAGTAGATAAGGCACGACTGAGCAAACCTTAGCCCACAAGCAAAACTAGAAACCAGTAGGGAGCAGAGGTCATACCGAGCTAGGATCTTGTACCTACTGGTCTGCGTGAGCCAGGGACGCCAAGCCACAGTGTCTAAGGCAGCGTTCGGGACAGGTGAGGGGCTAGGCCAAGCTGAGTCAGAGCATCCACTGGCAGGCAAGCGATCTATGGCTGGGAACAGGCCCGGTTGGGGAGCTAAGGGGACAACCCTAGCTGGGTTGAGGTTCCCACCAAGAGGCATGTGGCCTGGAAGGGGAGCTGCGTTCTGATCTGGAAATAGTTGTAGTCTCCGTTGGCACAAGTGTGGATTGTGATTGGATGCACCGACCCGGGCCGGACCCCAACACCCCCTGGTGTCCTGGAGGACCAGGGCAGATGTGGGATGGACTAGACTAGGTCTCAAACCCCTACTGAGCCATGTGTGAGCCATATGTGGGTACAGACGAACCATGGCTGGGCTGGAACATCCAACAGCAAGAACCAGATTGGGTTGAAGGCCAGTCAGGAAAAGCCACAGTTCCTGCTATGACAGGAGGTGGACTGAGTAGGGTTGGCTCATGGACCCACTGCTAAGCATGAAACCTGGCATTGGGAGAGGTTCTGATGGAGGAGCCTGGGCAACTCCTCTGGCAGGACACAGACCCGGCAGGTAAGCGCAAGAAACATGATAGGAAACAACCCAGAAAAGGCCATGGAAA